AAAAAGGTTCTGTAAGAGATGGTTCTGCACTTGGGTAAAACGCAGAACCTTCAAAAGGTTCTGTCAAAATTTTTATCCTTTTTTTGAGACTTTGAACACATTTGGAGCATTTTGAAAATCTACAGAACCTTTTCGGAGGGTTCTGTAAACCTCCTTTATTTTTTTCAGAGTAATACCTTTACACTGGGTAACGACTTTTATAGCCGGAACTGAGATACATTTCGATCCTAATCAATCGAAGAACTCTTACCCATTTCTTCCAGTGAAGTGACCTTCGCGGGAATGACTTCATTGCTCTAACGATATAACTATATGTTAAAAGTTGAGGAATTTGAGTTGTTTTGGTGTAATGATCATTACACCAAAACAACTCAAATTCCTCAACTTTTAATATATATATAAGGCCTTTTACAAAAATGAAAAGAGTGAATCGATAGTCGACGCACAGAACGAAACAAATTGTTTAGCGACACATTTAAATTTAGAGTGTAACCAGTATGAGTCAGACCAATAGAATCCCACCACATATGCGCTGTCAAAACCAAAAGTTTTTATCGCGATTCACATTGAACTGATTTTATGGAATCACTAACACCAAAAATATAAAATCATAATTCTACCTGTGACCCAATAAACCCTGATTAGAATTGATAGAAATAGTAAACCTAATCATCGCTTCTGTCTCAATGATCTTCCTACTCTAACTTCAACTATTCGATACATCACACAATTGTTTCTCAACTAATACAGGCAGTTACAGAGCCAACGCAGATTATTAGGAGAACCCGGGCAAGAAAAACTGGAATCTCATGATAACAGTAACCAACGTGAGTAGAACAACATTTCACAGTCTTTATTGACACAATCAAAAGAAAGAATGAGAAAAGGCAACTACATGTTTTTCGACGTGAAAATATTGGATAAAAACAATCTTATCTAATAGAACAAAAAGGTGTGCAAGTGTTGTTTGGTCAACATTTTTGGTTTTGAAATACAAGAAAAACAGAATAGAAATCTAAAGTATTGTTTTTAACATGTTAAATAACTATATTTGTAGGATTAATACATTATGTCTAACAGAAATCTTTGAATATTGAGATTTTGTACCTTTGACAATAGTGAAAATTTAGCTAATTCACATATTCAGTTGAATTTTATCGATAATGTTAAGGAAGACATAAATAGTATAAAAAAAAAGAAGTCATAGAAAGAGTAAAAAAAGGGGCAACAATGAAATGTGTTCGTTATCGATATGATCTCTAGAAATGTGAGATAAAGACAGTATGGACACCATTGTCTGCATGGTAGATATATCTTTAGAAATTTTTAATTAGAAAAAAAACATGATATCTGAGAACGTTTGTTTTTCTTCATGTCAATATATCATATTTACCCTAAAAAAAGACAACATAATGAGAAAATTATAACTTATTCTAGTTTTCTAGACACACCCATGAGTAATCAAACATTTCTGGTTGGTACTGGTGTTGAAAGTATTTATGCATGTAATCTTACATCAAGTGGAGAATTAAAATTTATAAATGAAACTAAATGTGGAAAAGGTTCAACATGGCTTTTATCATGTAATGATTTACTTTATGTAGTTAATGAACATACGGATAAAATACAAACATTTACAATCGACGATCGTATTCAAGGTAATTTAACATTAAAAAATACAATATCAGCAATGGGAAGTACACCGTGCTCATTGGATATTGATCCAACAGGAAAATGGCTTGCAGTAGCTAAGTAACAATTCAAAAATAAATCAACATAGCATAAATGACATTGTACTGTTTTTTTATATTTTAGTTATGGATATGAAGGAACATCGAATTTTGTTCTTTTTCCATTTAATGATTCAAAGCTACCCGAAGAAAAAGATGCTCAAATAAATGCAATCGATGGAAATGGTCCAAACGTTGATCGTCAAGAGCATTCTCATTGTCATCAAGTATTATTTCATCAAGGTTATTTATATATTGTGGATTTAGGCACTGATACATTAAGTATGTATCGTTTCAATGATACAAATGGCGAAACTAGTCTAGTTGGCGATCGAATAAAAATCGAAGCTGGTGCTGGACCACGTCATTTGCTTTTTCATCCAAATAAATCATTAGTTTTCGTATGTAATGAATTAAATTCAACAACGAGTGTTTATCGAAAGAATAATTCATCCGATCAATTCGAATGTATTCAAACAATAAAAACACGACGACCAGCCGATGAAAATGGTGTGCTATAGAAAAAGAAAAATAGATTAATAAAATTGAACTTTTTGTTTTGTTCTGTTTTTAGATGCAACGAAGGAAAATTATCCAGCTGAAATACAATTTACACCAGATGGAAAATGTTTACTTGTATCAAATCGTGGCGATGAAAATCTTGTTATATTTAACATAAACGAGGACAACGAACAAATTTTAAGTATCAAAGAACATATTGATTGTCACGGTTCATTTACACGTTTTTTTACATTTGATCCAACTGGAAAGTTTCTTCTTATTGCTAATCAAAAATCAAACAGTTTAACATGTTTTTCATATGATAGTGAGAATATTACTTATAAATTTGTTTCACAATTGGAAAATATACAAAGTCCTCAACATATGATTTTTCTGTAATAATAATTAGATTATTTTGTTTTTCAAAAAAAAATCCATTCCTAGATTTCTTTAATATTGATAGAATTATCTTTTAATTTTATTCGAAATAAATTCCATCTAGTATAGCTATACACATATTTCAGTTCTAATAATGCAATAGATATTTGGGTTTCATAAATATAACTTTAACATCATAGTATTTGCTTGTGCTGAAATATCCACAAAATATCAGACACTACCTTCATTTTAGCTTACTTGCTAAAAGAACTTTTTTAGAAAGTTCTGTCAGTTATAAACTGTAAATCTTTTACATGATTGCTTCAAGTTAAATTTTGATAAATTTTGTCATAACCTAGCGCTTTTTTCATGTTCACATCTATATTTGTTTTTGGAAATCTTATTCGATATGCCTAATCTAACATCGTATAGTGCTCCACCTATTCATTTAAATCGAGAACTTCCAAAAACTTATTGTGATTTAATTCGGCATGAAATCGATTATAATGATTTTCTTCGTAAACGTATTGCAAACATTCAATCATCATTATCTCATACAAATAAGAAACCGTTAATTAAAACAGCTAATAACCACCAACGCCGTGCATATTTCGATTACAATCAACGTTTATTTTACGTGTATAAACGTAATTTACAATTGTGTCAAAAGATTCTTCAAATTTCGACGAAAAATGGCAGACAACAAGGTGGAGTTGATTGTCATAATGAAAATTATAAAAAACAAACAAAAATTTCTCATTTTCGTCTACGACAAAAACACTGGAAAGATACTGTTGAGAATGAAAATAAACAATTTATTCGTTCTCTAATGTAATAAAATTATCTAGATCTTCATCAATAATTTATCTCATTTTTTCGCTTGAAAGATATCATCGAAATAAATATCAACCAATACACGATCGTCGTATAGCTTATCAAGCTTATCAGCAGCACTTAAAATTACTAAAAACAATGTCACATTATCCAAAATATAATATAACGAATCCTATCTATAAAAATTTACTTGATTATGATTATTTGCCTCAACATTTTTATTATAATTACAGTAAAGCTTACCATATAGATTCAACTGTTTCATTACGAGTTCGATGTCAAACTTTGCCTTTTTCTTATAAACTGAATAAAAAACCGAAACCTAAAACAATTCAAACACATTTCAATAAATCAACTAGACGTGTAGAAGAAGTACAAACAAATAAATATGTAGAAAATATTTTACAACAAGCAATAAATAAAGCAATTTATATATGTAAGATGCAAATAGTTATTTTTTTGAAAAACAACAGTCTGATCTTTAGATAATCAACCTCTTCCATCTGTATCCAATTTTTATTTTGCAACTAGACAAAGTTTTAAAAAGCCGCCGAATAAGTACCAGGCACTCTTTCGATCATCTTCATGTCGTGAATTACTTGAACCTTGGTGCAATAAAAAACAACATAGAGAACCCTTAAGAACTAATTCTATTAATGATAATATGATCAATGAAAAACATTGTATTTTTGATTCGTATAATAACATTCAAATAACCGAAACAGATGAAAGTAGATCAACATCTCACTAGGTGGTCTCTATCAGAACATAGTACATGAATAATCTGCCATAGTATAGTAATGTTTCTAGCAACTCTATTATTTTTGCATGCATTTGTTATATAAAATTTTATTGAAAGTTTATTCTTGGAAATGTCAATTTAACTTTTCATAGAAAAGAAGTACTCTATACGTATCTAGACCTACGGGATTCACAAAGTTATCGACAAAATTTTTCATAATTTTATTCTACAGAGCATTCAACTGAATTGATCGGATTGAATTCATCCGCATTCTTTGAAAACACAAAAATTTATTTCAGAGAAAACAATGGTTGCGTATCAGAGTATTCAATTGCACTAAAGTAACCTAGCGCCGATCAATGAACAGGAGAAAAAATGTAATATTCAAGCGCTCTTAAAGGAAATAGCACTTCGTAAATATTATTTTTCTAAGATTAGAGAACCAGGAGTGAGCTCGGCTAACGTCATTCAGTTGATTTCCATTAGCTGAATTGATCAAAACAAAAACAAAATAACACTTTCTATGGTAATGTTCAAGCTTATCAACATTTTCCTATGTATACATTTGGCATGTACAAGTCATTTTCAAGGTGGAACAATTACATATAAAATAATGAATACTTATGGATCTACAATATCCATCATGATAACACAAACATATATATACAGATGGCCGTTGATTTATTGTGATAATTCTTATATATTATCACAAAGTTCACCTAATATGAGTGCTTTTCCTGAATATAATTATAAACTCAATTGTATTTCAAATTGTACAACAACTGGTGGCTATGTACCAGTACCAATTAGACCCTACTGTATAGATTATTCAGCGCCGATGTCTATTAGTACTACACAAAGAACTGATATAGTTAATATTACAAGTGGAGCTTATTTTACAGTCGCTTTTCAATCGTATGTCACTAGTAGTTTGAAATTTTTAGAATCCTTTTTTTCTTGTTAAAATTTTCTTCAGATCAGCTTGGCGAACATTAAGTTTACCAAACGGTAGTCCAACAAGTAAAGGTTGGAGTATTTCATGTATAATTGATCTACGAATAAGATCTGATACAGGCACACTAAATACACCTCCTGTTGCGAATATGATTTCACCCACTGATATTCCTGTTGGAGTTCAACAATCATTGATTATTCCGACAATTGATAGTGATAATGATATAGTCCGATGTCGTTTTGCTAATACGACTACTGAATGTGCAGATGTATGTCCACCAAGTTCTCTACCAAATAATACAATACTCATATCTTCAAATTGCACATTGCTTATCACTGGTGCCGAAGTGAATAATTGGTATGCTGTAGCTATTCAGGTTTGTTATTAAGAGTGTACATGATCTCTATAAAAAAAAAAGAAGCAAATAAGAGCCATCAAACAAACTTTTCTGTATTGTTAAATTTAGATTGAAGATTTTGCTTCGGAAAATTCGACAACTCCATTAAGTTCTGTACCGATTCAAATTCTCGTTAATGTATATGCTTCACCTAACTGTACCATAGCTCCTCGTCTTTATGGTTCTACTAATCAAACAGGTACATGTCAAAGTTTACAAGTTGGGCAACCGCATGTGATCATGCTCTATGCTGAGAATTATTGCTCAAATTATAGTGTTACAATAGAAGATATTGCTACGCTATCATTTCCTATTGTTATTAAAAGTAATCTCACTCGAAATACAAGTACATTATATTCTGTTGGTTTAACATGGACACCAACTACAAATCAAATCGGTTCACAAATACTTTGTGCCGTTGCAATTGATAGGTAAGCATATCTATTACAAAATATAATAATTATAATTTAACAGTTAATTATCTGTTTCAATCTAGTCAACATGTTCAATCAAATCAATATTGTGTAGCATTTGCAGTGAGTCAAACTGGTAGTGCAGCATGTCCTGGAGAAGTATTAGAAACTACGTAAGGAGAATTAATGAACTTTTTTATATTGTCCATTTTTTGCAAATGAATATCAATATCAAAGATGACAGATTTTGACAAAGAATAAGTAGAATCATATATGAGATACTTCTAGAAGACTTCAGATATTAGTAATGATATTTATGAAGTACAATATCCTTTTATTACTATTTTCTCTCTCACTCAATAGAACGTCATCAATAATCACTCGGGAGATATTTTATGAGTCTTCACCACCTATTGATAATCTCACAGCATATATCAGTCTGGCACAAAGCTCTAAAGATGTTACATCATCGATAACCGGTACGACGACCATCAGTACAACAACTGGTAAGTTAAAAATAATGAAATATTTTGTTTTCCTTTGGCATCTCACTTAAGATTCATCATCGAGTACATCCTTGTGGCTACTATCTGTAATTGTTGGTGTTGCTGCTCTTTTAACACTGCTATGCTGTTTATTATGTCTATTCCCTAAGTAAACTGTAAAATAAACTATATTTCAATTTATTTTATTCTTTTTACAGTGGTCTTGAATCATTGTATAGAAAACGTCGAGGTGAAGTGTCATCAGAACAACGGCCTAATACCGATCGAACTGGTCAGCTACCAAGAATGTATATGCTTCCAAGAAGATTCAATCATGATTTGGATAATATCAGTCGAAGTGCTAGCAGTTTAGAAAGTTCAACAAGTGCAACTGAATCTGATGCACGTTTAGATTTATTTTCAACAACATCTCGTGACCGAATGAATAGAAAAGAAAATAACGATAGATGGGCAAATCCACCACCAAGATACTATCAAGTAGAAATAACACGTGCTGAATATTCAGCTAAAGATAACTCTGTTAGATTTCAAAAAAACCTTGTACAAATATGTTCATCATTTGATGAAAATTAATTTTTTGCAATTGGTATTCTTGACTATTCTATTGAAATTCCAATGAATTAGTAATCTCTTAAGAATCTAACGCTACAATTTATTGAGAATAAACAGAACACTGATTACAAAATAGTTATTGTTAAAGATGTAAAATGTAAACTTTTCTTTACCTTCAACCTATTTTATTCTGCAGGGCAGAGGAAGATGAGGATTACTTTGCACATCTTCAATTATTGCATCAATTAGTACAATAATGATGTCAAATCATCTATCAATAATAGTCATTCTCTATCAATCGAGATATTTAGATGATAAAAATAATTTTTATTTTCGATGAACTTCTGCGATAGACATAAATATCGATTTTTGGATCATAATCAATACGTATGTTTGCATATGGTTCTCTTCGCTTTTATTCAGTATGATCGATTTCTCTTCTGTACCATCACCATCTGTCGTCAATATATTACTATTCGTTCTTAAACAGTCACGATTGGTTATCCTGCATGGTCGTCAGTATAGTTCATTGATATTGTTTCATAGAAAATAAAATAAAATATGGTCAAGACATATATTGGCCAATGGTTATATACATTTCCTTGGTCTCAGGTCATTTCTGGTTTTTGGCAAAAATATCCTAATCCATACTCGTAGGATTTTTCTTATTTTCAATATTTACAGTTCATTTTTGTTGTTGTTGAATGTAAGAGGTCATATTTTATCAGAAGATGTGTATTATCGAACGGTCACCGATGATCAAACTCTTATAACAAAACGTTTGTTAACTAAAACAAGTAAAATTCCACGATGGGGTGAACGTATCTTTTCACGAGGTTCAGCGTCAACCATTGCATTCATTATCGAAGAATCTATATGTGATTTGAAACAGAAAACATTTACAACCATATCAAAGAATATTAATCTAACATCTTTAATGGTAAAAAAAAGAACTAATTGGATATTACTTCTTATTTCTTTATTTCATAGACTGTCGATGAAACATGTATTTATCGTCCAGATCAAAATGATGAATCAAGAACAATTTGTGAAAAGAAAGTTCTAGCAACATCAATATTGTTCGGTTTTAAAACAACGTTAGAAACATTCGCAATAAAACGTTATAAAAAAAATCAAGAATTAGCTAGTCTTGGTTTAGAATTTACACTTCATAAATTATTTCTTCCCCACTTACCATTACCACCGGTTATTGGTATAAAAAAGCTAGATACTCGATCATTTTCAAGTAAATTAAGTGATAAAGCAAAGCAATTCTTAAAATCATCATCTCCTAGTGATTGAGATAAATAGTGATCTTATGTTTTTACACATCAATTACGACATTCCTTCATATTAAAAATATTCTTTTGAGAATTTCCAATTTTTATATAGTATATAATAACGATTGCTAATCTTACCTTTTTGTATTTGTAGATAAAATGCCTGAGCTTCCTGGTGAGAATAAAAAATAGAAGGAAATTTTTGAATTTTTCATTTCATCTTTATTCTTTTTGCAGAAGTCGAATATGCTCGAAAATTATTAAGTCGTTTTTTAAATCATACACATATTACTAAAGTTTCCTATCCGGATGCAGATAGTCTAGCAAGACGTTTTATGAATTGTACACCGACAACATTTGCTAATAGTTTAGTCAATCGAAAAATAATTGATATTAAACGACATGGAAAATATTTATGGTTTGAAATGGCTGATCAACAACCCTTAACGCCCATATTTCATTTTGGAATGTCAGGAGGTTTCCGTATAAAATCAGCACCTGATGTTACCTATGCGAAAGAAATCAAACTTGTTAAAATGAAAGCAAAAAATGAAGTTGATGGACAATGTGAATCTTTTGTTTATGGTAATGACAACTAAAATGTTTCCATAGGGTGGCGAGAAATCTTAACTAGAATTTATAAGGCGCTTTGTTTGTGGGACTTGTATGTATATTCCAAGAGAATAGTAGATGTAAATTCTAATTCCAGGTTACTTCAGTTTGCCCCTCTTCGTTAGTCTTAGTTAATAAATATTACAATCATTTTTTAGACATTATATTGTTCGAGTATTTTTAATAGTAACATTTTCTTTTGGATTTTGTGCACAATAAAAATTCAATTTCAAGATATCAACGATGATAAGTAATAATGTATCATTTTACCATAAGTAATCGATGTGCCTTTTTTCTCAGTTCATAGAAATATAAACGAGTAGCTTGAGATCTGCTGTAGATATCCCCTTTTAATCATTTTACATAGATGAACAACTTGATGCTGATTTATCATGGCCACCGCGTTTTACACGTATTCGATTTACAACCGCAACTGGCCATGATGTATGTTATACAGATCTTCGTAAATTCGGACGTTTTCATCTTGTTGACTCAATTACACCGCTTTCTTGTCTTCCATTATCAAAACTCGGATTTGATCCTTATCTTGACATGCCAAAATTAGAAAAATTTATCGATTTAGCCCAATCCTATCGGCCAGCATCTATTGAACTTAAAGCACTTTTACTCGATCAAAGTTTTTGTGCTGGTATTGGTAATTGGATAGCCGATGAAATACTCTATCAATCAAGTTTTCATCCACGAAAACGTTTAAATACATTGAATGATGAACAATTCAAACTTTTACATAAAAATATTGATTATGTGATAAGAACAGCTGTTGATGCTGGTAGTAATGAACGATTTCCTCGTGAATGGCTTTTTCATTATCGATGGACAAATAAACGTGAAACAGAAGATTACTATAAATTAGCAATAAAATTTGATACTGTCGGTGGACGAACATCAGCTTATGTGCCACAGCGACAAAAATTATCGAATGTTGAACAACAACAAGTTGAAGTCAAACTTGCTGCAAAAGAACTTAAACGAAAAAGCAAAGAGAAAACAGAAGAAGAAGATGGTGTTGATGAAGAGAATAGTAAATGAGAATTTTTAAGAATTCATCTACTATTGAATATGATGTTCTTTTAGAAAAAATAATTAATTCAGCTGATATAAAAGTTTCAAAGAAAAAAATAAGCATTAAAAAAATGATTGCAACAGGTAAATTTATTTATATTTTGTCTACCGAAATTTCAATTTCTCTATATTTAGATTCGGAAGTAAATGAACCACTAGTCAAACGAAAAGTACCTATAGCTCCAAGTATCATATCGAATCGACCACAACGCACATGTAACCAGAAAACAATCAACTATCAGGATTGATACATTTATTTATTGAGTTTTAATTCCTTTGATCTATTTTGTTGTTATTATTGTTTCAATTTTGCGATACATATATTTTTTGACTATTCTTGACGTTGACGAAAAATTCTAAATGATAAGTAAAGAAAAATAGTAGCTATCTCATTGATAACATCAATATCGACTATGAATAAGTTTAAGTGAAACATGACAATCAACAAATTTTATATTTTCTTACAATGAAAATCCTTTTTCTGTTGAGACAACGCCATAGGTCATATTTTATTTAATAGAGCATGCATGCCATAAATTATTATGAAATCTGAATGACTCGATTATTTTTTATGCATTAGATAAGTTATTGGTGTCGAGCTGCACTTTTATTCCTAAATCACATGCATTCGTCAGTGATGATTGTTTGATAAATATAACTAACGTGAAGTAAGTGTACGAAGTGATTTCCCTTTCTAAACTACGGTTAACCAAGCATGTAACACAACAAGGTAAAAATTTAAAGTATCGCAAGTGAGAATACAGGTTAGAACGTCCTTGAAAAAATGGCCTTCACGAAAGATGTCCTTGGGAAATGATCCTTTGTATGAAAATGTCCTTTGCCGTTAGAGATACACCAAATTCTATTCAAACCAATTTCGATCAACTCTAAAAATTGAAATTGGTGTATCTTATCCCTATTCATCGTGAAGGGTGACTATGGGGTGTAGTTGTAGGTCTGGTATTGCTATATTCTTGTTCAAAGCTACACCCACACTCACACCGGTCTCGGAAATCTTAGATCGGCACGTACCATAATATTCGTGAAAGATCTTAATGTTGCATAAGATTTTTTAAAATCGTATAGTTATATCTTACAATAAAGCAAGATCATTCAAGAATGTGATGGTACGAACTGATGAAAGATTCCGCAAACAACGATTTTTTTGTATGATCTTATCTGGTGTTCAAGATCTAACGCCAGATTTTTAGACTTGGGCAGCCACACCCACACCCACCCATTCAGAAGATTTGTTTCTTATTAGTTTTGATTACTCTGAATTTTAAACGGAATAGAACTAGCCATAAAAGTTTCAACCTTTTTGTAAAAGAAAACATAATTATTTTACCCGATGTCCTGAATCTGATATCGAAGATGGATGATACGACATACACGAGAGATGAACGCAATACCGTTCAATTCTACTGATGGAATGTATATTCATGCTGTTAATACTATCGCTTATGCACAGCTAGATCAAATTCATTAGATGGTTATTTATTGTTTGTGATACTTAACAAACACAATATACTAATGATTCGTCAATATGTGATAATCTTGCAAATCAATTAGATAGGTACAAATGATTGGTATTTTCTATGTTAAATGTTCTTGGATGACATGACATTCACATTGACCTCCTATAAATTATTTACACGTACTAAAAATCGATTCGTCTGAAACTTAATGGAATGTCCTGGTCCTAAAATACCAAGTGACAGGCTATATATATATATATATATATATATATATATATATATATATATTGATGAAAACTAATATATACCATAAGTAGTATATTTCGATATATATTCTCCAAGGAAATCAACATCAACAGTGCAATTTCGGGTGTTTTTAAATAATAATTAAAGTATATTAAAGATTTCAACGCAACTGACTATTATAATGTTTAGTAGTATCAGATAAGTGTTCGCAGCCATATATAACGTTCTTTGTTCATAGCAGATGTAAACAGTTTTCTTTAGTACTTCAGGGACAATGTTGATGAAATAATAAGTAAAGGGCAAAATCATTGAATGAAGATAACGATTGATACATAAAATGATGCTTGACTTAAATCTGTCTATATAGCAAATTCTATAACAATGAAGATATTATCGTTTGTAAATTATTATGACCTCGTTTTGCCAAAACTAGATAATTGAATATAATGATTTGCTGTGCTGGATGGATGAAACGTTGTTAATTATAGAAAAACAAACACTATTACATGCCATTGATATTTATCTATACCATTAACTGTATTTAAAATTATAATCCAGTGCTAAGCTGGCATGAAGATGACTTTATCAAGTACGAACATATATATATATATATATTCAATATTAACATCAAAGAAATATGATGATGAGAGTTTCTTGAGTTGCATAATTATAGTAGTGCGCGTAACATACGTAACAAAGATGAACAATCATTGTTGACACATCGTAAGAAATAGTAACTAAACTATGTTACAGAGAGATTATATGGTAGAGGAAAAGACAAAAGTGGCGTTGTTGTATCGCCTGTCTATTGTAAGAGAATCTTAAGAGTAACAATTTGTGAAGCATAAAAGCCATAGTACGCTGTCAAATCAACAGAAGTACTGTGTTAATGTGTAAGAAACATATTGTAATCATGTAAACGTTGATTGTCTTAAACAAAAAAAGAACTTTTAAAAAGCTATAGACGCTTAGGAATACTTCCTTCAACAATTTTATATTTAACTCAATTATTAAATATGTACTTATGCATTACAATTAGTCGTTTTTGTTGTTGTGAAAACAAATTCAAGTCATCTGTACGACTAAGAATTATTCACCGTTTCAAAATCGACATCAGAAATTACATTGACAATTGATATTCTCTTCGAAGAAAATCTTTTCTGGTGACTTCAAGGTTTTAATTTGTTTAAAAATATATTTCTTTCAAGATTGAGAGAAATTAACTTTTCATGCGAGATGATAGCTAAAATCTATGACGTTGCAAGAAATTTGTCGTCGGACACGTGATGTCATCGAAATATGGTAATATTTTACTTAAAATTGTATCATTTGTACGCAATTACGATCTATACAAAAAAAGTCAAGCTTCTAACTACAAGATATCATCTGAATCATAAATTTAAAAAAATGTTCGCTTCCACCTTTTATCAATCCTTAAACTTTAGTATAATGATGTTCAGGTTATATTTTACGAATGATGTACTATTGGTAAGTAGTGACATCTAATATAATTTATACTGCACAAGTATCTTGTAAGCTCTGCCATAGTCTCTGTTTCGTCAACCTCTCATTTTACTGCTAACTTTTCTCTGTTTGTTAGCAGCTCTACCGATATGTCGAGCCCTCGTCCGTCCGTCGTTGCTATTTTTCTCACTCATTCATCATATTGCTATAAATATCTATAAATGACTGAACTATCTCGTTTGTTTTTTCTTTGATTTTAGATCTCATCCCATCACTGTCTCTTTAATAAACTAAAACTATGGTGCAAACAAGTCCCACCCCATTCGATGTAAGATTTTCTCTTTAGATTGTTTCTTGTAGGAAGTATTATATTTATGACTATTGAATTAGGTGGGCCGCGCATTCGTCCATCAGTATTATACACTATTACATCAAGCACCTCATATGCTTCATCGGTAATATTTGTTAAATCGTTTTTTGTTGTTGTCTCTCTAAACTAATCATCGATTTTTTTCTCTCTTGATAATATCTAGATTTTATTCAACGGATAGTACATTCATTCATGGTGGTGTCGATCGACCAGGTTGTGTTGAACAACCAGCTGTAGGACCGGATAATATATCCCAACGAATAAATGATCTTAATTTACGTGATTGTCACGCTAAAATTCGTCAGGTTGATTCGCATCCAACTATTGGCGAAGGTGTTGTCGTTCAGGTTCATTTGTTTTAGCAAATATTCCAACAAAAAATAGCATTCTTGTTTCTTTAGGTTACCGGTGAATTATCAAATAATGGTGATCCAATGCGTCGTTTTATGCAAACATTCGTATTGGCACCACGACAACCAAAAAAATATTACGTACAAAATGATATTTTCCGTTATCAAGACGAAGTTTTTGATGATGGATCCGATGAAATAGATGAAGATGATCGATCTAGTTCACATATTTATGGTGATAGTACTTCGAATGCAGTAAATAATTGAATTGAAAGCCTATCATACGTATTGATAAAAACTGCCTGTATGCTTTTTTTTAGGACAAGGCTTCAAATGCTGACTCATCGGCAGCTGTAGTAGGAATTTCACAACAGCCATTACTTGCGACAGCTACTGTACGGCCAACACCGATGGAAGAACAGCAACCATTACCACCTCGTAATGGTACACAAACACTGGCTGGTAATCAACAACAAACTGTTCGCCAACAGGAACATCAACAGACTGGCTCAACTAATGTGTAAGTATCATTAGTGAATTCAATTGATTAGATGGAAATACATTCGATTTTAGGAATGGTTTTTCAACTGCTAATATTGTTGAACCCACTGGTTATGGTGGTATTGTTCATTCACACTCTCAACAAGCTGAAACAGTTCCAGCTAACTCACGGCCAATAAACCATCAAGTTCTACAAGAAAAGCAACAACAAACAAATGGTAGTAATGTACCAAATCAACAACCCGTTAGACAAACTGCAGCTACTCAACACTCATCATCAACAACAGAAGGACAACGACCCGAAGGAAGTGAGTAAAGACATTATTTCAAAAAAGTCGTGTACATTATTTCTTTAAATTTTTTATTAGAATCATATGCTGGAATTGCTAAATTACATTCATTGACTGGCCCTTCAATAACTGCTAATTCAACTACAACCACTGCTCCACGTGTTGTTCCATCTCCGAGTGCAGTTCCACCGACAAACGCTCAACCAACAAATGCCGATCGATCATCAGTAAAAGTTCCGTCAACAACAGCTAACCGACCAAGTAACAATCCTCAATCTGGTCAATCATCATCACGAGGTGGCGGTAATTATTATCCATCAAATAGTCGTGGTAACTATTGGCATAGTAATATTGAAAAAGATCCTAATCCTGTTCATCGTTCAGGTTCAAATGTATCAACAGCACCCAATGAACAACAAGTATTTGTTGGTTCATTACCATTGGAATTCTCAAAAGACACATTGATAGAATGCTTTAAAAAATATGGCAAAGTTCTCGATGCTAAAATTCATACACCAGCTCATGATATTAAAAGGGTTTGTTTTAATTTGAAAACAATGAAGTTAATTTTTATTTTTTCTATTAATTTAAAATAGAATTTTGGATTTGTTGTTTTTGAAAATCCAGAAATTGCAACATATGTCGTCAGTTTGGCACATGTAATGTACGATGACACAATTCGTTTGAACGTTGAACCGAAAACTCAACGAAATTATCAATCAAATAATAACGCGGGTGGAAATTTTAATAATGGACCACAAGGTGGAGGTCGCAATAATAATTATCAGGGAAGAGGCAGTGGTCGTGGTGGAAACCGAGCACCTTATCGTGGTGGCGGCGGTAATAATCCAAGACGTGGTGGTGGTAGTGGTTCATTTAATAATCATTCATCATCTATTGGTGGAGGGGATGAGAATAACAACGAATATCGCACTAGCAAAGCTCAACAACCAGTACCACAGCAGTAATTAATTGATGCAGACCGATGGACGATCTCTGCATTTTTTTGTTTGTTTGTTTGTTCCTTTCATTTTTTTTCTGTCTCTCGCGCGCAATTTACTTATTCAAAGTTTTCCTACACACCATGGTATGAACAGTTGCGATGACGGACGATCCTGTTTTTTTTTCTTTATCTTTTTTTTTCCTTATTGTTACCGTTCTCTTGTTTTATACGAATTTCATATTTTGTTGGTTATCCGACACACATTTGATGAAATGGGCGTGAGAACATCATATATTTAAAAAAACACAATTACTGTCTTTCAACATCATTAACTGCTTTTTATAAATCGTTAACTACTCCTTTCTTTTCTGCCCGCTTATTTGTTTGTTTGTTCTTTGTTGAAAATGCTGCCTTTTTCGCTCGTGATTGCCGTCATCGTCTTCTTTTCTCGGGTATTTTGTTTTCTTTTTTTGTACACTTGAAAGATATTCACATCAGGCGATTTGAAAAAGCAGATGGTTGAGAACGACAGACAGTTAAGTGTGAATAAAATTCTGAACGTAAGGAGGCGTATATGATGCTCATTTATTACTCCTTTTTAATGTTTATTGTGCAGTAATCAATCAAAAAAAAACCGATCTAAACAAATTCTGTGTTGTTTTTAAATAGGAAGATTATTTTAATTTTTAGCTTGATGATTTTGAAGCTAATTGACGTTCAATTTCAAGTGCAGACTCAACAGCTTCAACAATGTTTTGTTGTTGTTCTGAAGTCGTTGGTAATAATGGTGTTCGTGGTAAACCACCATATCCTAATATACTTTGCATAGCCGCTTTAAGACCTGATATGCCATTCCAACGGAAAAATGCATGATCTGCACCAACAATTTTAGCTTGAAGACTTTGTATTTCTTTCCATTTATCGGTAGCATGATTTGTGTATAAATGAAATAGTTCACAAAGTATACGTGGTGCTATATTACCAAAACCAGGTATACATCCTTGAGCACCGACAGATAGAAATGGAACGAAAGCATCAGCCGAACCACTCATTAAAGTAAATTGTGCTGGATTCGTATTTGCACAAATGTAAGCTGCTTTACCAACGTTACCATCTGTACATTTAATACCGACAATATTTGGATGCGTAGCTAATTTAACAATTGTTTCTTGTGTTGTGTCCATTTGTTGAGTGACACCTGGAAAATTATAAATAATAATTGGAATAGGTGATTTATCAGCTACTGTCGTGTAAAACGAATAAATCACATCGGATCGACATGATGCCCATGTAAGAAAATATGATGGTGGTAAAACCATAGCATATTCTGCTCCAGAGTTTGCTGCTTGTTCAATTAAATGTAATGTTCCACGAACAGATTCTTGTGAACAACCAGCAATTAATTTAGCTTTTGGTGATGTATCATCCATTGCTTTGCGTGCTGTACGTAGAACAAGTTGTCGCTCTTCCTCATTTAAATGAACAGCTTCACCTGTTGAACCCATACAAACGATTCCATGAACACCAGCTGAACATAAAAATTTTACATGTCTAGTAATTGCATCGACGTCAACGGGTTGTTCATCTGCTGGTTCATCTTGAAAAAATGTTGGTGTAGGAATATAGATACCCGGGGGTAATGTTTTAGCCATATTTTTTTTTCTTTTGATTTTTTATAATGACTGTCGACCTAACTGTATGCAAATGAATAAAGTAAGATTTTTGTTTCACTCAATGTGTTTTTCTTCGTCGTCTTGTTATCTTATCTGATCTCTATGCCTTTAACCACGCACCCCTTTCTTTACCTTTCGGTATGTATACATAAATACATGTATGTATCTTTATTTACTTCCTATCTAGTTATTTTCAGTTAGGGTCATCATCATCATCATCATCATTCTCGTTGCATTTCGCTTCTCTTTCATCAATTATTGGAACAATTTGCAATTTGAAGAGCTTAGTTCTCTATTAGATACATGAAGAAAAAATTCAATTATGACTATATAGTCATTGATTAAATACAAGCTAGCATCTCTGATGATAGTGTGAGCAAAATCAGAAATGCATGCATGGGAAGAAGATCGTTTAGGGAATAAGAATTCGCATACAGATCTGTCTCTCCCTCGTTATATATAAATATACATTTGTATGATGACAAAATAACTCAAAAAAATAGAAGAAGAAGCGAGCAGCAGAGAATTGCATGAAAATTACATCGACAATTCATTTCATACATCATTACATACAAGCATAGCAAATAAGTATCTTAGCATTCAATCGAATATATTTCTTGTCATGGCAAACGATTCTACACCTCCGCCTATTTGGAATTTTCCTTTGCCGCTTGCTGTTCCACAGACTTCTAATTCTATTGAACAACAACAGCAATCATCTATTGTTAGCGGAGTTGGTGAACGAAAACAACGCACATTACGACTATCGATTAATGCACGTGAACGTCGACGTATGCATGATTTAAACGATGCACTTGATGAATTGCGTTCTGTTGTTTGTATTAGTCAATTTTATCGATGATTTTAGTTTTGAACACGTCTGTTTAATTTTAGATTCCCTATGCACATTCGCCATCCGTACGTAAATTAAGTAAAATTTCAACATTATATTTGGGTAAGTTGATTATGGATTTATCAATGATTACATATATGATGAAGTAATTTTATTTTAGCTAAGAATTTTATACTTCTTCAAGCACAAGCTATTGATGAACTAAAAAAATGTGTTCTTCGTGCAAGTCTTATGAGTAGTCAACCAGGAGCTGTTTTATCGCAAACAACAGCGATGGATTTTCCAAATACAGATCATACGAATGATAGATAAAAAGAAAAATAACTAAACAATTTGATTCATGTTAACTTTTTTTTCTCAAACTTATTAATTAAATTAATATTTTGTCTAGAATAGATCATTTGATCACGAACTTAAGAGACATTATGTATGAGATGTCATAGTAAGAAAAATAAAATGAAGCTTTACGATTAATATGATCATATTCAGATCTATTTCTATGACAAAATGTGAATTTGATGGAATAATATTGTCTTCGAATTTTTTCTTCCCTGAAAAAATAAATTTCCTATTAATTTTAAAAATAAAAGCTTTATTCAATGAACAAGTGTGACACATTTGTATTTGACCATATCATCAAAAAGAAGATGCGCAAATTCGGGTTATTTTGAATTATGAATATCTATCGATTATTTCATTTGAGCTTTGTGTATAGATTATGTCAATTTATTTTTTATATTCACTGAAATCTATGGTCATTCAAAAAGCTGTAGAATTGATTCATCAACATAACCACTCGTTTATTTGATTGAACATCTTCGGCATAATGGACCTACCTAACTGATGAATTTATATAATCATATTAAACGAACGATGTCTATCAATTGCTAAGATTTTGTTTTCTGCAAAACTGTTTTACATTAATAGACCATTGTTGTAGAAGAAAACGAAAGATTGAAAACGAAACCAACATGAAACTACTTTAAATATCGCTGAGTGTATCAGTAGCTTTTGCTTATGTTTTACAATGCCAAATAATGTTTAACTTGTCTATTGTATTCAAAGTATCAAAAAGAAAAAGTCATTGATGATGATTTGGAATCAGTATAATTATCGTTTTTAAATCGACGATTATTTATGTGTAATTCATTAAATCGACCAATGAGCTCGACGCATATATATATATATATATATATACACTCGTAGAATGTACCCTTATGAATCTATATTTATAATTAAATATATATTCTTTCAGGCAGTAAAATTTAGCCACGAAATCCTAATGTACACTGAAAATATTTTAAACTGATACACAATAGGGTTTCAGGATTTACCTTGCTGTATGTTTGTTTTTCCAATCAAGTTAATTTTTGCACTATCATTTTATTTCGAACAAATCAACACTGATCTATTTTTCAGAATAAAGCAATGTTCGATCGAATTTTTGAATTTCAACGGATGAACGTTGATTAAATATCATGATGTTACATTTTTGACTCTACCGAATCATGTCACGACATCATGACCGTCTGTTTATCAATATGAAACTGATTTAAGAGATTTTGGTTTTATCAACTGTTTCAATTGGTTGTCTGAAATATTAATCAAGTTAACAAAATAGATAAATAAAAACTGTCATTTTTCTGAAGAATTTGATCTTATCTGTCGAAATGAGTTAGTCACAATTATTCTGTTTTTTTATTATTACTAGAAATTAGAAACATAAATGTCTTTTTCAAATAAACAAACTATAAGAATAATTAATTTATTATTACTTTCGATCAATATTAGTAGAAAACAATTTTTTTAATTTTTAAGTAAATTTAAATCTTATCTTAGTATCATATTATCTATTTTAGTGAAATGATAAAAATGTATAATATTGCGCGTATAAAGTCTTTTTAAAACAATAATCAACGACAAAAGATAAAGAAACACTTTTTGTTGAAAGAAGATACGTTCGTAATTGAATATTTAACAAGAAGATTAGTCATGAAAACGTTCTCTATTTAACCTAAAGCAATTATTACCATATGTCATTTATTTAATAAAATAATCGATATATAAGAAAAAGAAAGTTGTTGCGAGTATATATACATCTCAAGGACTAGAAAATACAAAAGATAAACATGCTCTACTTCTTTGATATCGGCAATATACGTTCGATTAAATTAATAGTTCGATTATAGGTTAAGACATTTCAGCTCAGTAATATATATTGACTATCACATAGAATGTTGGTTGATGTCTCGTTGTTGTCTATCAAGACACAAGCGTAGATAACATGAAGAGAAACCATTGTAATCCGTAGAGAAATGAAGAAAACGCTCAAGATTATCATAGGAAAAAAGAAGTCCTATTATTCTACGAATACTATTGACTAGATTCATCAAAATTTGACAGATCGACATTGCCAATGTTTTCCTTCTTTCAATCTAAATCATCACTATCGTTTTAGTTTGATATCTAAACTGGATTCATCAGTGCCAAAAACTATCTACTCTTGGATAGTAACACATTTATTCTATATCGATATCTCTTTAATACGATAACATTATAGCGTATACATTCGTATCAATGATATTTGATATTTCTTCATTATTTTTCCATCATCTTTTATGTTATTATCAAAAACCACATGGTATTGTATAATTTTATCACATTGAATGTAAGTAGTTCTAAAAGATTAATTTTTTTTCACTATTTAACAACAATTATTGATTTTTTCCCGTTGTACGGAATCGATTCGATTTTCTCTATTTTAAATTCTCCTGTATTTGTTCGTTACGCATACCATACTGAATTATAAATTTGTCTCTTTAATCATGAAAATCTAAAAACATCGAATAAATAAGATAAACTTTTATGTGTGTGTGCTACATTATTTAATGGTATGATAGTAAAAATTTGTTGTTGGAAATGACAATGACGACGACAAAAAAAAGACCAACGATCATGAATGAACCGAACAGAAAAGAAGAATGAGACTTAGACAAACACACGCACGCGCGCGCACACACACACACCCACGAAATGTACAAGAAAATAAAAGAACAACGACAATTACAATACGCGAAAAAAAATTTAAATCGATCTGAGAAAGAGAATAAGTTATACTTTTTTAGTCTATCATCTGCTGTATATTTGTATATGCATATTTCTGTTTTCTCTAACATTGACATTTGGAATCGCCACTTGGTCCACTGCCATCCGTACCACTTGCACCATTTGGAGAACGTGATGTTGTAGTTGGTTTCGGTTGTACACCTGATTCGGCTGCATTTAAATCAAGCGATCCATCTTGAATGTTCTGATAGATTTTTCTTGCTGTTTCAATAAATGCATCTTCAACATGGTCACCTGTTTTAGCAGATGTTTCAAGAAAAAGTAAATCATTTTCTTCAGCAAATCGTTTTGCTTCATCATAAGTTACTTCGCGTTGACCATCCAAATCCCCTTTGTTACCTAAATAATAATAAAACAAACAGTACGAGGTTTTTTTTTGAAATTTTTGTTCAATTTAATTTACCAATAAGAAAAATAACGGTATTTGGATTAGTTAAACTTCTAGCATCAGTCAACCATCCACTCAAATGATTGTAAGTGGCACGTCGTGTAATATCGTAAACCATTAAAGCGCCGGCTGCTCCACGATAATATGACCCTTGCAATAGTAAAAATAAATTAATAAATAGTGCACAAAAGGAAAAAGAGAAAAAATAAAGCATACTTGTTACAGCACGAAAACGTTCTTGACCAGCCGTATCCCTAGCATAAACATGAAACGTTTAAAAAAAATTAGATTTTCATTTCATTTACCAGATTTGTAATTTTATTTTTTGTCCATTAACTTCAATTATGCGTGTACCAAATTCAACACCAATTGTATGAGGACAATCAGCCATAAACTATTAAAAAAAATGATTAATTGAATATTTCTGCATGACTCATTGACATGAAAAATGAGACCTTTTTCTCTGTAAATTGATGAAGCAGACAACTTTTACCAACACCCATATCACCAATAATAATATATTTAAATATATATGAATAGTTGTACGGGCCCTGATTCGCCATGGCACCGTCTATTTCCTATCTAGTATATTCGAAAAAACAACGATACAAAAATAAAAACAAAAGTATCCACAAAAAAAGGGAGAAAATAAAACGATAAATGATCCATTGAGTCCAAATATTCTATCTTTTCGTCATTGCACATGCATCATTGCCACCACAATGATGATAATAATCGGCATTGATCATATAGAAATATTAATTTAGTGACATCTATTTCGATTAACATTTAGCAGGACCGAACGAGTGGGTCTTTCCCAAGAAAACATTCTTTCGTGTTTCGTCATTCTTTTTAATATGCTAACTACATGATGCAAGATGATAAAAATTGCGAAACTTTCTGGAGATAAGTTGTTTTATCGCTTATAAGTGATGCATACATATGTTTATATATTAGTGAGAAAGTGATACAAAGAACGTAAAATAAAATAAAACAAATCAAATCATCTGAAACATTAAACAAAACTATTATGGCCAAGCAATCTATTGCTAATCTAGTATGAATACAGTTCATTGAGAAGTATAAAATATTTCATTTTTCTAATTGTTAGAATTTGAATCTTTTAACTCCATTAACACCGGAAATAATGAGCCGTCAAGCTACTATCAATATAGGCACTATTGGTCATGTAGCACATGGAAAATCCACTGTTGTTAAATGTTTATCTGGTATAGACACAGGGAAATTTGGTAGAGAAAAACAACAAAATAGGACCATTCATTTGGGTTATGCAAATGCAAAGGTAATGAAACTGCTTTTTTTAAATGATAAATGCTTTTATATATGATAATCACAGCTGGAACCGGTAAGAAATTCATAAGCCGGTCCTGTTCAGCCGGTTAAAAAATTTTACCTGTCCGCTCCGACCGGTAAACCGGCCGAACATAAATTACTCTCGAACAGGCAAATCGGACAACAACTGATAAAAGTTAATTCCTTGAAAATTGTTTCAGAGAGCCAAAATACGGTAAAAACTGGTAGAGTGAGCTCCAGCAATGATATCAATTAGTTAATGATTAAATAGGCCTATTCAAATGTTATGACTCAGCTCCTCACATTATAAATGCTGATAGCTGAATACTCTAAATTTTCTAATAAAGCTTCTAAGGAAAGGTATTTTGAAAATATACTTTATAGAATTTACATTATGGATGAAATATGATGAAATCTATCAGTAAATCTGTAGAAAAGAAAAGATAGACGTTTCAAATTTTATTATCAAATCATCTTTTTACAGCTATGTATGATAAAAAAAACAACACTGTCGATAAAATCGAGTGCATCGATCAACCAAATTCTCTTCACCGTGAAAGAAAATGAGATGTATTGCTTGTGTTTATGATGGCAATCAATTATTCCTTCTAAACTACACAAAATTTTGCATCATCAATAGTTTCGTAAGACTATATATATATTGATAGCACAATTTCATTATATCTACTTCATGGAAAAATTCATAAAAACATTTTTTTAACAAAAATAGAGCTAAATAAATATAGCTATTTTAAAATTTCAACCGGTGATCTTCCGGTATTTACCGGCCCGGTTGGCTTTCTGAACTGGTCCTGTCCTGTCCTGTCCGGTACCGGTCCGGCCAGACCGCTTCCAGTGGTGATGACAATTGATTTCGCTTATGTCTATCTTAAACATTTATCTGAAAGTATTTGTAAGATCTTACAGCTTTTTAAAATTTGAGTGACAGGTTGGAATGCTTTATAGTGAAACCTATAATATACATCTTTGAACTATATTATCTATACTTTCGTTTCGTTACCTACTTAACTCGTAAGTGTGCATGTAGTTGTTCATGACGGGACCAAAAAAATTACATTCACATTAACATCAACACATTCACATAAGCAAATCGATTACTTCTCTAAGAGTTTTTGTATTCATAATATAGATATTCGAATGTGATAATGCAGAATGTCCGAGACCTCAACGATATCGTGCGACTGGTTCAAATGCAAGTGATCAGTTTCCTTGTGATCGACCAGGATGTGTTGGTCAATTTCATCTCTTACGACATATATCTTTTGTTGATTGTCCAGGACATGAGACGTTCATGGCAGCTATGTTGAATGGTGCAGCTGTTATGGATGCTGCTCTAATGGTTATAGGTAAAAATGAAAAATTGGAAACAAGAATATATGTTATTAATTTGAAAATTTTAGCTGCTAATGAATTTTGTCCACAACCACAAACATATGAACATTTGGCAGCTGTAAATATTATGAACCTAAAATCCATATTAATACTTCAAAATAAAATTGATCTCGTTGGACAAGTTAAAGCCGAAGAACAATGCGAGCAAATCAAGAGTTTTATTAAAGGTTAATTTCGTTTTTTCTAATTCATTGAAACTAGATAAATATTTTTGAATTTTAGATACAAATGCAAAATATGCGCCAATTATTCCAATCAGTGCACAACTTAATTGTAACATGGATTCTGTTTGTGACTTTATAGTGCGAAAAATTCCTATACCCATAAGGGATTTTACTTCAAAACCAAAAATGACTAGTAAGTGAAAATAAAATTGTTTTATTTTTCAATAGAAATAATCATGCTTTTGTATCTCATAGTAATTCGATCATTTGATGTCAATAAACCTGGTACTGATGCTGATGATCTAAAAGGTGGTATCGCTGGCGGAAGTATCATCCAAGGAGTGCTTAAAGTGAGTTGTACTTTCTTTTGCTTGATACAATCTGATGAAAGATTGAGAAAAAAACCTCCAGCTCGCTAATGCTTCGATTTAAAATACTAAAATTGTATTTATGAAACATATAGGTCAATCAAACAATTGAAATTCGACCTGGTTTAATATTTAAAGATAATACAGGTCAACTACAGTGTTCGCCTATTAAATCAAAAATTATCTCTCTCTATGCCGAAAAAAATACACTTGAATTTGCTGTACCTGGTGGTCTTATTGGTAGAGTATGACGATTGCATTATGATTTTCTATGCGAATTTGCTTTTTTATTGTATAGGTGTTGGTACGAAAATTGATCCAACTTTAACTCGTGCTGACCGTTTGGTTGGTCAAGTACTTGGAGAAGCTGGTTCATTGTCAAGGATCTATATAGAAATTACGGCAAAATATTCTCTTTTGAAACGTGTAGTTGGTGTACAAAGTGATTCATCCAATCGAAGTACTAAGGTATATAGATACGTTTTTATTTTGTACCGAAATCTACTTCAGTGCTACTTTAAATTAACTCTTTTCGTATGACTAGGCTACTTCTTATTGCAAAATGGTTGAGTTATTTTTACGTTTAATTTTAAATATTATACTCTCAATAGTAGTTGAGATGTAGAAGTGATTTTAAAACCTACCAGATAGTAAGCTTCGAATGTAGATAGATAGAAGTTGATAGGATTTTTTTAAATCTATTTTTTGATGAAAAACCCTCATACATAGATATTGATTTTAATTCACAATATTACTACAGCCGTATTTCAATAAATATTATTATCATTATTTTTAGATAAACAAATTGAGTGAAAACGAAGTTCTATTAATCAATATTGGATCTTTATCCACTGGTGGTCGAGTATTACGTGTTAAAAGTGATTTAGTTAAAATTCAATTAACAAAACCAGTATGTGCTGATATTAATGAAAAATTGGCATTGAGTCGGCGTATTGATGGACATTCGCGATTGATTGGTTGGGGTGAAATCCAAACAGGAAAGGAAATTGAACCACAGATGGATATGTGAATAACTTTACTCAATTTGTTTAGTGCTATAGTGAAGTGTATAAAGATTGTTTCTATTTTTTTATGTCTTTTTCTTATTAATTCTATGCAATAAAAGTCGTACAAATACAAAATTTTAACGCTAGACTAATACGTTTAACAACAATACGATGAGTTTGGTTTTTCTATCTGAATAAAAGTTTTCAACAATGATACATAAGAAACCATACTGAGGTATATTCTGAATAAATAACGATTCACTAGATATTTTCGTTCAAGAGAAAATGAATTAATACTGTATCTAGCGTGTGATAAAATTATATTGTTTCACGAAATGTTTATTCACAGTACACAACATGCAAAACTATTAGTAAATCTTATTTCGTTTTACATCTTGCTAGTGTTGATGACTATCAACTAATTCTTAATCATATGAATTCAACGACTGATGTTCGTTACTGTATAAGAATATTGAATATTGAATACTGTTATTGGATGATTATTAATATCAACGCTTAAGTTAAAGAAGATCCTGTATAATCTCAAATACTCAAAACCTGCAACAATTAGTGATCTCTGGTTTTTAGCGATTGGAAAGGGGTTAGTATAGCATGTTGTCGCTTTCCAGGTTGAAGCTACGGAGTCCATATACAGCCATAAACGGTCATGTATGCTCCGTTTGGCTCCGTATACGATCGTATTTGACCGTAATAAATGGCTCAGTATTACGATTGTATATCGCCGTGTAGTATATGGAGAGATACGACCATGTACGGTAAAATACGAAGCAAAACGAAGATCGTATACGGACTCAATGTGCAGGAATCGTAAATGGCCGCGCTTGTTCGATCAGGGTTGTCTACGTAGTACTTTATAGATAACGGATATCTAAGTAATAATATACCTATCTGTATTTGACTGACATCTCTATTATTTTTCATTTGTTCAAAATTCATGTTTTTCATCTATTTCGTTCTATCAACCTCTATAAGAAACTATACTCTTTACTTACTTTATGGATAACTATACATGATCGATATTATAATAAAAAAAGTATAACTAAGCTTAGGCCAATGATGTTTTGCAGGTAAGAAAGGTAAAATGAACTATAGATCAAATTATATTTTGGATTTCAACAACTGCGTGGGACTCAAATACTATCAAAATATGGTAGCGATAATCTTCATATTGTATCTAGTGATATCTATCAACAATCCTGGATGAACAAAGCCTTTTCGGCAAATTCAAAAAGAAAGATATTAAAAATATGTAAGAACATTAGCATTAGTTTGACTGTAGAATACGCTTTGTGAAAATCCATGTAATGTATGGAATTAAAATTTCTTTCTCCTGAGATAACATTAAGAGAAGAGAACATAATGTACTCCCAGGTGAATGAATCAGATAGTGAATCCTATCAAATCTCATGGGATCCGACCAGCCGCCAAAATCCGATCCGACTTCTGGTCACGGACCTATTAACGAATCCGACGGAAAAAAAACATTTTCTTAATCACCAATGAATAAGCATATGGTGCTAACAGAGCACATGGGTCGAATGCTTTTGTTGGATTCCGTTAAATTCCGACACTGCAACCTACCGGATTTCAACACTAGGGTTCCGATTGTAGGTCCTATACCCGGATACCGATAGGATTTCGTCGGTTTAATGAAATTCATACTATATCCGATAAGATTCCAACACGAATTCGATAGGATCCCACTATCAGAATCATTCTCCTGGGGCGCTATATAAATATATCAAATTCATAAGTAGAACACATATTTAGTTCATCTTTCGTGTTGAACAAAATCTACTTTTATCTATAATCTTCTTCCAATAGTACTGAGATATTAAAAGACAATCTTTGGAGAACAGCGAATATGCTAAGAATACGGTGGGAATCCCAGAAGTATAATAATTCTAAGCAAATTTTGAATTTACGATCAGTGACTTGAAAAGTTCTACTTCAAATGTTTGGGGCTTATAGACTCCAGTTTCAGCACACAACCGAAAGAATCGTGTGGCCATATAGATTTCCCTTTCGCACAACTGATGATCATTTGTAAAGTATCGAAGAGTGCACACTTAAAATCTATTGAAATATTTTTCGTTTCAGTTAAATTAACGCATGATATTCACTCAAAGAAGATAATATCAAAAGACAGACACTTGTAGAATGACCGAATGATTGCAACTGACAAAAATAAAATACAAAAAACAAATTTGTTTTTTACGAAATTGTCTTGAGCTGCTGATTTAAACTAGCGTATCTAAGAAAATGGTGAATCTTAGTTACATTAAACAAAAATGGACGACTCTCTTTTGAATATGAATAAGTTCATTTTATCAACGAATCGATAGCAAGGCATATATATAATCTTAAAATAAAGACGCTTATTATTTCTGAACCACTTGGCAGAAGATGATGTAATGGAAAAAGAAAAGAAAACTGATGATAAAAATTACCACATAAGTGCTTACTATTTTATCTACCAATAGTATATATTATTCATTAATACTCATTATTTTTGTTTCATATATTATTACTCAGAACTAGAAAAATTCAAATATAATCTTCAACTTATTACGTTTGCGCATCAGTCTTCCGTTTAATGGTTACATTGCTAGTAAACAAAGTCCTTGGTAATAAAAAGATTTCATGCATCCTATATATAAATACTCAGAATTAGACTATTCCCATTATGATATAGAAAAACAGAAACAAAGTATTGCCAAGATAACACGTAATGCAAAAAATATAATAAAGATCACTATTATAGTATTTAGAAGTCAAGTGAAAATGCAATTAATTCAATTACTACAAAAAAATAATTTCATCAAACAATCAAGAAGATGGCAGAAGTCAAGATGACGTGTTCTATTCAAGATAGATAAATAATATTTCTTCGTCGAAATTTTGTCTCGTAGAAAAATGTCTCTTACAGAGAAATTGAAAATTTTGAATTAAAAATAAGATGATAAAATTCATCAATTCTGCAACTGATCTGAGATCAAGCTAGAAAATAAAGAAAAATATAAAGTATAGAATATGTTGACAAGACTTTGAAAACAAAAAATCATCATATATTAGTATATCTTTCTGATACACACAATAAAATCTCTTACTTTTAGAAAATTTTCAGTCTTATAAGATAGAAGAAGTTGTTATTATATTCGAAAAGAACTCTTTTTCTAACATAAGAATACTGTCTCCTTCTCTTCGTACTCTTATAATAGTGTCCTGTTAGATTATAAATAACAAAAATCAAAAATAGAAAAAGAAAAGAATCTAAAAATTGTAAAAGTGAAATTATTTATCTATAAACATTTAACTCCAATTAAAAAAACAAAAATTTATATATGGCTGTATTCGAAAATTTCAGAAAAAATTATAATTAGTATAAATTAATATTAACGAATATTATCTCACTGTGCTCATCTCATATATCCTTTTATGAATAAACAACAACACATCAATTCATTTATACTATAAGATCAATCATTTTATGTATTAACTAGTACATTAATTGCAACTATGATCTCTGTAAATATCTTAACCTCGAAAATTAGCAATAATTGTTCATCAAACTAATTTTTTATATATTTATATTCATGCGTTTATCATTAAAGAAATCGTAACAGCTATAACGATAGCTCTATTTCAATGATACGCAATTCTGATACTGACAATTTATACGTCAATCAACCTTAAAATATAGCATTTGAAATTAGACACATTTGTTTAAAAGCTATATTCAACCAATAATTATATCACTTTATTGTTAAATATTAGAATAATTATGAGACACAGTTTCTATAAAGAAAATTCCATTTCGTTTTTTCCATCCAACATACGTAAAATTGGATGGAATAGCTATGAGTTCTCCTTTAGATTCTATGTTAGCGAGTAGATTCATGTGGAATGTACGTATGAAGTAAAATCTTAATAATGGTTAAGAAACAAATGATCATTTTCCAGCAAGAGATGTTAACGATATATTCTGTATATTATTACACGTAATTAAATATTATTGATTTTAAAATTAGAATAAATGAACGACATTCTAACATAAAATTTAAAGTGAACATTCCAACAAGAAGAAAATATAGTGTTTTTATATACGTATTAATGTATGATATTTATTGGTATAGCACTATAATGCGTATGATACTATTATGATATATAACGCTATACCAGATTATTATAATATTTATCTAATAGACGAAGAAAGTAATAAAGTACGTATAAAATTAATCCTCCTTCAAAACTCAAGCGATCAAAATTCAGACCACATATTATTAACGCAAGAAAAGACCAATTAAACAAACTTGAATCTAACGAAGAAACATTGACGACGAGTGTTTATGTTTAACATCTAATTCGAAAAGCCATATTATAAATTGAAGTGACTAAGTAAAATATATCATACTACAAGCAACAAGATCATATAGAAGTGAATGTCTTAAACCGAAACTTATTTGAAAAATTAGGATATAAAAGAAAAGAAAAGGGTCAAAACTATATAAGCTCTAACACAAAAAATACTAAAGGAAAAAATTGGAATATTATGCATATCTTAATTTGCCTTCAGAAAAGTAGTTCATGTGTGACAAAAAATAGTGATTAATTTATGGAATTTCTGGATATAATGTAATAAACCATATGCTGATAAAAGTGAAACAAAACATCAAACTAACACGATTAATCGCGATTTGATGTTGTTGAATGCAATAAACAAGAACTATTTAAAAAAACAATTACAAAGAAAAAAATCTTGATGCCAATTGAAAAGATCCAAGCGGAATCTCTTAAAATCAATGCCTGCATACATTATTGAAGAAAGCATTCTATCTTGCATAAATGCTTGAAAATCCTGAAAGTGATGTAATTTTAAGTAAAAAGTTTTATAATTCAAAGTTCATCACATCAAATTAATCAAAACTACTACAGTGAAATGTAAATATATGCTTATCGATAAAATGATGTGTTTATAGAATACTGTTCGAACGGTATGAAATCGCACTATTATCATTTTGTACACTTCTGTTTTTGTCATGAGCTCTTACAGTATCAATCACTAACTCATTTAAAATAGAGAATTGATCCCAGGTCGTGGCCGTACGGCGGGAAACGACCGGAAAACACTGGAAATCGCTAGAAGGTGGAAACAGGATTCCGGTCAATTTCCAGTGCTTTCCGACAGGAACCTACAGTATCCGGTGACTGGTACGATCGACCTGGAATATCAGGTACTTTTTTCCTTTCTTTGTGATGATGATAATTGTATCGTATTCATAGTTTAAATAAATAGATGAATGTAATTTTGCATTTTAAGAAAAATGCGGTTTCAAGATCGAACAATCTATTGTAAAACAAGATATACAGTGGCGTAGCTAGGATTTTTTGAGCGTTGGGCCGCTTCCCAGCTAAATTATTTTGAGACATGGACTGTATTGGGCAATTGAAAATCGATTGGGCCGCAACTGGAAGTTGTCAAAAGTTTATTGCTACCTCCAAATCTATGTTGTTTCAAGGAAATTTGTCACTAACCTATTAGAAATGACCGTGTTTGCTAATGTTCTCTTTTTCATAAATTAATTCTTTATTTCTCAAAATCTATCTATTTATTTCTACAGTAAAAATCATGATTAATCATAAATAGAACGAAAAGAACATCAGCTCACTTTATCATCTCTCAACACGTAATGATGACTGCTGCTCTATATTATATAGCTAGCGAGTCCTTTCAACCTTGTAAGATTTTTAACGGCTAATATTTTTAGTTATCTGTACATTCTCTGAACTACATGTTATCATCCCATGTAAAAAAATTAAGGGTATAATCAGATTAAAATCGATTACAAAACGATTAAAATCATGCATCTTTTAGTCAATTTTTAATCAAAAATAATCGAAAAAATCAAAATTTCATTGATTATTTTGACCTATTTCGATTAAAATTGATGAAAATTAATTGAAGATTTTTTTACGCATAACGGACAGAAATCAATTGAAACCGGGTTTTTTTCATGAATTTTAATCGAAATTGATCAAAATAATCAATGAAATTTTGATTTTTTCGATTATTTTTGATTAAAAATTGACTAAAAGGTGCATGATTTTAATCAATTTTTAATCATTTTGTAATCGATTTTAATTTGACTATACCCTTAATTGTTTTACATGCGATTCCATTACTGTTACTACTAATTCCTAAGTGAAATTTTCAAACGGCACTCATTAACATCTTCTTTTGCGAATTGGAATTTTTATTAATCAAATTGCGAAAGTATTGTCCACACTTATACCGTTCAAGTATTCGGTTTAAGCTACGTCTGTCGTTTGCGTTCAAAAGAATTCTATGTTCTCTCGCAAGATTCATAAGTATACACTAATATCTTGATCACCAACTTTAAGTGAGGGCATAAGTTTGTTTCAAGTTAAAATATGATAGAATTGTCATTATTTTGATTATTGCTTCGGTGGAAAATATCGTCAATTGACTTTTCTCGATCATTTGAATATATTTCACCAGCAATCAGCGTTATAAAATAACATCATCTACGTTTTTAAACGTACATGCATGTATATCAATATTTTTCGGTGTTGGGCCATTGCTATTGCCTAAAAAATCTATTGGGCAATAAATTTTTAACCGTTGGGCAATTGCCCAATGGCCGCCCCCCTCGCTACGCCACTGAAGATATATAATAGATATAGACTTTTCTTGGCAAAAGAAGAAAAATATGTATCTGGAAGTTATCTGAAATATCAAACTCTTTAAGGAACACATTGAAGTAATAATCATAATCAACATTGATAATTCTAAGAAATATTGTTTAATAATGCTTCTCTAACGCTAGTTAACGAGGACTTCCATTATGCTGATTTCTATGCTTATAGACAAGAGGAAACACTCAACTAAAACCATAAGGGTTCTTAAATAATGAAATATAGTCAAATAAAGTATTTCAAATAGAAATTCTAGAGTAGCTCTTCTAAAAAAAAAGAAAAGTGTAGGAAGCGTAGAACTTATGTTGGTTGTCTTTGTCTTATCTGTAATTAAAATCAATAAAAGCTCTTATTCAATTCTATCAAAATTTGGTAAGATGCGATTGGAATTCTTTGAATTTGTTAAAATCTTGCAGACATTATTTTGCTTCTAATACTACGTACAATCAGTCAATTAGCTATACCATTGAATGAAGAGAATATTAGTACAACTAAAAACGTGCTAAGCTATTCTTTTCAGTCTTCAACACATATTCTTTATGTGTGTCTCGAACGATACACCCTCAAAGATGATATTCTCGAGAATAAAAATGCGACTGAAAAGTACAAGAAAATAAAAGGTAAATGATGCACAGTAAATAATGGGTATTGGAAGGAAAGAAAAAAACGCATACAAACATAATCTCTTCAAAGACAGATTCGATGTTGCACGCTGATTGTAAAAAGAATTTAAAAACTCATTCATTATGAACACATTTATTTACATATCGGTAATATATATTTAACTCACTGTATTTTTTATTGCTTAGCTATCGATATGAAAACAAAAATTGGTACAAATATATATGCATTATTTTAAAAAAACAAGGCCAACAAAATGAATATTGCATATTAAGGAGTTAATTCTTTAAAGCATTGATCACAAACTCGCTGGGGTTTTTTCGATGCTGCTGCAACAATAGCCGTTTTAGATGAACATGTATCACAAAATATATTTCCACAATTTCGACAATGATGTTTACGTTGCGTAATAGAAAATGTTTGATTACATTTCATACATTCATGTACATCATGATCATTTAACCATCGACGTTGACTTATATTATTGGTATAAATCTAATTCAATTTAAAAACAGAAAACGATATAATTTAGTAGAAAAGAAAATTCTATTTTTACTTGAAGACTTTGATATTCACGAGCGATCTCTTGTAAAGCAGACTCTAAATCAGAATTCTTTTTTGCTAATTGGCCATTTTCTAATAGAAGTTTTTCACTTCTATTTTCACTGGTTAACGATCGATCTAATAAGACCTGACTTTCATCTTGTGATGCATTTAAACGTGCGTGAAGATCTGATTAAAAAATAAGAAGCAATAAAAACAGATTTAATCAACATAGATAGAATAAACAAACCAGCTTTTTCAATTTTCACTTGTTCAAAATGAACTAATTTTTCATGAGCTGCTTTCAATTCACCTCGGACAGTAGCTAAATTTTCTGTTAATGCTGAGAATTGCATTTCATATTTTTTAGTTCGAGATTCAAGATCAGACTGTGCCTTGGTTAGCTCGTGTTCAAGTGAAGCCTATAACAAAAAAAAAGATTAAAAGATAAGCAAAATATAAGTTTGAAACGAATTTATTTACAATTTGATTTTCGAATTTTTCTAGTTGACGATCTGCTGCGTGTGTCACTTCAGTCAACGATTCGGATACCTGAAATAGAGAACCAACACTATAAATAAAACACAATCGTTGTAGAACAAATGAGAATTTTCATTGTTGAGAATATTTCACGTGAGTGGGACTATCAGTCTTTTGAGCTAAAAACTATTCGTTGAATTTTCAGAATAGATAGATTTGAATAATACATACAAAAATTATTCAGGATTGAAATTATACTGTAACTGCTAGAATCAAAGCGGAGTGTGTTATCATTTCTTCCAAATATCTCTTTGTTGTAACTCAAAAAAAAGATCAAAACATCAAATAATGCGTTTAATTTATATATTCGATATTGAAAATTGTAGATCAAACGATGTCAAATATTTCCTAAAAGATTACATTTAGGAGCACATTGTTTTCGTTCTACATGTTAAATATATTTCTCGAATGAAAAAATTTAGACAAAACGAGTCGATTAATTTTTATTCGTTTGAAAAGTTTTCAATGCTGAAAATATGAAATTAAGCTTCTTTTATACCTTCAACAAACTGTTATGAAGTTCATTTATTTGTGTTTCAAATTTTTGTTTTTCTTCATTATATTCTTTAGTCAATTGATTGTGTTCCGTGTGTATTTTATTCCAACGTTTTTCTGTAATCTGCTGTGCTTCGATTTGTTCTGCTAGTTTAGTCTATTGGAAGAAAAAATTACATAAGGAATAAAAGGCTATGAAGAAAAAATCTTACTTTATTGTCAACGATAATTGTATGCACAACAGATAAATAGTTAGTGAATTCCTGATGAATGTCTTCTAGTGTTTCAGAACGAATTTTTTGAGATTCTTGTTCAGACTAAATAAAATATATATTAAAGTTATTTTTCAGAAATCATAATTTTTGTCCAGAAAAAAAGTACATCCGTCGAGCCCGTCTCCGAGCTTTAGTTTTTGACTAGCATAAATATCTCGTGAAGTTTAACTTAACTATGCAAAGGATTTTTCAGTGACTCTTTTTTGTTATAATTTATCTATGAATCTGTGAAGTAGTTTATATTTACAATTAATAGCAAAACAATGCTTCGTTACTCTACTAATGCAAAGTCGAAACAAATTATTCACGATAATTCTGATTCTAGACGAAAGAGAGTTTTCAAATATGATGTCGGACTCTCTAAAGAAGTAGCTAAACGTTGTAGAGCCTATTTCTGAAATAGAAGATCTATAGACAAGGAATACAAGGGTAATGTTTTCAAAATTAATTTGATATATCGAAAGATTTAAAAAAATAAAATGCTTATTTTTCGTTTCAAGTGCTAACGCAGTCAATTCTCTGACGTCTCTTTTCAACTTATGAGGTATTTTTTAATTATTATTATTCGTTTATCTTAGGCAGCACTGAATAAAATTATTCGTCTCAATTTCATTTTAGACTGCAGTATACAATTCTAACCGATTTTAAAATCAAATTATCATCTTATTTTGATTTGTTACTAATTATAAAGTTAGAAAATACTAATATTGCCAAAAATAATTCAGTTACCTGTTCAATAATGGCTAATATATTTATTTGACTTGTATAAACATTGTGCTGAATATATTGTTGAGTTTTATTCATTTGATCAATACTTCGACGAATATTAGCAGTTAAGCGATCAATAGATTTATTCTATGGATAACAAAACAAAACGGTAGTCAATAATGGATATCAAATTATTTCGATGTATTACTTTTTCATCTAATTCTATAGATAATTGAGAAATTCCTAATTCTAATCCATCGATAGCTTGTTTACTATTTCCTAATTCTTTGTCTTGATTATCTCTTTCTTTTTGGACACTATTTAAATGTAATTTAGTTTCATTCAATAATTCTTCTTGTTGATGAATTGATTCTTTCAATTCATTGATTTCTGTTTCTAATTTATTTATTTTTTCAGTTGATTTTAAATTATTTTCTTGAAAATTATTATCTAATCGTTCCATTTCTTGTTTCTAAAAATACAATAGTCAAAACAAAATATGAATAAGCTAAACTCACATGATTATCATTAGCCTGTCGAAAATCATTTTCTAATTTAGTATTAATACTGATATATTGTTCACGTTCAGAAGATAATTCTTGATTTAACTCATTGATTTGTTGTTCCTAGAGTAAAACAAACAGTCAATACGATGAGAAGGAAGATTCTTAAATGGCATATAGAAAATCGAAGGAATTCTTTCTTTTTACTTTACAACAGCATTTTATTCTCTGTAGATTTCGTCGTCTATACAATTATAAAATATTTACGCATTGAAAACTTAATTTATGTATACATTTATTCACTGTAATTCGGAATCAAATCATAAGAGCCTTATGAATTTCTTAAGCTCCTAGAATATTGTTGATATGCCATACTTCGCGTGAATAAAACAATGAGTTTTAGAAAAGAAAATCAACTCTCTTGATGAATCCACTGAATCAAATATCGAAGTTTACATTGGGGAATGCTCAACAAGTGTTATAGTCGTGGAATATTACTACACTTTCTTTTTATCAAAACCGATTTATTATTGTTAAAACCAATACGATTATTCACTGAACAAAACTCTATCATGGGCAATTGAACATGTATAATCGAAAACAAAATGACTATCCTATTGAGTTTTTTCGAATAATTATTAATTGATATTTTTTTTTTACTTTATCTTTATTAAGATCATCTAATTGTTGTTTGAGTGAATTAATGTCAGTATTCAATTGTACTTTTTCAACTTGTAATTGATCCTAATGAATAGAATACAGCGTAATGAAAATTCATGGAAAATTTTCAATCTCTACTTTGTCATGATTTATTTGTGTTAATTGTTTTGAGATATTTTCAAAATCTTCCTGAATATGTTTGATTTTTTTTCGAAGCTCTTTTATTTGTTGTTCACATTCCTCCTTTAGAAAGAAAGAAAAATTTTTAAATTTAAACAAAAATTAAATCTTCTTACTTTTTCCTGTATTAACTGTCTAACAACATTTCGTTCATCTTCATTTTGATCATTGTTGACTTTCGTTATTAATAGTTCATTTTTTTCTTGCCTCAGTTCATTTAAAGCTTGTTCTAATGTTTGAATTTCATTAGTCAATGTTTCAATTTGAATTCGATAGGAACTGGTTTGCTTTTGTTCGTTTTCTAAAGCATTATTCAACTCCTGGTTTGATTGATTCTTGAAAAATAGACAAGACGACATAGGGTTTTAGTTTCAGAAACTTCCAATAATAATAAAAAAATGAATATACTGACTTGATTCTCAAGGTCCATATGCAACTGAGCATTTACTTGTTGTAGTTGATTTATTTCTATTTGATTCTAGAATGAATGAAAGGAAGAACAACGTCATGTTTTTTCTTTCTGTACAGATTTTCTCCTTTCAGTATGTTTGCTTTGGAAGAAAGAAAAAGGAATTATTTTCAGACTGCCTCACGAGGGAATGTCTCCAAGTGATACCAACCATTTGGGTTCGTATTGTGCTCATAAGTAGGACCCAGTGAGACTAGAAAAAGCCCAAAAGATTTCGTGCCATTAGGCCTTTCTTTCAAAGTTATAACCGTTTGCCCAGCAATAGGTCCCATCGATGATAGAAGATCCCAAAAGTTTCAGTGAAGATGGATGCATCCTTCTCGAAATATTGCATATTGAAGAGAAGTCAATTTTACGACATTTTTCTGGAAAATGGCCGTTTTCATCAATATGCAATATCTCAAGAATGATGCATCCGTTTTCACTGAAACTTTTGGAATCTTCTAACATCGATGAGACCTATTGTTAGGAAAAATTTCAGTTCGAAATTCCTTCATTCAATTTTTTCCATAAATTCCTTGTCCAAGCTCGAAAATTTAGTAAAACGGTTACAACTTTGAAAGAAAGGCCAAATGGCACGAAATCTTTTAGGCTTTTCTAGTCTCACTGGGTCCTACTTATGAGCACAATATGAATCCGAATGGTTGGTACCACTTGGAGACCTTCCTTCGTCAGACATATAATCAACTGATTAAGATATGTATTTCTCTCGTAGCTAATATTAATTGATTTGGTGATTACCTTCGACTGATGATGTCAAGCTGAGGAAAGTATTTGAATAGAAACTAGGTGAATTTTGTGGAAGTAAATTGAAAACAAAAAACATTTACCAGTTTAAAAATAACAAACCAGAAGAAAATAATCCTTTTATTTACTAATTATTTTTTAGATATTTTTTCATTTTTGTACATACATAAAATAATTGGAATAATAGTACGCTGTGCCAATAAGAAATTAAGATTAGTTATTAAATATCCTATTGCTTTAAAGGTGAACTTGCTTCCATTGTACTCGTAGCTCGAACTCATATTTACTAAAAGTTGGATATAACCCATAAAAAGTATAAAACAGTTTATCTGCATCGTTCCTTGCAGTCGACTTATAGCTGTAATATTAAAATTTCGTTTAGAAATCGATCTACAGATGTTTGGAATATCCTGTAAATTATTTGTTGAGAATTTCAACAGGATACGATTCCACTAACTTCCTAGTAAAATATATATTTGAACAAAACTAAACCTTACTGTATCTAAAGAAGTACGCATAGATTTTATAGTTGCAATCATTTTTTCTTTTTGTACACGTGTCAACTGAACAGCTTGTTTTATTTGAGTAATATCATTTTGAACTTGAGATGTATGATTACTGATGACTTCATCATAATTCAAAATATTCTAGAAGAAACTCATTTAGATAATCAATTTAAACAACAATTCACATTTACTTTATTAAATGTATTTTCAAATTGATCTAATCGTTTATCATATTCATAACTGTTCAATTATAACATGCAATTAAAATTCTTTCTGAACAATTTTCATATACATACATTTCTAGAACTGTATTTCTTAGTTTTTCATTTTCTTGTTCTTTTTCTAATGACATATCGTTCATACGTTGTTGAACACTAATCAATTCACGCTTTAAGACATCAACATCATCATTGGTTGGTCTAAAAAATATATAATCATATGAATAAATTCTTTCAACATGAGCAATACTAGACAACAAGAAAATGCTAAAGCAGTCATGCACGTCCGATTATTTTACATTAGCCTATGACATCAAAAACATTTGCATAATACTTACAAACTAGACATTTTTTAAATTAAAATAAAATTCTTTTAGAATGAAAATAAACTCTCACACAAAACCAAACTCATTTACCTTGGTATCAGATCGTTGTATAGAGTATTGACTTGATTTTGTTTTTCTTTTAATTCACCCTTCAAAAAGAAAAAAGAAAATAATGCGCATAGACATTTCTATAAAGTCTAACTTGTGTTTGTAGAAGTTCATCAGTAAACATAGCTAAATGTGCATCAGAAACGTCTTTGGTTGCTTTTAAATTTCCAATTGCTTGTGACTAAAAATAAAAATTTGTTTTCTTTTCCTATAAATTTGAATCAAAAAAGAAATGTCTCACTTGTTCAATAACTTTCATTCGTGTAGTACGTAATTGTTTATGTAATAAATCAATTTCTTCTTCAAGATCACCGACACGTTGTCTCTGTTGCATTAATTCACTACTTACTATAGAAAAAGACATGCAGTTAACATTCAATATTCTCAAAATTGAATTTTATTTACATTTCATTCGACTTTCTTCTGATCCACAAAATTGTTGTTTCCATATAGCAGCTTCTTGAAGAGGATCCTAAAAGTCGATTTCAAATTGAATATGTATGACTGTTTTTCCTTCGCTTACATCAGCCGATGTATGTCTCGATGAATGCTTAATACTACCATTTGTATCTTCATAGATGGTAGCTGCTTGTACTTGTGAATGAGTTTGTAGATAGTGACGCTCAAGTCCACTGGTGTCAGTAAATTTCTGATGGCAGACTGGGCAAAGAAATCCCTTTCAAATAGAAGATTTTCTAGAGATAATGACATTCAATGGAAATACAAACTTCTTCATCGAATGAACATATTGATCCAGTGTCACTTTCGTTATTATTGGAATGAATTAATCCTGGCTATGTAGAAAAACAAAAGATAGATTTTAATTTTTCAAAATAAAAAAACAATAACAACAGTGGAAATCTATTTACTTTGAGATTTTTTAAACGATTCAAAAAGCTTGACATGGTTAATGAAAATATACAGAAATACTCAATAAAAACAAATCTATTGCCTATTTTCAATAGTCATTGAGTGAAAAATAGCACACCTATTGGTCAACTATGTAGCCAGTTCAAAAAAAGCAATGTATTGAGGGCGCTAGTAATCATATACTTAAAAACAAAGTGTTATCAGTCTTCTAAAACATGATACCAATAGTTATCTAGTTGTCGTTTTTTATTCTTAAGAATATTTAAAATGGTTACTTTAGTAATAATTCTACTTATTATAACTATAGTGATTATTTGTCGATGGTATTTATCGCGTGTACATTCATCGTTATATTGGTGTTGGGATAATGGAATTGAAGAAAAACGGATTTTTATTGATACAGAAAAAGTATCTTTTCCAGAAAATTTCCTATGGGGTACAGCAGCTGCTTCTTATCAATGTGAAGGTCCAGGTGATAAAGCACCTGTTGCTTCGAATTGGTCTGTATGGGAACCTGCTGGAATTAAAAATGGTCAACGATGTGGAATAGCTGTTGATCATTACCATAAATATAAAGAAGACATACAATTAATGAGTACACTTGGTTGTAATGCCTATCGATTTTCTTTAGCTTGGGATAAAATTGAGCCTATTGAAGGACAATATGATAAAGATATACTTGCTCATTATCATGATGTATTAAAAGAGTTACATAGACAATCAATTATACCCATGATTACATTTCACCATTTTGTTCATCCATTATGGTTTGAACAAAGTTTAGGTTTTCTTGAGTCATCTAATCTAGAAAAATTCGTTCGCTTTTCTGTTGATATGTTTCGAGAATTTGAAGATGAATGTCATCTATGGTGTACAATTAATGAACCCGAAGTTTATGTTAGTGGTTGTTATTTCAATGGAATCTTTCCACCTGGTCATAAAGCTCAACCGAACGAAGCCTCTCTTGTTCTTCAACATCTTTTGCAAGCTCATATTGATGTCTATGATAGTATAAAAACAATTGCTCGTCAACCTGATCAACATTCCATAGGTATTGTGAAAGATATATTTCAATTCGATGCATGCAATCCACTCAATCCATTAGATTTGTATGCTAGTCATATATTAGATTATGCTATGAATGGATGCATATTAGATTTCTTTCGAACAGGTCATCTGAAATGGACAATGCCAGGTTCAATACAACGAACATATACGAATTTGCGTGCACCTCATACTAATGATTTTATTGGATTAAATTATTATTCACATTTTCTTGTTCGATTTAATTTATTTAAAAAGCCACCATTTGAAATTGTACATCGCCATGATGATAGTGGAAGTGCTCTTATGACTGATATGCCTTATCCATTATATCCCGAAGGATTATATCGTGCTTGTGTTCGCCTTAAAAATGAATTATCTCGTATACCAATTTATATAACAGAAAATGGGATTGCTGATCGATTTGATGATCGACGTCATTTGTTTTTAAGGCGATATCTTTATGCATTGAGTCAAGCTATTAATGAAGCTGGTTGTGATGTAAGAGGTTATTTCTATTGGAGTTTAATTGATAATTTTGAATGGGCAGAAGTGAGGAAAATAAAATAAAAGTTTCTTATTCACTACTTATTTTATTTTTCTAGGGTTTTGATATGAAATTTGGTTTATATGCTGTTGATTTACAAACACAACAACGTACATTGCGTGATGGTTCAAAATATTTTCAATATGTTATTCAAAAACATCGAGAAAAATATGAAAAGAAAAAACTTTAAATTTTCAAGCATTTTGTTTTTTTTTAAATAAAAATTCATGTAAAACTATTGCATTAATACATATTAAAGAATAGAAATACAATAGGTAAATATGTATGCTCATTAATATGAACAGAAATCTACTAGTGAGTAACTATTGACCATCTGAACAGTTTAATCATTATGTTTATAATTTCGATTGAATAAGTAAGTATTGATTCATTCTACGTATGTACATGACATGCGCAAACTGTTTTTTTTTTATTTGATATATGTACATAGTTTATAAATGATTAAAACGTAGTAAATATTTATTTTGTTGATAAAAACAAGTTGATTCAATCCTTAACAGTCCAATCATGTAACCTTTTTTTTTTCTTCCTTTTGGTTTGGGATTGTAACTCATTCAAAACAAATATATTGCTTCTCGTACAAAATACAACATGTCGGACGTCCAAATATCTTTCGCAATTCTCATCGATGGTAAATCACATATTAGAATTTTCTTATGTACATTGATCGGTTTTGAACAGGAAATAATCGATCAGTTCATATTCTATTCATTATTGACGTTGAAGTTTCTCTTGAAAAAAATTCTTCTATTGTGAACTAATTAATAGTTTTTCAACTATGGAAAAAATCTCCACGAATAGAATCATGATGCATACTTTGTGTTCAACTCATCAATCATCATCTTCATTTTATGTGTACATAACTTCCTGTGAATTACTTACGGCTATTCTAGTGAAACTCTTATTTTGCTTTTGACAAAAATCTATTGAGATAGCCAGTTAATACATAACTAAGCTCTAATATTTCTTTGTACATGCATCACTGTTACATATGCCTCGCCATATAAGATAAAAGAATGATTACAAACAGAAAAAAAGACAAATAGGATAGACAAACTCAGAAGAAACAAACCAAAATTGAATACATATTCAAACGAGAAATAGGACACGACAAAACAAAAAGAATAAGAAAGCGGGTTAGCCATCAAAACGAGAAGATGGAAGTTGCTCATTTTCTTGTAAATGATGACGACGTCGATGACGATTTTGTTTAAAACATATCGTACAAAAGCAGCTCGATCCTTGTCGACGATTGTTAAGAACAAAATAACGACATGGTGGACAATTGAACATACGTTCTAATAACATGTTACAACATGTATCACATTCACTATTGCCTTCGGTTGGTGTTCGACTGCATGTTGATGTTGTCGCATAGGTATCACATGCCAAAAGAATCGGTTTTCCAACGACAGTGCTTGAACCGAGACTTATGAAAATAACAATCAATGAAAAATACCATAGATTTGTCATTTAATTTGTTGTTAATTGCTATAGACAAAAATATTCATATTAAAAAAATATCACGGAAATCTTAGATGTTTCAAAGAACAACTGAAGTGTAATTATGTTGATAAACTATTACCTGATGAGTCCATATTTTCCATAGATTTTTGATCTACAACCATCCCCATTAGGACGGTACCGTCGGTCAAACTCAAACCGACTACATGGTACCACTGTTCACTTATTCTCTGGTTTTTTTTCGTAATGATGATTGAATAGCAGAATTGGACTCGTGATGCAAAGCAATTCAAGTTACATTCTTTCTCTCATTTTTTTTCTCTATGTATTGCGTGATGGTATAAAGAAGAATATGTTGCGTATGTGCTGCAAAAGAAAAGAAAAAAAAGGTCCTTCCGTCGTAATCTTTGTGTTCGTTCGCTCTTTTTTTACTGCTTTCCTCTGTTCAATCTTACATAATACTATCTATCATATGAGTCGAGCGTGTGCAAGAAAAGAAAGAAGAAGAAAAAAAGAATATTACATAATTTATCGAAAGAGAGTAAGCTTGCTTTATTACGAGAGATGCCCTTTTTGGTTAGTAAGTTTCATCACTATGCATGTACAAATATAGAAAGAAACGAGTTGACCTGATAGTGCTGTAACATATACATTTATATATATATATATATATATATATATTTATTGTAAAGGGAAGAGAAGAATAGAATAAAATGTGAAACAGGACAGTGTGAGGGTCAAATGAACTCACTATGGAGTTATAATGAACATGTAGAATTTTATGTATACCTGAAGAAAGGCGAAAAAAATTGATTCTTGGTGATAGTGTATGATGATGAATAGATCGGAAAATGTACAATATTGCGATTGTTGTTGATGCATGTCCATAAATAGGAAATTTTAGAGTAGGCGATGACACTTAATTAGTAATACTAGTTATTTTCTATATTGATTGGTAGTATCATTTAACATTCTTTTGATACATCTACGTCTGTTGTTTGTAAAAGAATTTATTGTCTGTATTGTCATGAAACATACTATGTTAACTTCGTCAATATATTTATCGTTTATTATATATGACGTTTTCCTCTCTTACCAAATATATATATATATATATGTATGTTGTATACATTAAATCAACATATATAGTTCGTTTTTTACTAGCACATCATTTCGCAAAAGAACAGATTTATATCTGGTAAAGATCATAGAAGCACAACAAAGTAGAGAAAAATAGTGTATCTGAATCGCTCTCTGTCATAAGACCAAAAAATGTAGATATAGGGGCGCGTGATAACGAAGAAAAAAAAACAGGTTAAACGATACGACCAGTAAACGACCATTTACGACGCATTAGCGAGCTATATTTGACTGTAGTATCTGGCGTAGAAGTATGAATCGTATCATAGTGAGCTTATAGTCGTATACATTGATAATACGACATTATATACGGCATTGTATTATTGTTGTCGATGTTACAGAGCATTCCAAACCGTTGAATGCTTCATATGACATGAAAGCAGCCCTATTCAACAACGTTACAGCGAAAATACAGAAAGCTGTATCATCCACCTGAGTATAGTTGCTGCTTTTGTAAGCGGTTACCAAGTGTAGCCTATTGGCTTTTTGATGCATTAGAATTCTTTTTCTCATATCTATTTTCTTTTTTTTGTTGTTGGTGATAGCGTACGTGTACCTGGCGATCCTAAATCTTGTTTATTTATTTGAAATATTCTATGCCTTTTATGCAGAAAATTAAGTTCAACTATTGATGATGGTGTTTCATCATTTACAAACGGTTTGTCACAGTCAGTACCATCAATTAATTTGTCATGTTGATTTGGAATCATTGCTATGGACATAAAAGATAATTATATAGTAGTTGCACTTTCATTATACCAGTTAAACCAGTGCGATTACTGACAATCATGTAGGATGACAAAAAGAACACATTCGACTGTATATGCACTCCGTAAACTTCGACCTAAATATTTGCTTGAAAAATAGCAAGAGGTTACAAAAAATTTGTTCGATGGTATAAAAATACATATAAATTTTTTCTTCCGATATACTTGCTGATTGTATATGAGCCCCTGGCCAAAGAATACGGTCCAAATACGGTCGTAAAAGCGTTAGATACGGCCCGTAATCCAGGTCGGTGTTTTACAACAGTATTGTGTTGTATTCAATATACTTGCGGCATGTATACGGAAAAATCACGGAGAAATACGGTCGTGAAACTCCGACCTGCTTGACAGCGAAAAAAGGTACTTAAGCGGTACAAATACAGTCATATACGACCAGTATCTGGTGACCGTATTCAATCAACCGGGCAGGTTTACTATAATATCATTCATTGTTGGAGATATTGATAAAGGTTTTGTTTAATTTTCTTGATGGAATTGTTAGAGTTATAATTTCTTCTTTTGGTCTGTCATTATTATATAAATAAATATATATATATATATATATGTGTGTGCGTGTATAGGTATACGTGTGTATACTCGACCTTTATTTTATAGGAATGAGTGAAAAATGGCAATAACATATATAATATATATATAACAAGAACGAAAAGAGAAAATATTAAGAGAGATTGAAAAAGATGAGAGACGATAGAGAATATCCATGTTGAACCGTATGACTTTAGTGCACGCACGGGACATCCGTACGCCTCACCCCATGTGTAGTGCAGTGCACGAACGTAATACGTACTATGTACTTTGCTTGTACCCAGGTCGAACATTCCGGTCACTGGATCCCGCGGGATACCCCAGGAAATGTGTAGGAAAGTCACCATATCCTGCAGGAAAACATGGGAAATCGCTGGAACATGGAAGCAGTATTCCGCTCAAAAATACGGTCGAACTTTTCCGGCGGATTCTTGCCAAGTTCCGGTGTTTTCCACCAGGAATTAATCGAAAATCACCGGAAAATTTCCGACCGGAATACAGCTTCCACAAGATCAACGGAACTACCCGGAACCGACCGTTTCCAGGCCGGACTCTTCGGCCTGAGATACGTCATGTATACAGCGAACAAATCTCTCAAGAAAAGAATACACAATCAGATAATGAGCGTAGAAGTCTAGATAACGACGAGCCTACCGTTAGACTTATTGTGTATTATCTCCCATCTATGAAAGCGATCTTAATTTTTTCAGAGAACAAATTTTTCAAAAACAAATTCGTACGAAATATCTCAAAAATATTCCAGATTTTCTTTCGAATACCTCGAAAATATATAGTTTTGATCAGCGTCCTTATCACTACTTTCCTGGTTGGGCAAATTTAGGTAACAAGAAATTTTTTCTGAACATTCGCGCATCTACCTTCAGGAGTTCTATGATCAGTAATTTTTTTCCCTTTCCAGAAAGAATTTTCATGCCATTTGCTCGAGAAGACGCCTATCACTTGTGCAGTATTTTCTTTCGACAATAGTGTTTTCATACGCATGTCAAAACTATAACTTCAAACAAAAAGTTTTAGGTTTTTGCGCATGTCTATGTACAAAGTAAATCTTGATAGTGTGGGTACGAGGGGCGTCCAAGGACTGAGGATTATTAATTTCTCATCAGTTCCCCTACAGTTCCGTGCATAGAACACGCCACAGTACAATTGTACGTCAATCAGAAAATTATAGCAATCTTTAAACATCGTCATACACGTACGCAGCCATTACTGTATAGTTTTCGTTTCCATTTGTTTATCTCGCAAACAAAAGAAAGACAACTACCTCATGCAAAATTTAAAAAAGCATCCAAGAATGTCTTTCTCTCCTTCCTTCAATCCATGACTCACGAATACCATCGCAAACAAATAAGAATGCCTTCTTATAACAGGAGAGGCATCTCTGAACATAACAGTCATAACCAATCGATGTCGAATAGAAATATCACCGATAATTTGATAGAGTTATTATCAAGACATCATGGAACACCTTGAATCTTGATACCTGAGTATTGTGCGGAAGATTGATGCATTAGAATAAGTCTACAAAAAGGTCTTCGAATATGTTTTTCATCATGAACAGCTGAGAGATGCTCGATACACTTGTTTTTGTAGAGATAGCCGTAAATTCAAAGATCTAGTTATTACATGATGTGTGTAGTAGATTTTGTGTCTCCAGTTTCATCGATATCTGCGATATATCACCATTCAAAAGATTCTCAATTTCCCGAGGCTCCCTCCGCCATCCAATCTCGTAAAAAGAACATAGATATATGGAAACATGCACATAATTGAATTCAGGATTCAGTGGAATCGTTATGTTATTGTAGGTTCAATTGCTATCTTAGGAATGACAGTATTCCTGACTTTTGACATATGTGAATTGAGAATAAATAATCGTGGAGAATAAATCAAGTAAGATGCCTTCAGTTTTTAGAGCTTGTTGGATTGGTGTATTTTTCGTGAACCCTCTAGACTCCCTCGGCCCCCCCCCCCGCTTCTTTGAAGAATTGTGAAATCTTTTTTGATTTTGTTTTTGAATTCAGTTTGAAATATAATACCTGATAGATCGGAAATCTATCGATTCAAGTGAGGTCAGGGCCATAAGTAGGGAGGAGGGTTGAGTGACACCCTTTTGCTTTGAAAATTAGTTTTTTTTCGTCAAAAAATCGAAAAAATTGTTGTAGGGGTACTGCAGTATCCGGATCTATACGGACGAAGACATTACGCCTCGGATTGAAGCCGATTGTTTGAATTGTTGTCTCAATCGATTCAAGAATTATAATCTATTTCCATTCGATAATATGTGAATAGATGAATGATTTCTAAAATAGTTGAATTTTCATACATTTCATCAAAAATAATCAAGATTTTGAATCTAATATTTTTCACTGGGTACGTGTACGTGTACGTGTATACACAATCTTTATTTCATAGGAATGAAAGAAAAATAGCAAATAGCATGTCTAATATACATAACAAAAAAGAAAAGAAAAAATAACAATAGATATTAAAGAAGATCAAGGATACTATATAATGATGATTGATTATATCTATGTGCATCATCACCGTGACAAGAATGAAAGTGCGTTTTGAATATTAGTGAGTTTCGGTGATGGAATAGGATACGTTTCAATTTGAACTGCTGTTGCTCGTGCCAGATCACCGATAGTATTGATACTAATTGAATGAAAGTATTCAATAGTACTTATAGGGCTAGAAATACAGTGTTTGAGTTAGTTTTAAAAAAATTGATGAAATAAATACCATGCATCGTCATATAAAATATTAAGTAAAGAATCAATTGGTTTATCACACTGAATTAAACTTGGGAAAAATGCACCCTCAGCGTTTATTTCACTTGACACGCATGAATGTTTTTCATTTGAAGTAGAAGTTGGCTAAAGAAATATTGAAGTTGTATTATTGAAGAAAAATAATTATTTTCGAAAAACAAAATGAATATTCTAGTATGAATTAGATTTATTTCACAAAAACATTTGTGTATCAAACGATTAGTTCCTTAATTTTAATGTAATTCTTTCGTAATATGCATTTTACTATTGGAGATGAATAAAATGTTAATAAGCATTGATCTTAAGTGAAACTGATGCTGTCTGTATCGAAGATATTTTGATGTACAGAACAATGAAAGTAGAAAAATTGAAACTTATTAAATCATTACTAAAGGATACATTTCTCTATTTTCTGTAATGTTGACAAGTTTTTCCATGAAGCTTATAATAAAACCAAAAAACCTCTCGTATTATTAAAAATCTTCCATCCTTTAGTGTGATAGTTTTCTGAAACTTGAATATTATAGTTTGTTTTCAAAGAACCTAACTCTTTCAAACTGCAGAAATCCTAGAACTATTCGAACTACGATTTGATTTTGAATTAAATGTTTACCATCATAAAAAAAATTATAGTTCCTGTATATTTTTCACTAATCCTTTGAAAATCACTTTCATCTCGTATTACAGAGAGAACTAATGTTTTCATTATTGAAATAATCATTTTCTAAGCTACTAGACAAGTAAAACAACAAAAGAAAAATGACGACCATTGAGCCAATTCCAACAGTGCAAAATCTCTAGTCACTATTTAATATAACCAGAGTGACTGAGAGATGATGTACTGATGCAACACGTCAATACAACAAAGACAAACTATATCAACTGAGGAGTGCAGTTTATCTAGTCAGGAATAAAATATATCAACCGGACACAACCAACTCCACTCCACTGTTGAATAGACAATATTCATCACAGTACTAATATTTATTTTGTTTTATTTCATTTCAAAATTTTACCTGGTCTATTTGATGAGTTTGTGTCCAATCAGCTAAAGCATCATTTGGATGAAATAATTTCGATGAACGTCGTTTAATATTATTACTAATTGATGGCGATGATATAACGATTTGTTCATTATTATCCATAGTGTTTAAATGTTTAATAGTCATCGATTGTTTTCGTAATGGAAGATTTTCTTTTGGTATAATGCGTGTTGGTGATTTCATATCATCTTTATTAGGACTTTTCTTTTTCAGTTGTGTATTTGAATCGCGACGTGATGGCGAAGCAAAAACTATGACTTTAACTTGATCATGAAAAACAACACGACGTGTATGATCTAGTCGAGGTTTTGTTGGTGATAAACGTTTAAGAATACTTCTCATTGGTTGTATTTTTATTTGTTCTATAGTACTTGATTCAGCGTTTGCCGATACGGTTTGAGTTAATTCGTTCGTCAATGGATGTGCACGTTGTTTTCGTGCATTATGAAGTAGACTTTTTCGTCCTGATATTGATGGACGACATGAACGACGTAACTTTTTAGAAATCGATGATTTTACAGGGATATCTTCCACAGTAATACCTACTTCATCAGATATTGTTTCATCCGATTTTGTTGAGGATTCAATTACAGGACTCGTTTCTTGTGTAGGATTAGTGAGTGTTTGCTTAAAAAGGCATACACTAGCTGTACTTTCTTTATTAGTATTTCGACGTTGTTGATAGCTGTTCATCATATTTTCAATATTTGGTGTGTCCATTGTAGAAGAATTTGATTGTGTATTACTATTATCATCACAAAGTAATGGTATGCTTTGACGTTTACGTAATTTTTCTTTTTGTTTTTCTGTTAAACATGAATTTTTTGATGATACACGTTTGCTAATAACAACTGGTGTGTCTGATTGATTATTATGATTAATATTATTTGTTATAGGAACATAGACTGGTTCATATTTATCGAAATTTAATGAACGATTCAATGATGGTAAAGATGGAATTACAAAACGTGCAGGCGAAGAAGGTTTTATTGGCTGTTGATTATTTACTATTGGTGGTACTAATGGAGTTACAATATCGATTTGTTGAGATAATTGACTTTCATCAGTACTACTTGGTGCTGGTCCACTACCAGCTGTATTACTATTATCATGATCGGCAAGAAAACATGGTAATAATAAATGTTCTTTATCTTTTAATTCGCGAAGACATATTCTACAAAAAGAAAATAAATAAATAATTTATTTCAATTAATTGAAAACATATTTGTATTGACATTAACACAGATGATGGATTAGACTGGTATTTTTCGTCATTGTGAATGTATGCAAGATATTCTAAGAGATATCTTTATCATTGTCAAAATTAATAATCTGTCGAAATAGAGAATGGTATTTAGCAATTTTGACATTCATTAAGAGAAAATAACTGTTTAGAATAGAAAGGTAAAGACATGCTTTGCGTTTTTCGATACCTCATTTCATGAATAGAACTAGTGCTTTCAATCGTTATTAATAATAAAATCATGTCTCGTAGAATAATCAACATATGGGCATTTTTCTTTTTCAGGGTTCCGGTGAAATTTCTAGAAAAAAATCTAGGTACACATTTACTAAGATTTAAAATCTAAGAGTGACTAGAAATGAAAAGACAGTTGATCTATCGTACATTTAATGCTATTTTTTTCGGATTGCTGATCAATATTGATTAATTTTCTTACCTAAGTTCATTTGGATAGACAATAAATGTCATTCGCCCGAATGTTTCATTCCAACATTTTCTTGCTTTATTTCTCATAATTGTTTTATTATGTTGAAAAGCAAGTATTAACAATGGATACATAAGTTGAAGAAGTGATGAACTATTCGATGGATCGAATACGGACGATATTAACGATAAAATTTTATTTAATATAACATTATCTGATTGTTGTTTATTTAAAGCTACAGGCGATGAACCCACTGATAAATTTATATTTATTGATTGTTCGTACAATTGAAGAAATGGAATAAGTTGTGTTAGATTTTTAAAAATAATATCAACATGTGAATAAATTTTACATAGACTCAATAGATCAACAATGAGATCACGTATATATGTAAATACAACTGATTTTGTCTGTTCATTCGATGAGACTTTAGTTGTTTTTGATAAACAATGACAAACAAATACATATTGAATATTATTTTCACTATTAGATAATAAACGTTGTAATACATGATTAATTATAGTTGATATTTGTGTAAAACAAAGTAAAATCGATGATGACGGTAATGAACGTTTTTGTGTATTCGATAATAAATAAACAAAATTATTATTATTACTATTATTACTATTGTTATGATTATTATTTGATCGGTCGAATACAACTGATAGGTCAATATCGGAGAATGTTTTTAATACAGTTTTTATAACATTTAATATAAAACCAAATAGACGTTGATTATTTTGATCATAAATGGCTTGCTCAAATGCAGGTTCATTTCGTAATAATTCAACAAGTAAATGAATTAAGAAATGTTTTGATTGATCATTATTAATTAATGTTAAACGACATAATGCTTTAAATAATTGTATCCATAATAATGTATAAGAATAATCCAAACGTTGAACATCATTAAAATTAAATGGACGAAGTAATAATTCAATAGATGTTTCTTGTTTTTGACTGTCGATTTTGTTGTTTAATTCGAATGTATATGAACGATTAAGAATGTTAATCAAGAGTGTTGAACAACGAAACCATATATGCCAAAATAAATATGGAATTGTTATCGGTTGATGAGATAATTCAACTGAACATTTAAGCAATAATGAACTTGTTTGATGACAAAAATTTTCATCCGATGTTTTTGATAATGTATCTATTAAATAGGATATAACATGAAGATAAGCATCTTCTGTTGTTTGATCTTCATCATTAAATCGTATAGCATGTTCTAACATTATATGAAGATACTGATCGGATAATGTTGTACAATACGATAAAGACTTGTCCTCTAAAACAAAGACAAGAGAAAATTTTTATTTCAATACTCTTTTGTTAATCAATTTGAATAGAAGATTAACAGATGATAAGAAAAGTTTGTCAATATGTCCACTGATTATATTGAATTCAAAAACACTCCTAGACCAGGATGGAGTATCAACGCATAACAAATGCTTTAACATTAACGAGATCACCTGAGGTGCATAGAAGCTACGATCAGTTTAAACACATTATTATGATTGTATATTGTACTGTAGAAAGTCCTTCATCTTTTACATAGGTTCCATTGATGATCATCTCGCAGTTGTACTCAATAATTATTTATTTGAATAGGCCATCTCGAACAACATGTACACACTTGTTTACTACGTGAGGTTTACTCTAGCTCAATGTCATCATTTGATCAGTTGATAGTATTATATACATTTTCAGTACACTTCGCTAATAAATCAATGAATCTTTTATATAGTTTTTCTGATGTATATGAGTTCGACAAATGATCGAGTATTTCAAATAGTAGAAAGCTAGAGAATAATAAGATCATGAGAAAAGACTAAATAAATACAATGCAAGCTAGGTGTTTTTTCTGTTTGTTGCTCTTGTAATCAAGTCGTCATATGCCCATGATAAACTAATAATGACTTGACATTTTATATTTATTTTATCACTAGGAGTGCAGAGAGATTCCAGCTGGACGAAAAAGTACTTTTTCTAAAGATGCTCCTTTCAGGGTTAAACAGTTATGAACAAAATAATACTCGAACCATTAGTTTTATTTTATGTGTCTGTTAGAAATATCAACTTTATCTCAACACAACAAGATATTTGATGTGACTTTTCCTGTGATTTTATAAGTTTTTAAAACTTACGCGATTTATGATTGGTTGATGAAGGATGTATTTGTGCAGCTGATAAAGTTTTTGTTCGCGTACTCGAATCTCGTAGTACAGTCTCGATAGCTAGCGGAAATCCAATTTGTTCAAATGTTTCAAATAATTTTAAAAGAAAACGTGTTTCAATTCGTGAATCGATCCATAATTGTTCAATACGTGTTAATAGGCAAGTATTAATTGCTACACGTTGGCTTTCTTGAATTGCATTATTTAATTTAAATATATTTAATAGATGATTTAAATATGCATTCCAACTTGTTAACCATAATGAATTTTCATCAAATTTTATTGAATTAATCTTATAATCTAATAGTTGATCAACAATCGAATCAAATAAATAATTAAGTATTTGATCACCGGCTATGGTAAGAATATATTCACTATGATTATTTTTAATTAAAAGCTCATGCATAAATTGTGCTCCTATTTGACGACACTCTGACCACCATGCTGTTGTGGTTGACACTGTTTTTGATGTTATATGATTGCCAAAAGCAAATGAAAGAAATGGCAATATAACATCATTGATATTTTTTGGATACAGTGAAATAAGTGTTATCCATGCACGACATTTTGCTATTGATGCTGATTTACTTTTTGATGTTGAATCAGATAAAAATGGTGTTAAAAATAATTTTAATAAACGACTATTTAATAGTTGAGAATCGATATCATCTAAACGATGAATATAGGACATAAACGATGACCAACTGGTAAATGCAGCACTACGAATCGAATAATTTTGAACGATGAAAGCTAAAAGAAAACACGGTAAGAAATGAAATGATTTATTTTACAGCAGAGTTTTTTTCTTTTTTGATTAATGAATTTCAATATAAAATAATATGGGAATATCTTTGTGTTGAAAAGACTAGCAAGGATTCCTTTTTTTTTCTTGAAAAGTAATTTTTAATTCTATAGTCATCATTAAATAGTTTTCTTTATACAGTATACTGTTAAGTGTTTCGAAGTCAAATAATCATTGTCAAGCCTTTTCAATGCTTCGTTCTTTTCACACTGATGGAATGAAAAGAAAATACGCTGTATATCACCTATGAGCGAAGAAATCTTGCGCAGGCATTTATTGAATCAAATGAACCAATAAATCTTCAGTTTCACCTATAATCTAAAACATCTCTATTCTCTTTCCTATCATTGATTTCTTCTTTTCTTTCTATCGTACGACCTGACAGAAGATACCCATTGTTTTCTACTCGAATCAAAATGGAGTCATCGCTTTTTCTTCTAAAAATTGAACTTACCATCTTCAATAACAGCGAGAATTTCATTTCCTTTTACGTGACCTCGTATTATTAATCGACAAAGAAGACAAGCTAATGATTCCCATAAATGAATAGTAAAGAAAGCTAATCGTGTATCGTCTGAATTTTGTATCCATGATTTTAATTGATGCAGAAAATTTGTGGAAATAATAAATGATGATCGACCAAGAATTTCAATAACATCTTTTGATAGTGGTGGAAATTGTTTAACAATTTTTGAAATTAAATCATCAATTAATTCTCCGTATACTAAATAAGTTGTTGACGAAAGATTTGTAGCAAGAAAATTCAATAAATATGATAACCATTCAGCTAATGTTAAACTTAGAATAGTTGTTCGATGTTCCACGAGTACAATAAATAATCGTATGGTTGATAACAATAAATCTTTGTTATCATCATCGTCATCCTTTGTTGTAAATATTTGTTTAATAAATGGCAATAGATCTTGTTTAAATTGTATCTCTGATAAATTATCACGATTTGATATTAAACAATCAATAATAAATAATTGAATTTTTCTATCAACATTTTCTATTGTTAATATACTACAAAGAATGGTAACAATTATTGATCGAGGTGTTACAGTTTGATAGTATTGATTGTAAATATTAATAAATTGAGCTGGCGATTGAAGATTTGAATGGAACTCATCAAGCATATTTGAACCATCGATAACGTGTGACAACACACTGGTCGCTCGCGTTTTTCGTGAGGCTACTATCGATGATGTTGGCATTGTTAGAGAAATTGATCAAGTGTGAGATCATCGTTTCGTTGCAAATTTAACAAACAATGGTAGCCATTCAAATGGACATGTTCAGACAATGCATAACCTCCTTTTTGACACTCAAAGGTAAATATCAAAAGCAAATAGCCTACGCCAAATTATACCTATGATAGAAACATAAAAAAGATTAAACTTGATAGAGTGATCTTTTTATTATCAACTGAAAATAGAGTATTCAATTATTTGAAAATCAACTTTATTTAAAACATTTAGAAGTATTAATATTTGATTAATATGACATCTATAAAAAAAAAGAGCGATGTCACTAGTAGTTCCTGGTGCTAACAAAACAATTTTTTGCTATGCTACAGAGAAATTTAGTCTTCTCTCACATGTTGTATCATCAGTAGTAACAAATCGATTTTTTTATTCAGAGAGATTTAGGCGGATATAGCGCACTTATTAGTTCTTGTCGTGGTGCCGCCACTTGTCTATAATTTTTCAAACATCTGTTTTTTTTAAAATAAACTTTGATTTTGCCTCAATTTGATAAAATTGCATTCTTTATTTTTATTTTTGTGTAATGTCATCAAATAATAGACAAATAAAATGATATGGCTAAACGAAAAAAATTTCTCGAATCATCAATGAGTCTCAGATACAACTTAAGTTTAGTAGTAACAGATTTAATGATATTGTCTCAAACGTACCCAGGTCGAACATTCCGGCCGCCGGATTCCGTAGGATACTCCAGGGAATATCCGGGAAAGTCACCATATCCTGCAGGAAAACACGGGAAATCGCTGGAACATGGAAGCAGTATTCCGGTCAAAAATACGACCGGACTTTTCCGGCGAACTCCTGCCAAGTTCCGGTGCTTTCCGGCAGGAATTGATCGGAAATCACCGGAAAAATCTGAAAATTTTCCAACCGGAATACTGCTTCCACAAAATCAACGGAACTACCCGGAACCGGCCGTTTGCAGGCCGGACTGTTCGACCTGGGTATGATAGATTGCGTTGTTTTGTCATATAAAGGTATTTTTAGCATTCCGAGCTTTAAAGAATTCGTGAATCATGCTAAATAACAACAACATATTTTTATCTATGAATAATACGCTTTCATTTAGGTGGGCAGCGAGAAAATTGAAGGAATAAAAATATTTTATTCGCCTCCGCTTCACCATTTTTTAGTGAGATAATATAAAGTCATACTCATAAATATTTTGACGCGTTTGCAAAATTTGATTGGTCCAACAGAAAAATTAGTAATACTATTTCGCAATAATTGCGAAACTTCTAAAGATTACTCATTTGTCAGGTATAAAAAGCGAGATTTTTCAGCCACTTTATTCATTCAGTATTATTCGTAAACAAAATACAATAATGGCTTCCAACCAACAAACTTATGATGAACAAGTACGAGTTCTACAAGAACGTTTTCCGCGTGCATCAACCAAGCACTTAACTCGCCTTTTACAAAAGCATGCTGGTGATATTGATCAGGTACAATAATTTTATTACCATTTGAATATATATATATAATATAGCCCGCTAATGCCTCTCATGCGGGAGAATGGAGGTTGCTCGATATTTCACTATATCAGTGTAAAAATAAATAATTAGCATATTCTTTAGACAAAATAATATTTTACTTCTATTTGAATCAGGTTCGCGCACGTCTCGTTCAACGAAACTTTCGTTCTAATAAATGGGATTCACTTGAAGAACGTTTTGGCACAACAGTAACATCGTTACAACAAGAGATCCCATCGGCTCAATCATTAAAACGAATTCGTTTACTGAGATTGATGGAAAGTTTCAGTGGTGATGTGGACGCAGTTCGAAAAGTTTTGCAAAAAGTTGAAGAACGAGATCATGAAGTAAATGCAGATCGGCGTGCATCCCGACGTGAACGACGAGAAGAATTAAAGAGCAAATATGCAACGGAACTGGCTGAATTAACTCAAGCCGGTATTAATGTCAATCGCCCATGTACACTTCGCCAATTGGAAAAAAGTCAAGGCGATGTTAATAAGGTATGATATTTCGTGTTCGCTCTTTCTAGAGAATACCATATTTGATTGCTTGACTATGTTCTAAAATAATAGGTGATTGAAAAAATGTCGCATCGTAGAGAAAAAAAAGAGAAACGAGCTGAACTCAACACAAAATATGCTAGTCAAATTGCACAACTCGAAGCTGATGGTATCGAAATTAAAAATAAACGCTGTTTAGCGCATTTATTAGAAAAAGCTGATGGCCAAGTTGATGTTGCTAAACAACTCATAACTGAATGGAAAGAAAAAAAGGGAAAAAATAGGGAATATCGACATAGACATCGAAATATATCACCAGGTGGTATAACAACACAAGTAACTGGTGGAGCAGCATCATGCTGGAGAAAACGACGTGAATTAAGTTCGGATGACATTGAAAATCTCAAACGACTTCGTTCAGCTGGTGTACATGGGCATCCTATGAAGATCTTAGCGATGTACCATGAATGCAATGAATCCATTGAATTGACAAAAGCTCGAAAAGATCATGAACGAGAAATGCGTAATCAACAACGAGAAGAACGATCATTAGTAAGATCAAATTTTTAGCTCATCAACAGAAAGATAATAGTGAAACTCTATTGCTTTGTTTAGAAGCATGCATTATTTGCTGAAGCTCAAACTGGCTACGTAACAATCAATAATCGGGAAGATTGGCCACGTGATATTGAACAGGTATATCTAGATGGAAATAATATGATGTTCGTTGTTAATTCACTTCGACGTTTATGTCTAAATCGAGCTGGTGCAAAAACTGAACGTGCTTTAGCTGAAATAGCTTCAGCATGGAATGAACAAATGCATATACCAAATATTGAAATTATTTTTGATGCAACACGTCAACTGGATCAAATCGGTTCAGTGAAAGTATCGAGCGCTCAACCAACTCATCGAACAACTGATGATATGCTTGTTGAAATAGCAAGAAAACCGGAGAATCGAGAAAAAAACAAACGCACAGTTATAATAACATCCGATCGAGCTTTAGCTGTACTTGTAAGTTTCTATCATATTTTTTTTTCTTGGTGTTCTTAATAAGTTATAATTTATAATTGCAGTTACAACGTGAAGGCTGTTTACTGATGAAACCATATAATTGGTTTGCTCATTGTGTCATGGTTTTAACACCTGATCTCATTAGATATGAAGAATTAACTGGCATGAAAACGGAAACATCAACACCAACAACGGTCAAAATTCGTTACGACTTTGATGAACTTGTTCACCGTGTTGCTAATATTGATATATAAACATTCGACTTCTATGCATTTTATTTTAATAAAAGATAACCTTTTCTTTTGTGTGATTACATTATTGAAAATAAAATTGTCAAAAATGAGCTACATTTGATAAATTGAACTGCCAACAAAATTTTCAAATTAGACAGGAAATAGAATCGTTTACCGTTGATGAATAATTAGTATTTTACAAAAGGCTCCATTGAACATGTCTAATGGAAAGAATGTAAATGTGACTCTTGATGCAATTTATTTTTTTGCTTATTCACATCATATTCAAAATTATTCGAGCGAAACCTGTGACCGTCCGAATACGTGCTATGTACACAAAAAAAATTAATTGCCTTAGTTATTTGATTCAATAGGACAGCTCACTGTTCTTTTTTACCTTTTATCTATGTAACTGTTTCGCTTTGCGCTCTTTTTATTCTGATCAGTGTCACGCTTTTTTTCTTTTCTTCTATTAAGTGTAATTAAAGCGTGACCAAAACGACTAATAGAGAAAGGAGAGATGATGAAGAAAGGCAACACAAGTTGGATACTGAACTTCAATGCATAAGCATTGATGTTACGATTACATTTAAATTAGTAAGTTGTAAAAAAATCAAAGTAGAATATATACTGTTTGATAAAAGATAAATCACCTTTCAATTCGTTTGCGGTGATTAATATGTAGGCTATCGTTTAGATTAATTCTGTACAGAAAAAAAAAGGTAGAATACATAGGAAACTCTATTGGAGAAAAGCACTGTTTAATTATTTAATAGTAATAAGAGAAAAAAAGAGAATCTTATCAGACGATATAGCCCAGGTCAAACATTCCGGCCACCGGATCCTGTAGGATACTCCAGGGAATGCAGGAAAGTCGCCATATCCTGCAGGAAAACACGGGAAATCGCTGGAATATGGAAGCAGTATTTCGGTCAAAATACGGCCGAACTTTTCCGGCGGATCCTGCTAAGTTCCGGTGCTGTCCGGCGGGAATTGATCGGAAATCACCGGAAAATTTTCCAACCGGAATACTGCTTCCATAAAGTCAACGGAAATACCCGGAACCGGCCGTTTGCAAGCTGGACTGTTCGACCTGGGAGTTAAATAGATTAACTCATTGAGTGAATGTTAGTCTGTTATTAGTTTTCCATTTTTTAGTTCATATTGCAAATCCATAAATAACTATAGCTCTTGTTACAATGATCAAATCATCTACTCCTGTAAGTACTATTTCCTCTGTGGATACAAATAATACAACAACCACATCAAATGCTGTTCAAAGTGGTCCATATACAAAAGCTCAATGTAAACTATATCGTTTTTCTTTCTTGATTATATGAAAATCGGTTTGAATTCTTCCTTCTTAGTTCAAAATACCATGGAAGGTTCGCGTAGTGTCAAAAATGCTAAAGAAGTTGAACAACTACTTCGTGATTATCCAGCTGCATTGGAACTCTATCGAACAGGAAAATATAAAGTCAAAGTAAAATATGAAGCTGATATTGAGCGTGTTATACTCGTTGAAAAACGGTCAACGAAAGTCGTGCCGAATAATGAAACAAAAACAAATGGTGATCAACAAAATTATCAATCTCGTCCTACTTTATCAACAGATTCAGAGAGAAGAAAACAAGAAATAATAACAGAAAAAGATTCCGAACGATCACGTAATCGTGCTGAATCACAAGATCATACTGTACCAGTAACATCCGCGACAGATAATAGTTCTTCAGTTACGGCAACAATCTCATCAATGCCTACGATCGTTAATACTCAGCCTAAAACTGATCTTCATTCAGCAATATCCAAAGAACAGAAAATTCCAGAACCATCACAAACACAAGAGCCTCAACAACAAGAACAACAAGAACAAAAAAAAGAAAAACATCATAGTGATCGTCGTACTCGTTCTCGTGATAGCCCTTCGAATGTGTTACAATCGAAACATAAAGAGAAAAAAAGTAGTCGAGATCATCGAAGAGTACTAGTGCCTTTGATGACAAATGGTGCTCAAACTCAATATATGTGGCAATCACCACAAGGTGTTCAACATTATTTTAGCCAACCTACTATACAACAACAAGCTCAACCATCAAATATGTATAAGCGTCCGCTATATCCATTGCAACAAAATCCAGCTTTTCAACAACCATATTATTATGGGCAAACACCACTTCCTGCTATTACTTATCAACAGTAAATAAAAATAATTCACTCTTGAATGTTTTATTTTTATTCAATCGATTTATTTAGACCATCTGCTTATCCACTATCATCAACAAAAACATTACTTGGCAATGGCACTAGTTCAACGGTTAATTCAATAAATAATTATTCAACATCTTCTAAGAATAAACATAATTCAAATATGGCTGCAACAGCTAATACATCGTATCCTACATTTTATCCAAATCAACCACAGTATTTACCTCCACAGCCTACCTATCCATCACAGGTACCTTATCAAATGCCTACTCAATGGCCAACAGTAGCTCATCGACGAGCACGTCCAGTTCTACACGATGATAATATTCCAACAGAAAATCGTCGAACATCGAAACATCGTGCTCATAGTGTTGACACACGTACTCGTAGTCAACCTCCAATTAATTATTATAATCAACCACAACAACCAGCTCCACCAGTAATAGTCGAAAGTCATCATCATCATCATCATCATCATCATCGATCTCAGCCGACCAATGTACCAATTAATCCTGTTGGTCCATCAGTAGATGCTCCTATAGAACAACATACTCTATTGGTTAAAGAAAAATAAAAATTTGTTTTACGTGAAAAAATTAATCATTTCGTTTTTTTCTTCTATTTAGAATCCAAATACGATATCAACAGTTAACAACGGTACTAATGGTAGTGAACGATTAACTATTCGTCAACTAAATGGTTTGTTGTGTTATGTATCTCATATAATTGACTTCGATCTTCGTTTTTGTAGAAATTTTTTTTCATACTGAGCCATCAGGTCGATTACCTTATGGTACATTACCTAATATTTTACAACGTTTTGGCATAGCTTTGACAGAAAATGAGTTAACTTCAGCTGCAATTGATCTTGCTTATAATGGTAAAAAGAAAATGCTTTTATTTATTTCTTTTCACGCTAGTTTTCATTTCTGTTGTTTTTTAAAGTTAACGAGCCAATCTCCGCTCGACGTCTAGTACATGTTTTAGTTAAATTAGGTAAAATATCAAAATCAACAAATCAACAACAACAACAACAACAACAACAACAACAGCAACCGACTGCTTCACCAGTGATGTTACCTGAAGATCGCGAAGTAATCGATATTATGACGCAAAATAGATCGATTGGCGTAAGTTAATTGTGATTGACTTTTATTGATTTTACTAGTTATCTATTTTTTCTTCTTAGAGGGCATCAACTCATATACATTCATCAACACATCCTAATAGTTGGAATTAATATTCTACACATATAATATACATATACGCATCTTACGTAGGATAACAATGAAATAATCGTACAGTTTTTTTTTTCTACAATTTTTATATGTTTATATTCATTTATCTTATTTGAAAATTTGTTGAATTGATCGTGTAGAATAAAAATTCAAAAATCACATCCATCGTGCTACCAATATAATCATTTTTGAACGCTTCATTTTTTCTAACATCCAGTTAATAAATTTCAACTCAATAAAATTAGATGATGAATTTTCGTTGACACGGGGTTACAATTTTGACTACACAAAGATTGTGTCATAAAAGTAAAAGTTATACATATTCAATTACACTAAATATTTATTTTCAATTTTTTTGACGAATCAAATTGTTTCAAATTTTGGAGCGCCTTCAGGTTACGTTATATATTCATTCTTTCAACTTCATTTTCATTTATACAATTGCACGGTCATCATAAATGAACCTATGTTCATATTTCGATGCAATGAAGTCAGTGAAATTGCATTTCCTTTTAGTAATATATATATGTCGTGTCGAAGTTTAACTTCGGCTAACAGTGTAACTTCGGCACGACATATATATAGTTCCCGATAGTTCACGTTTTGCACATCAGATACCGGGATTCATGAATACTTTTGCCTTATAAAATTACACAATGATATTCATCGATATTAATATCGAATGTATTCATCACATGCATTAGTCGATCTGCACTTACGTTAGAATAGTTATCAATAGTATTATTCAATCCTCCATGTAACTATGATAGAGATTAAAATCGAAGACGTCTAAAGTATCAGACTTGAGTTACGACTAATTCAATTTTCTAATGAAGCTCTTTCATCAGCGTTGTATATGTATGTCGAAAATTTGAAATCCAATTATTAAAGTATTTTTAAATGAATTAAAATATTCCTACGGATTTTTGATTATTTGCTTATGATTAAAATTTTATTAGCAACTGAAGAAATCTAATAAAAATTTTATTTCTATTGAGTTTTTATCGCAAAATTATTTTACTGATCTTTTTCAGTTTATACAAAAAACAGAAACTTTCAAAATAAAAATAAATTTCTGAATATATCTATCTCAGTGTTTTATCCAGCAAAATGAATCATCAAAAGAAAAAATATTTGTCCCTTCAAAGATTAAGTTCGTGCTCTCGGGACTTGTTATTAATCCAACACACGCTAAATGTCTATGCTATCAAAAACAGCTGTTCGCTTCTCCGAAGTTTCACATCACCTCTTCGGTAAAGAAAATCCGGATAAAACACTGCAACTATAAAAATCAAAATGGAAAACATGCCAATAAAAATCATAAAAATTACAATAGCGATTATCACAAGTTTCTTAACATTTGAAATGAATCAATTATAAAGCCATTTTAACGATATTACATATCGTAGCTATAGTTCCACTCAACCCAACGGCAAACACGGGTAATTTACCGGACCATAAAAGTCCTGGTATTCCAAGCCAATGAACACAATTGAGAAGAAAACAAAAGTTATTCAATAATGTCAACATACATTTGTACATCTCGGATAGAGGTACCATGGGACTATAGTAAAAAGTAAATAAATAAGCATTTGCTATATCACAATCGAAAATATTACCTTCTTATTTCCTTACTATTGCCATCTTTATTTCGTTTTGCTCTCAGTAATCGTTTATATTGAATTAATTGAAGTGAATTTCTATGATAAAATTATATACAAAATGAGTAGTATGATTAAAAATTAAATAAATATCAATCTAATCTAAATACTTGATAATAGAAATGATAATATTCGATAGCCAACAACCTAATGAAACAAGTCGAAATGATCTCGATGATCGATTTGCTCCAAATACATTTCCTTCACATAACCATGCTATACACTCAGCAGGATAGTAGATAAGATCACATAGATTACCAGCTAATGTTAAAAGATGAGGAAAAGTAGATAATAATAAATCCTAAATAGTAATTTTTTTAAATAATTAAATCAACAGTTTCAAAATAAAAAGGAAATTACATTTTTTCCGAGACCATATTTACGAACTCTTGAAAGACAAGCAAAATAGTCTAAAGATCGATTGATTGTACGACATAAACTAATACGAGCATACAAATTAAGAAGATTTTCACGCCATTTATTCTGTTCCGATAAGCAGCCAGCTGAGAGACAAACTGAATATTGAGAAAGACATAAGAGTGTATTTCTTGACGAATTTGATTCCAATTGATTCGCTAAAAAATCCATTGAGAATCTACAAACACACACAAAAAATGGAATTTTACACAACTTATGATGAGTTTTTTTTAAAGTTTATAAATGCTAATAGCATTAGATACTTTGTCGTATTAGCAAAAGAATTTTTCAAAATATATATATATATATATTCATTCATGCAAGATATAAATTACAGAAAAGTACAATAGATAAATCGTGTGTAAAAAATGATAGAAAGGCTTTTACAGATTTAATAGAATCTGGTAATTAAGGTTTGCTTGTAAATGTTTCAATCTAATAAAAATAGAAATTGATGCATGTGGAAATTTTTTGATTAAAGCCTAAATTCAAAAGCTACTTACTTCTTTGGCAACAAGATCCTTTTTTTTCGCGAGTATATCAGCTTTCTTGTTTTCATCTCGCTGATGATACTCATCTATTTCTTTGCTATAATGTTCTATCAGTTGTTCAAGACCTCGAACATGTTCTATAAGAAAATTGAAATAATAAAAATAAAAATAAAATAAAAGCTATAATCCACTATACCTTGTACAGCTTTTTTTCCTCCTTGGCGCAAATTTACAATGATTTCATCACTTGTTTTCGTAAGTGTTTGTTGTTTCATTCGCAATCGATCAATTTGATCTTGTGTAAAAAGATCTTCAAATTGTTCGATCTTATTTAATAAATAGTGAATGAATGAAAATTATTTTTAAGTAATTGAATCGCACCTGTTCGTTAATCAAATCTGCTTCATATTTCAGCACTTGAATACTTTGAGAAACAACTGGTTGTTGACTATTTCGACTGATACTATGCTTGGACTCATTACCACTAGATCGACTATATCAAACAAAATAAATAACTTTTCTTTTTTTTGAAGGTAAATATAATAAAAACAATGATCAATAAAAACAAATAAAGATGTGATGCGTGCATAAGATTATAATGAGTAAATGATTCTACGTTGATATTTTTACATTTCTACAAAATACCTGCTCTCTACAATCGTATCATCATCATCATCATTATTATTGTTATTTAAATTATTTGCCAAAGTTATAGCCAATAAGCCTAAAGATTCGCTAGTAGGAACAAGCCGTGAGATAGCAGTAATCGATGAAGCTGTTGATATTGATCTGAATTGAGAGTAAAATTAATCTGTTTCTATTTTTGTCAATAGAAAAATACAATAGCATAGACAATGAAAAAAAAATATATATATACTAAGAAGAAAATCGTACGAAAGAACGATTAATAAAATAAGAAAGAAAAATATATGTATATATATATATATATATATCGAACAATTATTTCTATATTATATGTTCATTATTTCATTGGATTTTTGTTGTTGTGAAATACTATTTATAAACATGTACAAATTGACGATGATTCTTTGTAGATTGACGTTGTTGAACTCGATTTGAGCTGCAGACTGAAAAAATAGGATGATCGACCAAAAATTTTCAAAGAAAATGAAGAACAAATATTAAAATCGGTACGACTGGGCAATGTTGATTCAATTGAAAAAGAGAGCAAAGCAAAAGATGAAAACATTTGCCAGGTTTCTAAGCGTGACCTAAACAGCTATTTAACTTACTGTGATGTTGATGGTTTACTATTGTGAGGCTAAAAACAAACAAAAAAATACAAAACAATATTAAAAAAGCTGACTATAAATTTTACGATGTCTTCAAAACGATCGATAACAAGCCACTGCTGCAATGATGATTCAGAAGATTTTGTTTGTCCTAATGCTTCTTTCATACGTATTTTAACTTCTAATTTTCCTTCAGGCTTTTTCTTATGTTCATTATCAAAAATATCAACTGATTCGTGTATAGTTGCGGTTTCTTCGAATGGTGCTAATTTCACCGATGCCGTACCCAATAGACGATCCGCTCGAAGAAAGCCAGCTTTATGAAATATTGATAATTTTAATTCTTTTCGTTTAAATACACGTTTTAAATCTGTATCAGTTCGTTTGATTTGAAATTTATGCAATGAATCGGGGTATTCAGCAATGCTTGAACCGGCTCCATGACGAGTACGCGCTGTTTGAGGGGTTTCGCGTGGATAAGGAAATTCAATAATGACACAAGTTTCAAGTGACGTTGATGAATAGCCAGAAGGAAGACGTAAATTTATACCACGGAGTACTTTTACCTTCAATGAAAAAAAGTTTGTTTTCATAAAATCATATGGAAAATAATGAATAGATGAACACGTAAACTGATACATATGTATTTTTAACTGCTAACTTAAATGAACTTTGCGTGCTAAGAAACATAGAAAACAAAAAGGTATCAACTGAAACTGAAATTTAACATAATAATTAGCTTTTTTAATTTATTTAAGTGCGCAAATAACGTTAATAGACATATAAATATAACATTGTTTGTCTAATGTCACTAGAAGAATGACTTTGCGAAAATTTCATCAATGTATTTCATTCTCGTTAAAAAGGCAACTATTTATCATTATCATTCTAGTTTTGAATACGAATAATTTAAAGATGTAGGTTCATCAGTTGTAGGCTTATGATAGAGGAAGAAAAGTAGTCCATATTAATCAGCAGCAATATCGTAAAGATCTATTTTCTCTTTTATTTTATTTTTCTTGGAAAATCTCAAGATAATCATATATAAACGATTAGCCCTATTGGTCTATAATAGAAATCTAACTCAATCAAATGCTCTTTTATTTTGGTTATTGTTGTGTAAATTGCTATTTTTTTTACCTCAAATTCATGATCACTTAAATCATTATTAACTTGTATAATATTCATTTGTCGTTTTTCATAATGAAATAATGGTGCTTTAGAACCATGTTGAAAACATTTTCTTAACCGTTCTAAGTCGTGAGCGCAACGTTGTTCAAGAGTTTTAAATTCATTTGCTTGTTTCGAATTGTTTGCACCTTCCATCTGTGCATAAATTTGTTGATTACGTGCACATAATTGCATTTGCCGTAATAGATCATCTTGTAATCGTTGATAGATTGTTTCACGATCAAAGTTTGCTATTTCTTTTGTAATTTCATCATCCTGAATGAATTCATAGCCTGCATCTGGTAGTTCAGGTAACTAAAAATGAAACATTTTGTATATGTTCGTGAATAAATCAGTATAGAAAGAAAATTTAATACTTGTTTGGTATCGATAGGTACTCCTGATTCAATTGATACAATTGCTTTTTCGATTTCTTTCGAGGCAATAAGATTTCTTTTAGCCGATTCTATGTCACCTATAGATAATGTAAATGTATATTTATTATGAACAAAAAACAAAAACAACAGTACTTTACCTTCTTTTTTAGCTTTTAAAGCAAGACTTTGAAATTTTTCTTGTCTAAGACGAAGCGTTTGTACCTGTTGATCTTGTTGTGGATCTAAAGAAGAACTTGCTGACGATATTTTGAAAAATTTGAATTGTAAAATAAATTACTGGATACAGGTTTCAATGTTGGTGGTGGACTAGGACCAACAGGGAGACTTGGTCGCGGTTTTTGAGGTTGTGTTGATTGATGTGAATCAGTTGTTTTTAACGATGCTCTAGCACTAGCATCAGATGATTGTATTTGAGGCTTTGGTTTTTCTACAGGAATGGGAGCAAATCCCGCTAAATCAGGTAATTCACTATAATTATATGGACGACCTTTTTGTGTAGCATCAATAGCTTCTTGATATTGCTGTTATAAGAAAATGAATTTCTTCTATTTCTTTTAAATAATCAAAAAAGAAATATAATTACTTTTACAAGTCGATCCATTCGTCTTGCTTTAGAATTGTCCTCTTTACTAATGGCTTCTTTGTGTTGTTTGACTAATTCTTGTTGGCGCTGTTGTAATGCTTCCATAATAGTGCGTGGTTCAGGTGCTTTTACTTTTTAGTAAAACAGATGTTATAGCTAAGTAGACAAGACAAATATATTACATACATGTTATAACAAGTGGAGACGCAATTTCTTCTGCAGGATTATTATTAGGGATTTCCATTTGTGCAAGAGGAGGAGGGATCGAACTAGCTGTTGCTTTATTTTGTAATTGCTACATATTATACAACATATAGAAAAATATTAAGGATTCTAATAAATGGAAAGACTCACTTTCATTTGAATAAGATATTCTTTGGCTTTATCTTTATTACCTGCGATGGTCGCTTGTAATGCCAATGCTTTTAGTTGTGCTATGGCATCATCGGCATTATTAGAAGTTGTTACTGGTGGTGCTAAATGGTTTTCTTAAGTATTCAATTTTTTATTATATAAATCTATGTACTTTGAGGCATGCTAATTTTGTTATCGTTTGAAATGGATGTTGCAGTTGGTTCTGGTGGCGGTGGAGGAGGCGCTCGAAGAGGTACTTCTGGTGTAACATTTGTAGGCTGAGATGACGATGGAGTAGCAATAAATAGTTCAGGTGGGATTTCACTTTCATTAATTGGTGCACCAGTTCGAACCGATTGAATTAATTCTTGGATAAACTAAGCATAAAAGAATATGATTATTAAGCGATTGTTTCTTAAGAGAAAGAAATTACTTTAAGTTGTCGTTCAATCCGTCGAGCTCTTGCAGTATCTCCGCTCACTTTGACTGTTTGCACAGCTTTTGTATACATATCCTGACGTGTTTGTAGTACTGCTAATATATTTTTATTTGATGTCGATTGTACTTGGCTTGTTTCAGTAGGTGCGTCTTGTTTTTCAGTTTCCATATCACCAGTAATATCTTTTAACTCGGCCTATTGTATCGATAAAATATGATAAATTTCGATAGAAAACAATGATTATACTTACAAGAAGATCCTCTTCGTCAACATCGGATAAATCATCATCATTTATTGGTTTATCAATATCACTGAGAAGCTTATTTACATCATTATGAAACGATTGAAGATCTGGAGCAGCTTTACCTGTATACAATACAAATATTCAAAATTTGGTTCCTATACAATCTAGAGTACGTCTAAAAAACCCAACAGAACAGTTTCAAAACTTTTCATTGATTTCATTTGACAAGGATTCTCATATCGATGATTGTTTTTGAAGTATTCATTTTCTATCGAATCTACTTAATCAAACGATAGATTTTAGGGCTAAATGTAAAGAACAGTAGCCGTGACAATTTCTATAGAGCTCAAAAACAAAAGTACACGAATATTTACTACACAGGATTCCTACATGAGCAAAGGATGTAACTCACTTCGGTTGCCTGTGTTGGTTCGAGATAGTCAAGCAACAAACCTGTCTTTTTCTTATCAGCTTTTGAGCGTTTTGATCCATGACCACCGGTTTCTTGTTGCATTTCTCTCAATTCAGCTTCAAGATCAGCATCATCGTCATTATCATCCATAGCACCCATCATCGGATCATCGAAGTTGGGAATTTGAAATCCCATCTTTGAAAACGAACGAAAGAAATGAAATTGAAATTTTCTAAAAAATGAATCATATTTACCTGTTGCATTAATTCCGCTCCTCCACCCCCTCCTTTAGATCGTTTTGCTGGTTTACTGCTTTTACTACTTTTGAACATACTCGTGAAATAATGAAGATAAAGATAAAAATGCAAATATAACTTTTGTATGGTAATAAATGCAATGACTCATATAAGAAATTTGTTACTGGCTACTGCTTAACAAGTCAATGAATGTGGAATGATGACATTCAATTGGTTTACGTGGCACAGCCAATCTAGTCGCTTAGAGGACGCTAATTTCGCCCAATATATATTTTATCGTTCATTAAAAACTTCTTCGTTGTGTAATAGAGGATATGTGTAATAAAGTCAAGAGATTTTCACACACAAGAATACACGAGGAATGCTATGATTAAAATGAAAAACGCAAAATGTGCTCTTAAGTAGAAAATGTCCATGACTTATGATGTTGAAAATTGTTCATTAAAAACAATATAAATAATAACACTCGTTTGGAGTTCATTAATAAAACACCTGAGTGAATTCAAAATTGCATGGAACTCATCACTGCATGTTTATTTTCATCTACTAATTCACTATTAGAGGAAACGAATTTGTGCTTATGATCTACTAATGAATTTTTTTCGAGATATTCAATACTGAAACATATTGGATTATTTTCATTTTAATTTGTCAAACTCTTTGTTTTTTGTTTTTCTAAAATATTTTGATTCTATAAATCGTTGCTAGAAGGCCGTGCGCATGAATCTTTCAATTCACAAGGCTCTACTTATCAAAGTCGAATAGTGTTCACAATTTCGATAGCTTCTCGCATTAATCATATGCGCGAGAAGCAAATGTAAATAATTAAAAAATGATACCATAGGAAAGCTAGATCGATCGTTGAAATGTTTTTATTCTTCTGCATATTCAAAATTTGAATGAAACTAATTAATTCAAACCTAAACATCAAGTTTCCTTTTATTGAATGGCCAGATGAAAAGAATCGTCAGTTTATCAATACACTACATATAAAGTATCAAAATATAAAACCATGATATGACATTCTTCATAATGAAACACTTTTAACTATATCGCGTTCAGATAAATTATGTCGATGGAATTTTATTGGTGTACAAGGTAAGCATTTAAAGAAAAATATCTATCATATTTAATCATTTCTGTAGTAGATGCCTATTAATTATTATTGAAAGTCTTTATCATATTGAACATATTCGACGAGCATTGTTTTCTCGAATAGAATATGTAAATAAAATACATGCCAATGGCTGAACTGAAAATTTCTGGACAAAATATTTTTTTTGATTTTGCTATTGATTAACAAGATTCGTAGAAACTTCGACATACTTGATTTAAATCTAAGAAGGTAAAAGCAAAGTTGAACAACAATGTTTTTCAATAAATATATGCCCGACATAATTCAAAATAACAACAATATCAATACAAGAATTGAGACCCGCTGCTGATAAACGATTAGCTCAAGAACCAAAATGATCCATCCTTAGCTATATCATTTATTGGTTGCTCATCTGTTGTTGACATCATGTTTAATTTGTTTTTAGGCAATAGTACCTTTAAACAACGAGCGATCTAGTTGATAAAGAAAGAAAAGAGAAAAAAAAGAACGACATATGCACACACGTATGTATATGTTGTGGTCAAAATTCAAATCCAGTCAAATTTTAAATTTGCCCAGACAGAATTCAAATTAGAATTTTTTTAATCAAAATCGAAATTGGAATTTTTTTAGTGAAAATTGAAATTAGAATTTTGACTGGGATTTTGTTGGACATAATTCTAATTTGAATTCTGCCCGGGCAAATTTAAAATTTGACTGGATTTGAATTTTGACCACAACATATATATATATATACAGTGCTTAACCATTGCTACTTCAATAGCGCATTCTCTAAGCACGTCATTCTGCTACTTTTACTATTCTTTCAGCTTTATTATTATAGAAACATCATTGATGACCCCGTATTATGCGCACTTGAGAATATCATCAACAGACATAAATCACTATAAAATTAATCAAACAAATGATAAGACAAATTGATATTGATTTCGTGTTTCGAAAATTTTATTTGAGATTGACTTTTCATCCGTTTCAGAAGCATATGAAATTTATTCTATTTGAATCACCTTAGAAATATTGAAAAACATTTTTTTCCAAGCGAAATATCTATTTTATTTCCTATATCTATAATCAGATCGACAAAACAACTTTCTTTCAAGATTATAAATTTTTAAATACGTAGTATTAAATTACCAATGACATAGACAAGATTCCTGAGTCGAATTCGATGCAATTTCAACTAATTCATTTTCAATATAACTATGAATGTCAAACAGTTAGAAAAAAGACAATAAGATATCAATAATGAGTGGATTTGTAAAAACAGATCTTTAAGAGTCACATTCTATATATTATTCTATGAATAGTGTTTATTACAGCAATTCATCTATATAAAAATACAGATAGTGGCAGAAACACACACTATTTCGATCTATCCAAGTATTATAAAGCATTTGATCAGTTTATACCTGTCATCATACGAAATCTCCAAGAGAGTTTCTTTTATTCAACTGTTCGATTTCAGTTATTTGTCATAAGTAAAGCAAGCGGAACTTTTGAATTTGATTTAGATCATATCTGAGAATATTTCGTTTTTTTTTATCTTTACAATTATATAGAACATTTCATTAATTACGTAGCTATGCATGATTATCAATATTACAACATCAACGCCAAATATGTAACGAATCACGTGCATAAAACTGAATTCTAATATTATTACAATCAAATAATCGATTATGACCAGCTGTTATTAATGATTCTTTAAATATATTTTTTACGTTTTGTTCAGATCGATAAAGGCTATCTTCGTTGATTACTAATTTAATCCGTTGATGAAATCGATGAATTATTTTTAAAACAACATGAACTAAATTTTTATCGGGCATAATGTTTGCACCACTGGTTTCAAAACAACATAGATGAGGTGCTAATTGAGTTAATCGACGGACATTAAAATATTGTTTAGGTTCCGGATATATTCGATCTAGTACGAGAGACGTATATATTTCAAATTTGAATATGTTTTTGAACAATGACGAAAATCTTTCCAATTTTTTACAAGATGCGAAAGATTTGATGATGCATCAAGTATTTGTTTAACGATCATTATACGGTCTGGGCTTTTTATTGATGCTGGTTTAAAGTCAAAAGTCATAGATTGTAAATGACGAAGCAACAAGCCACTGTTAACTGGATAATTTGATGTCATCGACACGTTTGTCTAAACAGAAGACAAGTATATATCCTACTTGAATTTTTTTGTTTTCAAGATATTTTTCATCGATTCAATAGAAGAACAATTGTAAATTTTTCCGAATGTCTATATTCTCTGAAAGCCTATAATAAAATAAAATTTTCGATGGGACCCGATGAAGATAACAACGTAGTGTCGATTCTCAGGCTCGAATTATGTAATTTCGATTCAAACTTGAACTTGATAGTAACATTATTTTACATATTTCTTTCAAAATATAAAAACTCACAAAATAATACCGTAACATTTTTTCTGATTTGCATATATCAGTTAATTATTGTTCACATAAATACTTATTCGTTCTGCAGATTTGATAAATCAACAATCAGAATTATCTAATGAAACTATTTTAAAAGTGCTCTTTTGAACAATACATTTTATAATTTAAATTAGGCACATTTTTTCTTCAATTTTAGTGGAATTCTACGGTTCGTGGAAGAACCAGAGTCAATAGGAGTCTGGTTCATATAGAAGCTATGAGTCCTTTCAGATAACAAGGCAACACTATTTAGAACCATACAGCATGACCTTTTTTTTCTCTTCAACTCGATAAAGATATAGATTATGACAGTTGGCATGTAATGAAAGAAACAACAAATAACCATTTGCAGTCCGATGAGACAAAAATCCGGTATTGATTTTGTTGTTAATATAGTGCTGTGGTTAGGTAATATGCAAAAACGTCACAAAAATCATAGGAAAAAAGCATTGAAAAACGTTTTTTTTAGCTTTTTCATTATCCAATTTGGTTGATTTCAGAGTATGATTCTTTCATGCTATAGTTTATCGTTGCTTTTCTAAAAGATAACTAAAATTTACGATGACTGCGATCATTTTTTGTTTTTCCTTCTCTTATCACATTAAATCCTAATTTTTTATTTCCAATATAAATCATTTTTCCACACGAAGAAAACTTGACAACTTTTGAGCATCTGCATAAGAAGTCAAAATCACCCGACCTTTTACTAATCAAAAGGCAGTGAAAAATTAAGAATAATGGAGAAGTGCAAGGATTGAGTTATTAAAAATAGTTCGATCGGGATTGCTATTTTTCGAGAATTGTTTTTCGTGTCATCAGTCAATCTAGATGACCTGACTCTGTTGATTATATAAGCAACCATCTAGTATTGTTTTGTTCTATATCAAAAGTAAAAATATTCTTACATGCTTATTGAAACATTGATAGTTTAACTCTGCACTACAATGGATTGAAAAATGATTATTTCTTTAATTCGTTTCTGGCATAATTCAACAGGGATGTTTTAACAGTATTTACGTTTTACTTACTTGTCCAGGTTCGCATATTAAGTGAAGTTTATTCACTGAACTGCTTGCAACCACTTGCAGGTTTTTAACCAACTGGTCAGGCTGGTCTATTTGATCACAAGTTACTTCAAGTGATCGTCGTCGAGGGGTCATGATAGGAACTATTGCATGTTCTGCTAAATGATGATTATGTGCAGTTCGCTTGTGTTGTAATAAGATATTAATCGGACGTTTTTAGACGATAAATAGTGTCTTCGTGGTAAAATCTAGGCCACCATCAATAGAAATCCAACTGTTATCTAAATAACAACCAAAATTATCAAAAGGCCATTTGCCAATGCAACTGAATGGACTCATTCGCCATGCGTGTTCGACTTCTTGAGGAAAACAAAACGAAAAGTTGAGATCTTCCAAAGCAGGTAAGTGTGTAGAACTACAAAGCTCCTGAAATTTACCACCATGATCTACTGCTGCAAGAAAGAACAAAGAAAAATAGAATTAATAGTAAATTAAATATATTCGCAAGAAAATAGATCCGACGCTCTTTTAATATGATAGATTACGAAAAGAATGACTACATTCAGAACTAGATTAATGATAGAATATCTTGGCAAATATTTCATAATAATCATTCGTATCTGAAGTTTATTTGATAATTAGATCTAGTAAGATAAGGAATCAGTAAAGGAATGATAACTTACTATGATCATACAAATCAACAAATATAAATTTTTTAAGTAAAGGAATGGCTAACGAGCCCATTAATATAGTGGCACCCTTAAGATTTATATAACGAACGAGTAAAAATCGTAGTCGAGTACCATCAACTACTTCACGCAGTTCATGTTCGCAAAGTTGAATATTAGATATTGGTTCACGTTGACGTAATAGTCGAGCAGTAACGCCTTTCCTCATTAGTTATATTTAAATGCTCGATTGCAGGTAGAGCATCACGTTTCGACAGAAGAGCAAGTTCGTTTGGATGTTGAATACTTAATGTTAGTTGAGCTGTATTTGGCCAATTTAGTGGTTGCATATTATGGAAAAGTTTTATCAATTCGTTCGGATAAAAATTGTGACCTAAATATAAAAATTAATGTATAATAATAATAATAATAATACGAAACTAGGAAAGCTATTTCAACTAAGTCGTACATAGGGCGTCGTTTGTTTCATGAAAATTCGTTTTCAACTATCTACCATTATCTTTAAAAAAAAAGTAAATTAAAAATTTCCCTTTTGTAACTTCAAAGGTTTTTATCATTTAGAATCAAATCGAAATTAGACCGTAATAAAATTAAGACTAAAAAAAAAGCTAAGATACGAATTCGATTAAATCGAATTGAATAAATTTCTAATCAAACTAATCTATTATTCGATTTCTTTTCTAGTTCTCCATGAAATTTAAATACAGTAGGTTTTGAAAATAAAACAAAACATGTACACAAGTGACTATCTCAAGCGTATTAATGCATCAACACAATGTAAGTTTAACTAGTTATTTGAAATCTATTAATAGAATAAGTATATTTTATAGCATTGCAACTATTAAGCAATATCTTGTAAAATCGTATATCATATTATTATTATTACTATTTAACGTACTCTTTTCGACTTCTAATATCATAGTGTGAACTGAAATATGATGAAAGACGAGCGCAGAAAGTGTTGAAGAATACGAGTGTTTAGGCGTGCTAAATACGATATGCAAATGGCGTAGTGTATTGCTGACAGAAAAGAGTGGCATTATTATTGGATGAACGCAATAAAATTGATAATCTTCTGCATTTAATATAAGAAGCTTCTTAATTGATAGCAACCATTTGTTCCCCAATGGGTATGTAACATCATACAGGCGGATGAGTCACGAAGTACAGCAGTATGTATTAAAGCAAGAAAGCGATTAGTGTGATCGTTTCGTTCGCTTAGAAATCGGCACAATTGATCATAATGCATTGAACCAACATCTAATGAGTGACGCATAGAAGTCAGAAGATGTTCGATGCGAGCATTTTCGCATCAAGAAAGGCTTGCAAAGATCAAATGATGATAAATAACCAAATATAACCAGCAAAATTTCGTTGGGTAATGATTCGAGGGTACTTCTGTTCATTGTTAACTCCTTGAATTCATTCTATGTGTGCCTTTCTTTTAAATATTTAGTGTTCGAAGGTAAAAATAGCGAAAAAACGGCGAAGAAGAAAATGTTGAACATACGATAACGTCGAAACAAGCTTATTGAAGCATTCGGTCAGCGACCTAAAGAAATTTGATTGCATGCAAATAGAGGTGTGAGTTGACGCCTCGGTTGGCGGTAGCGGCTCGAAAAATAAAACTTTTTTCATCCATTGGCGGCGGCGACGACTCGGAAATAAAAAACGTTTTTGGTTCACCGACGGCGGCGGCGATTCAGTCATTCGGCTTACACCTCTACATGCAAAGAAAGAATGAAGTGTTATTATGTCAACAATAAATGATAATAGTATGTAAAAAAATGTCAAAAGTCGGAGACGAATTCAAAACGGATAGATGAAATGCTGTCGTACTCCTTTCGAAGCAGATGTTCTGCTGAATTCTGGCGATTTTTTTTGCAAAACTTCGTGCTTGGACCACATCTACCATCATCACCCTTTTAGAATCTGCTGGATGCATCCCCATCAAGAAGGGGATCAACAACAAAACAATTCGTTTTCACAGGTGACAAACAATTTGATGATTCATCTAGAACATTTTCGGCATTTTTTACGTGAATATATTGGCGAATATTGGAACGGTTGACTTTGTCTAAGAAAATTTTTGTTGCAACGTGAGTATTCAATTTTTAATTCAAGACAAAAATTGATAATATTTTATCTTAGTTGAGATCTCCTTTTATAGGCATTAATTATTATTTTGTTTTATTCATTGGAAGTCAAATTCAATGTAGGGTAGAGGCGATGCGAAATTCGAGTAAAATTTTTTTTCGGTTTTTCTTCTAGATCACTTGATAGAGCGCGAACTGCTGATTGCGAGAACCCACTTTTCAGTTTTAGCAACAACTTCCTTCCGGTCGAAAAATACGAGATAGTTGAAAGATGCCGTTTTTCGAGAAAAACACATCTTTTTCAAAATGTGCAAAATTTTGTACTTTGTTTATTTTTTCAGGTGACAACTCCTTCATAAGCTCGCACAAAATCAAATAAATTATAGCAATAATAATAATATCACCACGATCTACTAAAAAATTTGTGCTAACTTGAAATACAGTGAGTTGAGATGTTCAAAAAATGCAGAGTTGCACATTCGAAACACACGGCATAAATTTACATGAATTCAAATAAGTGATAGTAATACTAAAAGTATCATCATCCACTAGAAAATGTGTGCTACCTCATGAATAGCACCATTAGATGCAACTCATTGAATTATTCAGGAAATGATATTCTCACCTTCAAAAAGTTCGTCGTGGACTCGAACAAATTCAAATATATTGTATTAATACTCATACGAACAATAACATGGTGCGATCGTTATATGTATATCATTTATTTGTAACATAAGCATAGAAACCTCTTGGAGTCCACGTCAGTGCGACTTTCACGCTCATTGATGCGCTCACCCTCACTCTTTGGTATTCATTATCAATTAGACCTACTAGTGTAAAGGTGTTCTGAACAGCGTTTCTAATAGAAATCTAAAACAAAGTATCAAACTGCATAGTATTTTCGCAAGCTAAGTGCAAAATGATACTTTGCTTTTTCAAACAAAGTATCATAAAGTATCCAAGGTATAGATTGCTCCGTTTAGATTGAAAAAAAAATGTTGATATATATTTGTTATTATTAAGTTCAAATATAAAATATACAAAGAATAGTATCTGATTAAATTATATAAAAAAAATGGTTTATCTGCTATTTCATAGATAAGTTAGAAACAGAAATAAAACAACAAAATACGCACTGTACTATTCACCGAAAAGAAAACAGTTTTGTATCTACTCAACATATAACCCCTTCAACTTCATATTCTTCTTCACTATACATGTCTTTATAAATCACTATTGATAAAAAATTGAGGAGTTCGAAATTTCCATAGAATAGAATGAAAAGCAGAGTGTAAACTTTCCTGAGCACGTATCCGCTTGATACTTTGTTTTTATGAGCAAAGTGTAAAACAGAGTATCAAATCGATAGAGCAAGTATCATGATACTTTGTAACAAAGGCTGATACCTGCTGTTAGAAACGCTGGTTCTGAATTTAAATAATAGCCATCGATTATTTTTGTTTCATATTGCGTGGTGAAACATTTTGAGCTCAATTTTCACTTTTTCCTACATAATAAAAGTCATCATAATTAACATGAGTCTTTATTATTAATTTTATGAGAAATTCAATCTATTTTTTTGGTCGATCGTTATTACTAAGGCTACCATTTCCAAAATTTATTTATACTATAGTCCTCTTTAGTGATGCTTTACAGATTCTTCAATATATATTGCTTAATGCATTGTCCAATAGAATCTTTACTTCCGTCTGGATAAATTATCCTGTTCGACATTGGTTCTGTTTTATCAATCACAACACTGTTTACTGCATTTTAGTCACGGAGCGTAATCATGTCTGGCTGGTTCAGTAGTATCGATCCTAATAGACTGAAAGAATTAGCCGCAAGTACCTTAATAAATGCACAAAAACAAATCGGTAAAAATAAAATCATATCTGTCATTGTTTTTTCAATATAATTTTTATTTAACTAGACAAAGTCCTAGATATAAAGGACGGTACTCCTGGCTCAGAACAACAGCCAATAGGTAAAACTGATTATGTTAAAACTCCAGATTTTCAAAATAATATTCTGTAAAATCATTTAGTTGGCACTAATCTGGTAGTAAATAGTCCTGTGCCTCCTCCAACGGCAATATCCACTGAGGATTTTTTTTCGACATTTCTCAGTAATCCAAGACCTGCAACACCAGTCGTAGAAAACAAAATAGAGAAAGATACTTCAATCGCAAATTGGAATTCGTGGACAGATCATAGCAATGCGTCGCAAATAGTAAAATAAAATGAGATAAAGAAGAAGAATTGATTTTCATTCGCTTTCTTTTCTATGTAATATTTAGATTCCTTCGGAATCACAGTCAGACTTAATCTCAACTGAAGAAAATAAAAATGAAGACGAGAAAATACCAACAATAGAATCTACTGATATACAAATATCATTATCTATGCCAGAATCTACTGGTACACAACAAGTACAGTCACCATCGTTAACATCGAATTCTGTTGAAATACAACAAGTACCATCATCAACATCATTAACTGAATCATCAACTATAACAGAAAGTTCTAGTAGTGACAGTGCTAATTCATTGCAGCCAGCATTAAGTCTTCCATCATCTGAATCGACTCTGATTGATCCAGTGATGGAGACTATGCTTGATGAAAAATCATTATTTATAAATGACGAAAATGAAAATGTACAATCTGAAACCATTCAATCGTTAACATCCGATAAACGTGGTGTGATTGATTCTTGGATAAATAACCGAGACAACGATACAACAGAGTATGTATGATAAGCAGATAGGACACAACAATCTAACTATAGTTTTTCCTTATTATATTGACATGAAAAAATAAAATATGATTTAGGACTAAGCATAATTGTTATAATAAGATTCACTTTCAACGTATATTGGCGCTAATCATGTCGATCTTGTATCAAACCGAATCGAAAATATGTATTAGACAATCATTCAATCATGACGATATAGAAAAAACAAGTCCAATCATTGCTATTTGTAGAATCTATGAATTTTTCGTATCATACTTTTGAATAGCCACTGATCATCTCATAAAATAGTTTATTTTTATTCCACATAATCAATAGATTTCACTAGGTTTGAATTTTTGAGAGTAGAAAACAAAATCACTATCGAATTTATTTTTTCTTGTAACAATCGAATTCAATTTTAGAAGCAACGGTGAACAATCATCATTTGATAAAAATGACAATGACTCCTCATCTCTATTGTATACATCATCATATCCACCGAATAATTTTTCAACAGCATCAATCATTGATGATGATTTAACATCAACATCTGTTATAACAACAGTTCATGATAAAGAACAACCATTAGAAACTGTTTCAACAGACGAAGAAGATACCAACGCATTCGTGGAACAATCAAACTCGCCGACTCACACAATATCATCATCGAATGGACACGATACAGTCAGTTTTCTCATAGGATAAAGACAATAAAACGAATCTTTTGTTATTTATTTAAATATTTAGAATAGCAAAGCATCATCAGATGATGGTAAACAAACATCATGTGCATCGTCAGACATTGAAATAATATCATGTCCAAGTGTTACTGGCGGCTTACCTCAAAGTACAACAGAAACATTTGATAAATGTCGAGAATTACGCGATGCTCGACGACCTGTTGTACGCGAGGTTTGACTTCAAATAGAGCTATTAAACTTTACTTAAGTTTGAAATAAATCTAGGTCGTTGTTCGTTTTCCAACGCATTCAACCAATTTGAAATATCATCATCGGTTACCTATGGACAATATTGATAAGAGTACTTCATCGAATTTCGATGCACCATCATGGTCAACACTAATCGATGAAGCAGCTACCGAAAAGAATCACTATCAAAATGTAAGAATGGTTATTGATCTGTTTCGAAGATTTTTATTTTTAAAAATTTTTATTAGCCAAATGAAGAGAATGACGACGATCAGCAAAGTATGCAATTGATGTTTTGTAATTTTTTGAGTTTTATATTTCTGTTAATTTAGAGTTTTTTACGTCCGAAACTTCGAAAGTTTGTGATGATTACATTATTACTTCATATACAAAAATCTTTCTCTTTATTTTTTGTTTTTATAAAACAGGAAGTAGGCGAATTAAAAGAACGTCTTGAATTACGTGACCAAGCTTTTAAAAAACTAACAGATGAATCTGATGAATTACATCGAACCAATCAATCATTGAAACAGTAAAATTTTTTGCAAAACAGATTCGCAACCTAAATATTATTTCCTTCGGTAAATAGATCATTAACAGAATTAGAACAACGTTCATCGCGTTTGACAAATGAATTTCAACAAACAATTGAAAATCTCTCGATGAAAATTGAAGAACAGAAAAATGTTGCACAAGTAAAATATTTCGTATTTTTGTTCATATCGGTTTTCTCATTGAATTCTCGCATAACTTGAATAAGCTGATTGAATTATAAAACTTTAAGAATCATACAGAACTTAGGATAATTTTGATATCATAATGAAGTTGAAACATAAGCGGGAATTTTTCATAATTTTGTAACACTCAATATCTCAAATATGAATTTACCAGCTTTAGCAATAAAAATAAATTGATGAACAGTAGAAAAATCCTAAGAACTAAATTCACATTGTGTAAAAGAGACACTTTCTTTTATTAAGGAACGTGATCGACTTCGCAAGCAACTTGATACATTACAAAAACAACTATTTGAAAAGTATTTAAAATGCCATACTCTATTTATTAAGTAAGAAAAGTCTCTATTTAGTTCAACATCATCTGGTAATGCAATGGCTGTATTACGTGAGAAAGAAGAACAAATACAACAATTACTAGAAGAAGGTGACAAATTATCAAAAACTCAACTACAACATACAAATATAATAAAAAAACTACGAAGTAAAGAAAAAGAAAATGAAACTCAAATAACGTCACTTAAGTAGGTTTCCTATTTCCTACGGCTTAATATTGAAATAATTTTCTATAGCGTTCGTATCGATAAATTGACAACCGAATTAGATGAAGCAAAGAAAAATTTACAGGAAAAAGAAGAAAATGAAAAACAATCGAAAGGTGCATTGACTCATTGAATTATATCTTATTTTTATATCGTTTCAATATATTTAGAAATCCTTAAGAAGCTTGAAAAATCTGCAATACATTATGAGAAGGAATGCCTATCAATAAAATCATTATATGAAGATGCTGAAGAGCAAATTCGTAGTACAAAAGTTGCACTTGAAAATTCTTACAAGTAAATCGAACAAAAAACAGGCTACTCTTCTCTTTTTCTATTGATTGATTTTATTTTTTTAGAGAAATATCCGAATTAAATAAAACAAAAGCAGCAACAGAAAGTAAAGTCGTTGAAGCCACATTGTCAGCGGAAATATTACTGAAAGAAGAAATTCGTTTGGCTCTTGACAAAGAACGCATACTATCAAGACAAGAACAAGAAAAATTACAAATGACAATCGACGAATTGAGACATTCTATTCAACGTAGCGAAGCTCAATTGAGTCGAAAAGAACACATGCTACGACAAGAAATTAATGACCTCCGTCAAGTATGCTTTTATTTCCTTCAGGCAACAGTTGATAAATTCAAATTTATTTATCCCAATTCTAATTACTTTCATTCATAAAATAGTACTTTATCTTTCAAAAAAAGTCAACTGATTCTTCGAGTGGACTTTGCTTTTTCGATTTTACGAAAAAATGATGAGTAATTCTAATCATATCGATCCGCCTCGTGTATATATTTCCATGAGTTTTAGTTGTAATTCTATTTGAGTAATCGTTCAATGGATATTTATCGAAATGCTTAGTGAATCGAAATAAATGAAAATTACTTTTCTTATAGAGACTTCAAGAAGCCGAATCAAGAAATGAAGAATTGACACAGAATATTTCCAATGGTAGATCTTCTTAGATTTATAATTGAGATAATAGCCATGTTTTTTTTAAATTTTATTTAGCTACACGTCCACTTCTTCGACAAATCGAAAATCTACAAACAACATATGTAACACAAATAAATTCTCTTGAAAAAACAGAACGTCAATTAACTGATCGTCTCGGTACGTGAAGAATAACAATTTCAATGCATCTTAGTATTCTGCATTTGTTTTAGCTGAAATGCAAGCACACTATGCCATAAGTGTTGAACATGAACGTGTAGCCAATGAAACATTATTAGAAGCGAATGCTAAATGGAAATTAGCTGAAGCACAACTGTCAACATTTAAACAAGATAAAACACGTTTAACTTCCGAAGTTGATATTCTTAAAATGAAAATCACAAATTTCGAAGATTCTAAGCAAAGGTAAAATACAGATCGAGTTGTATAAATTATTAAATTCTTTTTTTCTTCAGAGAAAAACATCAAATTGATACAATGCAGGAAGCATTTACTCAACAAATCAATAGCCTCATACAAGAAAAAGTTCATATTTACATTTCAATTTTTTATTTTATTTATTTTCTATGTTCAGCGACAACTTGAAATGGATGCTGAGCTTGAAAAATCAAGATATGATAGCGATTTAAAACGATTACAAATTGTTAATGATGCATTAAAAGAACAAGTAAAAAAACAACAATTCTCTCGAATTAATACCATAGAATTTGTTGTTTTCTAGCAAAATCTATTCGACACAACTTCAATGAGCCGTTCCAGTTCAACTCTTGAATCAACACTTCAACAACAACGTAGTCGACGTTCATCTGGTGGACATGACACACCATTATCATTCGCATTTGAACGTTCTCCAGTAAGAATATTAGTTTTTGAAACACAATCTTGAATAAGTATTGAAGTAAAAGAATAGAACTGCGGTTCACTTCGCTCACAGGCCATGATAGACACTATTTGAAGAACGTATAAAATCTCGACCGAAACTTCAATGAACTTTTTATTTCTACTTTAGTTTGCTTTAACACCGAAACCAAGTGTATACGAAACTTTAAGAAATACAGGTGCTATAGCTGTACTTGAAAGTTTGGAAGCACAATTAAAAGAGAAGGAAGGAGAAATAACGTTGTTACAAGTAAAACGAGTTATTTCTTATATATGTTTCGTTTTTAAATTATATACATTTATATTTTAGAGTGAAATTTCAGATTTAGAACGTACACGAGAATCAATGGCGCGTGAATTAGTTAACCTATCGAATTTAAATGAAAAACTACAGCAACAAACAAAAAATTATCCAGTACTTACTGAACAGTATAAAGTAGGATAAGAAAAAATTGAATACTAGTAGTTTTATTATTTTCATTTATTACCCTATAGGATTTAGAAAAACGATATGATGCTCTTTTGACGATGTATGGAGAAAAACAAGAAGAAGCTGAAGAACTAAAACTTGATCTAGTAGATGTTAAAACACTTTACCGAGCCCAGGTTAGTTTATTTGTTAGATGATATAACAATTAGCATTCGTGTTGAAAAATTATTTATTTAATTTTCATAATTCGTCTTGCATTTTGTCGGATAGAACTGAAATATTTACCACAGGTCTTTGGCGGTACTTATCACAGTTGAAATCAACTATTTTTATTTTTGACCTGAAAATTCATGGATTTCTCTCTCGCGCCTAGAGACTATTTTTTTTGTAAAAGTTTAAATAATCACAGTACAATCAGACAGAGTTAGAAGGTCATTGTAAGTGTATTGTTTTTCTTTTTGTCTTCCTTTATTTCAATGGTTCTTTTACTACTTATTTTAAGACGTTTCGGAGATATTTCTCTTATTCTTCAGTTTTATTTTATTTGGTGTTGTGTGCTTGTTTTTACTAGTTACAATACGTATCTGATTATTCTTTTTCTTTAATAGTGGAATGAACCGTAACAACATAAGTTTTTTCGACCAATATTACCGTCTTGTCATTTCATTCCACTATTAAAGAAAAAGAAAAGGAATAGTCAGATACGTACTGTAAATAACGAAAACAAACACATAACACCAGATAAAATACAACTGAAGAATGAGAGAAATATCTCCGAAACGTCTTAAAATAATTAATAAAAAAAAAACATGTTGACATAAGGGAAGAGAAAAAGCATAAATAATACAACTAGAAGGTAATTATAAACAAGCTCATGGTGGTTCTCACTTAAAATATTTTTCCTGAGGCATGTTTCTCTTTATTTCAGTTAATACATTTGATCCCAGAATGATTCACTATATTGTCTTCGAGCACCAATTAAAGTTAAATACGAGATTGTTTGTGCCCTTAAAATTTGAAATCGACTTTTCTTGAGCAAACTCCAATAATCTGTTAAAAGAATATATCTCTAAGAAAATTCACTACCTCTCTACTTTGCCTTAGTTACCTTGTCAGTATATGTTGTTATCGTCTTTTAGATTGATGATTTGATGAAGCAAACCTCGAAAAAGCGATGATCGAATTGGCCAAATTCCATCTGTATTTATTCAGTTATAATTATTATCACAAGGGACGCTGGATTTACTGTGATACATTTTTTCCTGATATTGTTAAATTATTATTTTCTCTCTTTTATTCATATCTCTTACGCTTTTTCGTGTCTTGTGAAATATAATATTTAAAAATAAATAAATTTAATCGATGAACACTCTGAATAATCTATATTTCAGATGTCATTACCAGATAGTTATTCATCACGTTTATCGATTTATTCGTCATTAGAAAAACTTTTTTCTCCAAATCCTACAATACCGTATCCATCTCATGTTTACGTACATGGAAATAATAATACAGGCAAATCAACCATTGTTAAACATGCACTGGATAAACATAATCATTCCGCTTTATGGTTTGATTGTCGTGAAATACATTCATTGAATATGTTTTATCATACATTTATATCATTATTGTCCACAGATTCAATTCCATCAATGAAAAACTTCAATGATTTTGTACGAGTATTACGTGACTTATCGATTCAAGATGTAAACAACGTTAAAAAGAAAAAAACGAAACAACACTATTTTGTTGTACTTCATCATATTGAACTATTATTAAATTATGATACAACAGGATATTTACTTTATCTTCTATTTAAATTAAATGAATTAACATTAGGACATTTTCATCATACACTTATATTAATTGGTCATCAACAATTTTATCAACTACCACCAATGAAACAAATTGAGGCAGAATTGGGTGTACTATTACCTACAACTATATTTGTACCGGCTTATACTCGTACAGAAATTGTAGTAATATTACAAAATATCTTAACACGTATGTTTTATTCTTGTCACGTTAATTTCCTTTTTTGCATATCAGAGAATTTTTACACTGGTTTAGATACGACAGTTTTGTTAAGCTACAGATATATTGAAAGTATTTGCTGAAGAAAAAAATTAATGAATGTCGCCCATGTATAGCTTTAATAATCTCTGGAATATCTTGATGATTTCGGGCGAAAAAAAAAGACGAGTCCACTGAGATAGCTACGCTAATAAATCGAAATTGAAAAGCGGAGGGACGAATTTAAAATTATTTTGTTTAGAGCAACAAGATATACTTCCATCTTCTTTTGGTCAATTGCAAATTATAATTGAATTAGCATTACAAGTATTTTATACTGTAACAAATGATCTTGTCGAACTGAAAGATATGTCAACGATGTGCATAAAAGATTTTCTTCGTAATAATGCAAGAAAACAAGCGAACGATGATGGAAGCAACAATGATTACCGATTGCTTTATCAAAAAGAATTTTTCATGCAGGTAAATTCATTCATTGAGTCAATTTAAAGTCGAATTTATTAAATTAATTTTTAGGTTCTCAATTCTGTCTATACACGTTCAATGAGTATTCCACAATTTCTTGATACACATACAGCTGACGAAGAAAAAACTGATAATTCATCTCATATCGCTACTGTTAATAATAGCAATGGACGTGATCTTCCATTATCGGCGAAATTTCTCTTGATTGCCATCTATTTAGCAACACAAAATCCGATAAAATATGATCACATGTTATATGATAAACAAAGTCAAGGTAAAAAGAGTCGACGAGGTAAAATCATGCATAAACGAACACAACTCGAATCGTCAAAACTCGAATATTTACCATTATCATCAAACAAGCCGATAGCACTCAATCGTCTATTTGCTATTCATTCTTCATTAATAGGTGATACTGTTCCATTGACAACTCAAATCTACACTCAACTAGCTTTATTAACATCGATGCGTTTAATTGAACTTGTCGGAGGTTCAAATGAAACTGGTACTATTAATTTGAACGAACCAAAATATCGGTGTACAAGTTCAAGTGATTATGTTCGACGATTAGCTTCTTCAATTGACTTCAAAATCGATGACCTCATTCTTGTCTAAAACTCTCAAAATAGTCAGATATATATATATATATATGTATTTTCATAAAAAAAAATTGTCAGATAATAAAAGTCAATAGTTTGCATAAAATAACAAAATCAAAGTTTATTATTCCAATGTTCGATCACAATATAATATAGAAAACAAAATCACTTTATGTTCGGAATATAAATAAGAATATTGATAATATCATGAGAATTATTGTTAAAATCAACTAAAACATAGATATGATGAAGTTACTCTAATATAAACAAAAATTAGTACCTTGGATGATTCAGTCAATAGAATAAGCATTGAAATTCGTAAATAGGCTAATGTACAAGGAACATACGATTCATCAGACTTTTCTGTCTTCAATTGTCGACAGCTAAAAACAAAAATTATATATAAGAAATCCCACATCGATACGTCGCGATCAGTCTAGTGGCAAGTATCAGAAGGAAGGGAGAGATCTTCAAAAGTCAAACACCTAAACTGAACGTTAGCTCTATAAATAAAAACATAATTTTACAATTCGGCTTGAGCGCTGAATTACATAGTTCATCAGGGGGAATTTCTAATCGGTTTTATTGAGAAAAGAATAAGATATGAAATAATGAATATGTTGCTCCATTGATAATGTAGCACGAACTATTGAACTTTGTACAAGAATAGGGATGTGTAGTGGTAAAATCTATTAATCTGATGATAAGTAGAAAATTAGTCGAGCCTACAAACAATGATTAGCGTGTTTTAAAAATTTGGTTGAGGATGATGCGAAAAAATTGTGTTCAATAATTCCGATAGGCTTAATGGCAAAAACAAAACTCCCTATCGAATGAATCATACTGCTGATAAACAAATTGTAATCGTCGATATCGATTTGCTATTGTTTTTTCATCAAATCTAACACCAACTTGAACCCAGACGTGCCATGGTATTGTATTGTTCGGATTAGTTTCTTCTATTTGAGCCAGATGATATAAACCCTAAATAGATTGGTAACAAATAAGCATATTTTTATTACGTCTACGAGTCCAATGTTGTTACTTGAGCATCGCCATTTCTATACAATTGAACATAAAGTTCTATGGCTTTAGTAAAATTTCTTTTTTTCCATTGATAATATTCAGCAACGTTCAATAAAGCATAAGAATCGACGTTTACATTTTGTCTATGTACCAGTAAATATCGATTAAGTAATTCTTCGATACAATCATTTGACTTTCTATAGCGTAATTCTTTTAATTCATTACATAAAAATCCAGCATTAAAATATCCAAGTTCAATACCAGCCAATGCAGCTTGCAAATAAAACACAAATGATGAATACCTAGGAATATACGAGTATAAATATCTTAAAATGGAATATCATATTTTGTACCATCGCCGATCTCGATAACCTTCGAGTGCTCGTCGAACAACAGAGCCTACCGATGAGCTTTCTTCAGCAACATTACATGACCAACTTTTAAAAAAATGGAGTCTTATTTCACATATCTATTGAATATTTCAACATACATAGCAGCAAGAGGAGGATTTCTGATAATAACAGGATGACCACCACGAGCATTATAATATGCTACAACAATTTTTGAATCGACTTGTCCGCGTTGTGCAGCAAACGAATAGTATTGCCAAGCTTGAACATGGTCTACAACATAATTCGGAGGATAATGGCCTGCTGTCCACATAACACCCTAAATTAAATGTCATTATTAATTCTACACACGCAAGAAAACCACAATGAATACTAACAAGATTATGCGCACAATGAGCATCATGAGTTTGATCAAAACATTCTTTCCAATATTGTGCTGCTTTTGTATAATTTCTTTCTATCTCATATGCGTGATATCCTTGAAGAAAAATGAGACAAATTAGAATCAGCGTTCGATGAGATTTTACGATAGAAAACCTAAAGCAACTTTAGCGCCAAGATAACCATGTTCAACAGCTTTTTCAATATGTTGAATAGCTTCAGCTACATTTTTCTTTGTACCGTGTCCCTAGACAGGTTCTATAGATCAATCATGATTAAGAAAACCGAAATTTACTTTAAGAAGCGCTAATCCATAGCCAAAATGCGAAGAAGCATCATGTTGAGCAGCACCCAAACGAAAATATTCTACAGCAGCTTGAATATTGCGTGTTAAACCATTTCGGCCAGTATACATCAATGAACCTAAATGTTGCTAAATAAAAACACAGATTATTTTTATTTCTAAAACAAGAAAATTATTGATCTAAAATTACTTGAGCTGATGCAACACCACGTCTTGCTTGCTGTCGTAGCCAGTAGAATGAATCACTTTTATCAAATGTAAGTTCACCAATAAGTTTCTCATCAGTAAGAAGAATATACTCCATAGATGCCTAGATAAATATTTTATTTATGTTGATTAAAAAACAATGCTGTCAGTGAATTTCTCAGAAGATTCGAAAAAATCGTTATTAAAATACTTCGCCTGCTTTTGGATAATATAATTCTTGTCGCGATGTTTCAGCCATTTGCTGATAATAAACTAAAAAATAGACGAATAACTAATATCAACAGTTACATAGACAAACCATATGCAATATCATAGTCGAGAGGAACACCATCAAGTCCATAAAAATGTCGATGTCCAAGTGCAAGTAAACTAATTCGATCATTAAGTAATGCACCCGTAAATAATAATTCAAGCGCCTATTCAAATAATGAGAAAAAAGACATTAGAATGGATCGTTTTGTTTTCGATTTAACTAAACTTTTACACTATATATTAAGTTTATTAACTATAATTCTTGCTATTACAGTATTAGTTTTATCAATTCTTACAGCACAACGCATAACAATAAGTAATCATCAAAAGTATGCACCAAAAAAATCAACTATTATCAGTGATTTTTATTTTCTTATATCTATTTGCATTGGTGGTTCAATATCAATCGTATTCATAGCTTTGTATGGCATAACTGCTGTTTATTTTGAATCAAAACTTTTTCTTAGCATTCACGGAATACTTCTTTTACTTAGCCATTCGTGTTCATTACTTATTGGCTCCGTTCTATTTTTTGACGAAAAAAAAATCTGTGCACCAGCTTCACTGTTTTTTAAAGTCAAATAATCTATTCTTATATCAAAATTTGTATTCATAATTTTATTTAGGCTCATTATGATTATGCATTATTAACTTATTCATCTCGCCTATCAAATAATAAATCACTATCATATGATGATCTGTATCATAATGAAAAATTCTCTCCAATGATAAATATTACGTTTGATACTATATTAGACAATGTTCATAGACGTCTTCATTGTTGTGGTCTTACGGGTACATCAGATTTTACTAAATTACAGATTTCACTTCCATCATCATGTTTTAATCATAATGGTATATCTTATGAATCTTCATGTTTATCGAAGTTTCGTTTAGAATCAGTACATAAAGCTCAAATATTTGCTATATGTATTTATATGATGGGCGTTCTTACATTAGTTTCATTATTAATTGATCTGATTTTATTACGAGAATTTTTTCAGGATCAACTACTTGAACACGTAATTAAAAGACTAACAAATTTTTCGAATATGATTGAACCTGTGAACGAAACGAAGTATCAATCACTTGAACCTCAAGTTCAACAGTATATTATTGATTATTTACTTGAAAGTACTTTGTAAAAGAAAACAAACGGTCCACATACTCGTGTTGAATTTGATTCAAGACCACAAAGACCAAAGCGATGAAACGTAGCTAGAAGAGACGGCGCTGATGGATGTCCATAACATATAGCTTGTTCAGACCAACTAATAATAAGATTGCAGAATGAATCAAAATCATCGCTTGCCTAAAAAATACATATTAAAATCATAGATTTCATTTAATTATATAAAATATCTTTTACAAGAATTTCCATTGTTAAATCATAAAGTTTATTAGCTACATCCAACATAGATTGTACTTTTCGTCGTCGCAAAGCTCGATAAATTCGATAGCGAGTATCAGTAAACGATGCTGCTGGTAACGATAAATTATTTTTCCATGCACGAACAAGCAAACATTGTCGATTAGGTTTCTTCAATAGAAATGGCTGAGCATCACACGTAACTATCAATTGATTTGAAACATTTATAGAATAGTATCGTGTACATATATATATAGGCTAAGAACCTACATTTTTGTTGAATACGTTTATTAAAAAGATCAGCTTGTTCTCGAGATTGTGTAAATGAATTCAAATGGCGTTTGCATTCACTTGAGTTTTGTATTATAGACGGTAAATATGGCATAAATGAATGATCAAGCTTTTTCGGTAACTAGAATAAGTAAATTAAAAGTCGAAACAATAGATAGACAACAAACTTGTTCATATGTAAGAGCTATGCGTCGATAGATATCTAATTGACTAATAAATCCTCGAAATGACGGCGTTAGATCATTACCGCCTACAATGAATGTTCCCAATTGATCATCAAAATAATAATAAATAGGAGAACTAAAATAGATAATCATTCATCGTTTATAAATAGAATTACATCCGAATATTACTCATGTGCAGCTATTGTAGGTTTATCCCAAGTTTGAAGGCAATTTATATAAACATTCCACTATAATATAAACTAAAGTAAAATTCAATTTCAAAAATGAAAACTTATCTACTTTATATTCATCAACAATGAAAGCCACTCTACACCAATCTTTTTTTACTATTGACTCAACAGTTCGTGCTCCAGTTCCCCTATGATCATATAAATTTCCAAACATAGTGACGGTAATTTTACCTGAAATCAGAAGAATAATTGCATAATTGAGCTTCGCAATATATTTGAACAACTACCTTCTCGATTGAGAAAAATTCCTGGCGTTAAATATGTATTATTGAATGTTACATATTGTAGAATAGCGCTATGAATCGCAAGCGATCCTGAAGCATAATATTCATCAATATATAACCAAAATATGATTGAAAATCTATATTTATCTATTTTAAATACATTTTTTTTCTAGACAATTATAAATTTACCGTGGCCTTGTTAATCTTATTTTTTGTTCCAATCGAATACCGTAATCGTGATACGTTGGAAGTACGAAGTGTTTTCCATAAGTACGACCTGTAAGTACCAATGGATACTCTATTATTCGTATAACTTCTATTCAAAGAAAATAATATAGTTTGATTCAATTTTACATAAAATCTAAAGAATATTATTACCTGGCTCTACCGGACAGATAGAATTTCTGATTTTATTTATCAATGGATGCCATCGAAATGAACGCATACTTGGCCGTTTATGAACTGGTAAAAATCTTACATTATATTGAATTTTTTTCAACATTTCATTTTGTTTATCTTGGTCGTTTTTGTACATTATGAGTGTTAATTGACCTTGTTCTATCGGCCACGATTTTAAATTTAAGTCGGGATCCGAACGATATGCTATCGAACGATGTAACTGTACACGAACATAGCGAAGTTGAACATTAGGTGATTTATGACAAAACCAATAACGACGAAAAATAGCTAAATTCGTTCGATACAGAGTTCTTTCAATAACTATTGATAGTGAAATACGACGTGGTGTTAGAGATGAACATTTATATTGAATGGTTAAATAAATGTTATCATTGTGAAGCACTGATGGAATATATTTCGCATCGATATAATCCGGTTGATTGGATAATATTTTATCATATTGATTCGTTATTTGGCATTGAATTAAATTTATCGAAGAAATCACGAAGATGACGAAGTAGTTTTTACTTCTCATAGTTACAAGACGATATTGATAGAATACTGCCTCGGAACAGAATAATGCTTAAGAAAGAAAAGAATCGATGCAGCTGATGCCACGCTACACTCACAGATACAGGCCAATAAGAACAAGAATAATATTCATCCATTTTGCATATGTAATAGCAATGAATTGTATTTCAAATTTTCTTTATTTATGATGTTGAGTTCAAAATCAGAAGAGCAAAAAACTAACAGAGATTTTCTTTGTACCTCATAACTCATTATAACAACCAGTGATGGAATCGGTTCGTGTTCTTTTCGAACCGAACCGAATGAAATTGAAATGTCTTAAATATCTCAGTAACATCGAAATATTATTAGAGTATTTGTTTTTCTCTTAAAATGATATTTTGTGCACACATCATATATATATATATATATATATATATTTTTTTTTTGATTATCTTGAATTTGGTCGAAAGTAAAAATGTCGAAACTGAGGTGGCACTCCCATACATTTTTTTCTTTGTGAAAATGAATCAGTCAGTAGGGTTAGTTAAAACAAAACGTTTATTATTAAAAAAGAAGACTAAAAGACAGCCTAAAGCTTTTTTGAGGGTGATTGTTAATCCATCTTTAAACAATGTTCTATCTGCTTGATTAAAACTTCTTTTTTACCACAATTCAAGACAAACCTTTAAAGAGCTCACATGGTGTAATGAGATAGTTGCTATATATATATATATCATACAACGCTGTTGTTTTTGTGTGTTTCGGTTTTAGTGCACCAGATGGCCATTCAAGTTTATACCTTCTTTATTCGAATTAATGAAATATTAATCATCGTTGATGATAGATATTGAAGCAGAGGGAGCTATCACTTTTATTTTATTTCTCGAATAATGAATGATTGAAGATTCTTACTCGTATTCTTCTTTATTCATTTCTTTGTACTGAATGAACAATAGTGTGATAGACGGATCATAAATTTACAACAAGATAAGTCAATATTCATCGTGAAATAATGACAACTTCATCACACACTTTTCCAAACAGTCTTCATTTAAACTTCCCTTCTTTTACAACACAGTTTTATTTCAATGTTCGTATTTTCGACATTTTTACTTTCGACCAAATTCAAGTTTACCTAAATTAACAGTCTCCCACGTCCATGATTCCGAAGAACGAATACTGTGGCGAAAACCACCGTATCCTGAAGGGAAACACTGAAAATCGTCGCGGGAATCGGACGCAGTACTCCGACCGGAATACTGCTTCCACGTTCCACTGTTTTCCTGCCGTTTCCCGCCGTACGAGTTCGACCTGGGTTAAATTTTCCTAGGTAAATTTCAAATTCTCCTGAATTTTGATTTCTTCTGCGACACATGCATATATATATTATTGTCATTAGCAACATCTATTTTTAAAATGGATGCAGTGTTCCTATTAGAAACATTGGATGGATCTATGTTTTATTTCTCTAATCAGCAGAAAAAAATCTGTTGATTGAAAATAAATAAATCGGTTTAAAAGACTTCAAACCGAACCTAACCGAACCGATCCCATCACTGATCTGTATTCTCGATGTAGAGTTCTCTTTCTCAAATTTATTTATTTTAAGATTTGAATTGTTTTTTAAATGAGCTAACATATGGATATATTTTGATTGCATCTAACAAATGATGACTACTATTCACAGAGAAACTACTTCAACTCAAAACGTTAACGATGAATTTGCAAATCTTATCAGTTTACATGCAACAAATAAACTTTTCAGATTGACATCAACCAAAAAGTAAAAAGACTTTGCTTTATTTAGGTAGTTAATGAAAAGTACTCCCGATATTGCCTATTGATAATATTTTTTTTTCGGCAATTGTTGAAATTGAAAGAATCTCAAATGTATAGAATCTTGCAATAATTCTTTTCGTTCAAATAATATTTTTTGCAAAGTTTTCTGTAGGTTTTTTTACATGATACGTATTCCTCTTATCATGTTTTAAATTATGATGACATCTGATGAAGTTGCACACTCGACATATTGTAAGTGAAGACTCTCGATCTAGATCCATTGCAAGTACAAAGCATTCATTATGATCTGGAATATCTGTGACTTCAGTATTTAAATAGTTTATTATAATGTTTTTCCATCCATCTGTAACTATGTGAACCATTTCAAAATGACGAGAGTGTGATATAAATAGAAACAGAACAATAAGAGGATTAGTTTTGATTTTCATACTTATTTCTCATAAGTACGTATAGTTCAGAATTTGAGGGCTCGTTTCTAGTATATGCATATTTTCTGGTAGCTACTGAATTTATTGAGCTGTTAGATGCTATCTGGTTGGGAAAGATGATCGTTAATTAGTTGATTCTCATCACTCCTCATTGAATTCAAATTTGGATAGTTTAGAATTCTTCTCTCAATGTTGTTTTAACTGTTCTCGTTTATCATTACCGATTCCTTTTTCATATTGGAAAAAAGCAACCAACAACAAAAAGAAAAAGATAGGAAAAGTGAGTTCGTGGCATTATATTCTTGATTGAAATAAAATTTTAATTACACAAATCCTGCTGGATGATATTTAAAGAAAAATATAATTTATTTGTACGTATCGAAACTCAATTTAAATAGATAAGTCTAATAAACCTTTTGTAACCTTTATATTTTCAATATAATTATAAGGATTGAAAAGAACATTTTAATATTACACTCAGTCATCGTCGAAAGTGGACTGAATAATATTTTGTAAAAGAATAATGTAACAGGGGTCAGGATGTACTTTCAGTTGAAGCTATAAGCTGACATTAGCTTAACTTCACAGAATAAGCGAATTAGCTAAGCAATAATATCTCCACGTATACTGAAATTAAAGTGGGAACTCTTATCCTGGAACACTCAAGGAACTAGGATGGGTAAATTTGTTCTTATCGTTACAATTAAACTAAGGATTAGCATGTTAAAGTAGAGCAACCAACGATGATTTATTGAATTCAACTGCGGGTGAGATCTAATCGAAAAAATTGTACCTAAGAAGGATGACACCACGATATGAGTGTTACACTCATTTTCACCTGAGGCATTTAATGTTGGGATAGGTGAAGAAGTAAATCGAAATCATATTTTGGTCTTCAATTTAATGTGAACAAGATATATCGCGCTAAAAAAACAAAAGATAGAAGTAAGATTCACTTTTTCTATAATCGTAGTGTCAGTAAATGCGGGCATATTGATTTGAGAATGAACATATTGAGAAGTTCGAACTAAAATAGGATTCTTATTCCTGTAACGAAACATCATGTAAACGAGAGCTGCTATTTTTATTGTCATCCTAATTGAAATAAGGACTAAGCTGCCGAAATAAGCGGAGCGATAGTAAAAAAATTCTATGTCAGTTAATATCGTAGAACTACTCATTACTGGAAGGCTGTTGTCGGTCAATAAACGTTCGGACATTACAATTCGCTTACAAAAAAATTTCTAATGAGAAACATTACAATCAAAATGGATGGATCAGTGAGATAAATGTCATGGCTTTTCTAATCTTAATTGAATCGAAACTAACTTGGTGAAATGAATTAAGTAGCAAAGAGAAATGACGTTTCAGTGTTTAGTTCAATAATAATAAAGGACTGTCATGGTCTTTAAACTGGCTGCAATACACAAGAATATCATTTGTCGATTTTAATTAAAAACTCAATGATGCAAATAATGACGAAAAAAAGACGAGCTTATTTTTATTTTTAAATTTCTGCCGTAGCTAATTAATATTCAAGTAAGCACTACCATGCCAAGGAGGCTAAAAAGAAAGAACTGTTGAGCTGTGAGCACAATATGATACTACGAATATATACCGCGTTCGAGAAGAGAAAATTAAGAGATCAGTTTCTTTTGCGTTTATATTATAAATCGAGTTAGGGTTGCCTGGTTGGAATAGAAGAACTATCATGGAAATATTTTATTCTAGCGTGTAAGTAGATGTTTGAGAAAATTCAAACTAAAATTGGCTCAAAGTTTTGCAAATTTCTACGAACTTTATAATTACGTAATAGTATAAAGCAAAAGTTCTTGAAAAATTAGGTCGGCTCAGGAATTTTCAAAGAGGTATACTCATGAGAAATAACAATTCATGTAATTAGTACATAAATGCGTGAAATTTTCTTTTGTCAGAGTTTAAACACTGCTGCTGAAGAGGATACAGATGAATTTTATTTTCAATTGGAATATTATTTAGGTGTAGGATCGATGTCTTAATGCATTTTTTTTAGAATAAAATCGATCAGTGATAGTATTTAGTGCTCCGTATAGTTAAATAATCCCAAAAAAGAATATAATTTCTTCTAGAAAACTGTTTAAACATAGCAACTGTTGTTGAGGTTCTACTATTACCGATGATACATATAGAGTTACAACTGCGAAATATGAGCAAAAGTTAATTCTTATCTGTTTGCTCATTGGTCGACGGAACGAGCAAGTGTTTACAGCAAACTGTGCCGACTCACTGCCGATAATGTGTCACTGATTAGCTCTAAATAACAAAATTAAAATTTCTCTTTAATACTAATGCTTAGAACGCGCAGATTAGTCTATATTTGTTCTTTTCATTTCAATCTCATCTTAGTACGAGAACATTTTTCTCACATAATGCCGAAGTGAAGTTAGTCTTCGCTCATTATGGATAATCTTACTAGGAAGAATTAATCCATCCATCGGAAGACGATGAGTACAAGGCTAATCAAATTCTATTTTTTCCTGAAATGACGAGATTTTTTTTCGCTCGATTCTTTACTTAGAGTACTTTCAAGTGAAAGAAAGAACAAAACCACATTGACCTATCAGTAAATTGCTATTTATGAGCTTGCCGAGTTTTATGTTGATCTCTTAAAAAATAAAAACATTATATCACTAAAATTTTATTATTACGCGTACGTTTTTTTTATTCTAGATCCAGAACTTTTATCATTATTGGTTTCTGCATAAACTCGAACGATTATTTATGTGCATGTTTCACCAAATCCTAGCTATTTTAGACTGGGAAAAACAACCGCTCTGATTTTTAATAGCGCCGCCGTCACATTGATTGCATGTTTTCTTATTTTGTTGTCATCGAAGATAAGATTTTATCCTATGTGGCAATAGGATGATTCAAAAAAATATTATATACACAAAATCTCCTTGCGAAGGAAGTTCACAATTGAATTTGGACGTTTGCTTTTTTATTCCATTCGAAATCAATACAATTTTGGCTACAACGAAGTAATTGATTCTAGGCAGACAACAGAATTTACTTGATCTAGTTAGCCAATCATATATTATCATGAGCAGCAATTACATACTTACAATCAAATATGTGATCGATCAGATCACACGTTTCGTACCCTATATTACTATTATAGCTGGTACAAGTGGTGGTCTCTGCAATCTTTTCACATTTACTTCAAGGCAGCTACGTGGCAATGCATGTGCTTTCTATTTACTATTTTCGGCTGTGTTTGATCTTATCTCGATTCTGTTTGGTGGTGTCACACGACTCATGCTCGATCATTACACAAATCTATTGCCTATTGAATCTTCTTGGTTTTGCAAATTACGAACCTATCTTGCAATTCTTCCACCAGGTTTGGCCACCTATTTTTTAACACTATCTGCAGTTGACCGATGCTTATTGACTTCACGATCGGCAAATCATCGTGCCTGGAGTCGAATAAAAGTAGCTCGACGTACAGTTGTCATAACTACATTCATCTGGTTACTATCCGGCATTCATCTTATTATATGTTATGATGTACAAGTAATTAACGTAAACAACAATGTTTTCCTATGTGTACCTTTTGAAAACATCTATTCAATTTTTGTCAGCATCTACTTTTTTGTATGTTTCCTACTTACACCCTGTGTTATCATGATTGGTTCAAGCATTCTAACATGGACACATATCAAGACGTTGCAACGTCGTGTAGGTCCTGAACAATTCCAACGAATAGCAAATGGTCGTACCGATCGCCATCTCATTACGATAATGTTTGTACAAGTGAGTCTGACGCTGATCTTTCTTTCGCTTCGAATTGGTTCTCTAGGGTATTCATTACTAACGATGAATGTACCAAAGGATATTTACAGCATGGCAATAGAATCGTTTTTTACTAAACTAAGTCTCGCCGCATACACTCTCAATTTTGCCAAGTCTTTTATCGTTTATACGCTCACGAGTCGATTATTTCGTGATATTTTTCGTGAACGCGTCATGGTTTCCTTTAGAAGAATACGTACGTTCATAATGAGTATGTTTCAGTAGCTTCAACCATTGAAGAACTTCTATATTTTTGGATACAAAACATTGAATCAATTGACTTTCAAATTAATCTTAATGGTTGATTTTGTTCAAAAAACTGTTCTCAAAATGTACTGGTCAATAAATCCCTATTGACATACTTTTGACAATATTTCATGATATATTTCGATCAAAATAAATGTAAAAGCGGATATTCAGAAGTTCAATAACTACTCATGATTCTATGTAATGAAATATATGAATTTCTCTTGTGCAACTTTTGTAGACCTTTCCAGTAGCTAGCTGACATCAAAACAAGAACCTGTCCGAGGAAGCGATAGCTGATTCTTTGGTTCCATAATTCAGTTATTCAGATTAGTTCTGTTAATACTCAATGACACCACGAAATTGTTCGGTGTTTTATGAAGTCGATCGTAATTTCAAGTGTGCACTCATCATTGATTTCAGCATTGAATGGCAAACGATTTTGATCGATCAGTTCACTTTGGAATAACTTAAAAGCTTGATGAAACAAGCCTGATTTATCCGTTAGGAAACGACTCTAAAGTAATCTGACCGGTCACTTTAAAAGCATGATCATATTATTATTGTAATACGAAACAGTTTATGTTGGTTAAAATCAGCAAAAAGTATCGGATTTGGCTCTAGTTTCATTTTCAAATCTATTATTTTTTATCATAGACGAATCCATCGATTCTATGAAGTTTAAACTATGCTAACAGGGAAGACCATCAAGTGTTCCATCGCTTTTTCGTTGAAACTACATGCTTTATGTAGCTCCCAAGGAGTTATGAATACACTGAAAATATTTTGGGCGGATAGCTTATTGTTACGAAAGTAGACCATTTTTATGGCATTGTTTTATGATTGCCGTACTCCCCCTCAGCAACATGAGAAAAATTGATTTTCGAATTTTGATTTGAAATTTTATATAACAATAGAGCTCAACGAGAATAGTGTTTCATGAATGTTTTTGGCTATTGAATTTGTTTTTTTCATAAAATCTGCCGCTTTATTTGAAAGATGTAAAATAAAAATTTCCCAATAACTGTGTCCAGTGATAGAAAACGTTGAAAGGTCTGAAATGTTCACAAAAAGTTGTTCTCCTTAGGGCGCCTTCCGATGTAAAGTTTCAAGTTGAAATTCGAAAATCAATTTTTTTAATGTTTCTGAGGGGGATCCAGGCTCTCACTAAAATCTATACCTTAGAAATGGTCTATTTTCGTAACAATAAGCCGGCCGCCCAAAATATTTTCAGCGTATTCATAACTCCTTGGGAGCTACATAATGTAAGCAGTTTCAACGCAAAAGCGATTGAGCACTTTGTGACCTTCCCTCGTAAGTGTATTCTTCAGTGATCGATAGATTAATCTGTTTTATTATATGTCGAGTGACATTATGAAATTCGTTTGAGATCGTCTCATTTTGAAAAACGGCGGAGTCAATCACTACTATTATGCTTTATCTAAGACTGTTAATTTCTTGTAAAAATTGTTTTCTAGACGGATGATATACGATGAAAGAGAACATCTCATCGATATGATTTAAAATGATTGAGTATTACTGTTTAAACAAGTAGTCTGAAATGCATTGGTCAGTGTGATTTGATTGAAAGTTCAATAGTATGTGAATACGCTGCCGATTATAGAGAATTGATGATTATTGAATCCTTTAGAATAAAATGAGGAGCCTAAAATGTCATACGTTAAAAGCATGATCTAGTGTATGTAATTTTGAAACGAAAATTTACATGCTGAATTAAACGATATAATCATATACGATTTAAATCAGTTAAATTTTTAATAACTTTGCCCTTGTGTATTTTTTTCAATCGTCGAAAGGAATTCTTTTTTGTATCTATAATATGCTTGTTATGTTATTAGTTTTATTTGCTTACTCGTTTCGTGATATTCTCATCTAGCTATATGTTTATATACCTTTATGCTTACTCTACAGGCCAATGATGTTTCTCGCGAGTTGGTTAGTAGATGATAAACATAATTTCAAGGACGGAAAGTGAAGCACCTTCAACACCTGCAGTACTCAAAAATGTTGAAAGGGTGTGTCATCGTATTTTTTTGTTTTGTTAAATCCAAAAGGAGGCCATACGTTTAGACACATCTTATAATCGATGCACAACTTTACTAATGTATATTTGCATCATTATAGTGTTTTTTGCTAACTTGAGCAGATCACATAAGTGACAAAGTTGATTTGTTGTTTTGTTTTCTTATGAACATATTTACTAGATAAATTTTTCAATAAAAATAAATAAAAGTTTGTTTTATGCAGATCGTTCAAAACAAATGTTTATATACATTTGTATATTTTTTTTTTCACTTTTATTGAAAAATTTCCGTTTTATATCACAAGAATATGCTTAGGCTTTTAAATTCATCTGCATAAGTTGAGCAAGTTGGCCATGATCATCTCTATTTTGTATTATTTGAAATATTTCAGCTTCAACTATTTGTCTATGCAGAAAATTTTGAATAAATCCGACTGAAAATATTACAGCATCATTATAACCTAAGCGATATATCATATATTTCCATAAAACAGTTAAACAATAATTTTGACCTGAAAGAAGATTTTTAGGTGCAGGATCAAAATCAATTGAATTATATTGTTCTTTTGCAATTAATGGTGATATTCGAGATGATAACGCAAGTATAACAAGCAAAAGTTTCATTATAAATGGATCATGTGGTGAATGTGTTCGGAAAGTATTTAAAATTTTTTCTAAACGATAAAGAATTTCTTCTGAAAGAACAGATTCTATTGCTAATCGATCATGTTCCCATGGAAGAATATCTAAGATTTTCGATTGCATTAGTTCACTTGCATTCACCGATAATAAACAGGAAAAAGTATCTTTAACATAATTATAATGATCATTCAATGATAATTTAAATGGATCAGATAGAAGAACGTGTTTAATAAATGAAGCAACAATCGCAGTATATTTATATTTAAGTTCAACTACACGTTGTAATTTAATACGTGATCGGTACGGTTGTTTAGGTGGTATAAGTGAAATAGATTCATGAGATTCGATAAATTTTTGAACACAGTACTGTTCGTAAAAAGTTTGAATATTTGTCAAGAAATTCCAATCATCCAATGAAAGAGACAATTGATCATGTAGAGACAGCACATCAGCCTGAATAATAAATAATAGAATTGAATTTTTAAATTAAATTCCGACCTCGAAAAATTAATTTTCATTATTAGAATCGAAATTGAAGAAAACATTCCATGCAAGGAAACCTTGACATTTAATGATTCATTGAAGGCATGAATTTCCATCAGACATTCCACTTAGGAAGATATGTTCTCTTCAAAGAAAAAAAAGGACTAGAACTTTTTATCTTTCTTTTTCTTCTCTACTTTGGTTGATCGTGCTTCCTAGAATTTTTCCCGACGCCTCATTTTGACTAATAGCGCTCTTGTTAGGTTTGCAAGAAAATGAACGTGGCTTAAGTGTCTGACAGAGCGCATCTTTTGAATCAACATCGTTTTTTTTTCTCATTATATAAATATAGTACATCTATAATCAAATGTCTATTTTTTGAGATATTCTAGGTGGCATGCATTGTTTTTTTCTGCATTAAATCAAAGGAGCTTAGACAAGGCAACCTGACATGTTCATTCAAGAAAAGCACGCGGATTGAATTCATAGAGGAATTGCCCATAGCACATTGTCGAGTTATTATATGGGCTATTTTTCGATTATCTTAGTCGAGCAATATGATGTAGAGCTCGGGATTATGGCTTAGACTCTTAGCTGTAGTCTTAAGGTGTCCTGAAAATGTCATGCGATTTAAATACACTGCGCTCAAAGCTAGCTTTCAGTGACAAGTAAATATCTATATACTTACAGTTGTCGGTTTTAATAATTGAAATTGTGATCTATTCGTAACTGTTGCAGATGTAACATGAGTGATTGCACTCAAACTACGAATAAGTTCTTTTTTCATGCCTTGTTGAAAACATTTTTTAAGACGACACGCAGAACAATGTCGTCTAGTTAGTGTTGTTATTGTGCATGAACCTGATATTCGACATGTAAAAATAAGCTTGAAAGAAAAAGAAACATATCATAGGCAAACTACCAAATCTGTGTTAACTCACATGATCATTATAAGCATTACGACGGAAGAATGCTAAAAAAATTAGACAAATTAAATTAAATTTTTATAAATTCTTTTGAGAAAGAAGTTGTTTTCTGCTTTCTTTCTAAGAACAAGTGTAAAAGTAAACCCAAAAAAAAGCAAATCCGATAAAATTATGTAGTTTCTAGATATATATATTTCTAATCTACTCTCTTATATAGGTTGACATTAAAGAGAGTACAGTATAAGCATTAGGTTTTCTTCAATATCTATAAACACGTAATCAATTGAAAAGCCCAATAGAAAAGGTAGCTTAAAAAAAGTATCAATACCTTTGCAAGATAAACATGTCAGTGCATCGAAATTCCGTCCTACAAGCAAGACAGTAACATATGTTAACGTTAAAAAAATTAAAAAATGATAATATATTACCAATAGCCAAAGCACCACAAACGGCACATAAGGCACGGGAATGTACTAGTTGGCATATAGTTTTAATCTTGGATGTCTGTAAAGGGTCACTTTCCATGTAACGTTTAAATGAAAATGGTTGTTTCTATTATGATACAAGGTGTAATTCTTTTCTTATCTTTCTGTCTGAGTCAGTTAAATGCACTCGCAATGCACTGAAAAGAGTACACGGTCGATAACAAAATTCTCTTTCTTTTCTTTCTGTTTCTTCACAAATCTATGTTTCTCGTTATGCGTGCCCTCTCAAACTCGTTTTTAATTTTATTTTTCTCTTCTTTTCTTTTCATGTTACATATAACCTTGCATCCAAAAGCAAAAATGTTTTTTTATAAAAAAAGAAACCAATTCTATAATCCTCTGTAAAAGAAAAAAACGTTATTTCATAATAGTGCATTGTATTCTTAATCATAAACATGGTTGTGACTTGCGCTTGATGAGAAACTTCTAATTATCTCTGTTTAATTCGGAAATATCATAGAAAATGATAATTTTTAGTACCACGCGATTCACTTATTTATATGAGTTTATGCTTGAAAATTTTGCTGTTATCTAGGGCATCTTTGGACAATAACCATATGAAAAATATAAACATGGTTATCTATCATTTAGAAACTTCTTATTAGTTAGATTTGATTCATTTACGAATGATATCTATCTATTGAATAAATATAAAAATTATCTGTTTGCAAATTCTAATCATCACTAATGACAAGGATACTTTTACGCCTGAAAATTCATTATAAATGAAAAGCTTACAGTGTCGATTTTTATTTTCCAAAACATCCTAATCAAATTAAACAACCATGTAATGTCAGTTAAATGTTTCTACTCATTCATACTTCAACTCTCCCAAAACATTTACTTTTACAATGTCACGTATTTTTTTCAAAAAATGAGTTGAATGAAATCATTAATCACATTTATATGGTTCTTGCTTTCTATGCATCCAAAGCGAATGTAAACAGTGTCATGTTTTGGGCGCTACGCATTACTGAGTCGACTGACAACTTTCAAGGGCACGTGCGTGTCACAAATTTAAAACGCGAACACATTTTGAAAATATTAATTAAGTAATACGCGGAATAATCTTTTCCTTACAATCTTCTGCCTAGATATTGTCTTTGGAAACATTATTTTAAATCCTCGAGAAGACCAACAAATCCCTAAAGTAATGCCTTGTATATTTCTTCGTTGAATAATAGACTCGTTTTTTTTTGAATGCAATGGTTTCTACATAATAGTAAGCTACGAGTCTACTATAGGAAGAAAATTTTCATCATTCAAAACGATTCATACGGAGATAAGGCAAACGTACCTAGTCATTAAAAAAGAATCACTTTTCTATGAATACATCGAATAACTGTTCGGGGGAAAATCTAAAATAACGACGAATTTTTTATCATAAGAATGAAATCTGATATGGTTACATATCATTCTTTACAAAGAATATTCGAGGGATTTCCTATTTAACGCATGTTCTGTATTTCAAATGGAACCAAATCATACTCGGAGACAATATCTCATCCCCAAACGTAAACAAGCAGTTTTCACAGTGACCAAATCAATTGAAAATATAATATGAATATTTAATTAAAATACTTAATTAGACGCTTAGCTTAGGAATAGAAAAAAATACGTCTACACGTATAACCATAACAACTTATAAATCTACTAGCGTGCATGTCAACCTCAATTACCGAACATGAATGATTGTGCATGGATTTGTTTCCCTTTAATTAGATATGACTCAACAGCAACACAACACATAACAGACGATGTATTCGTTTCTTTTCTTCTAAAGATATTGGCAATTTTTTTATTATTTATTCTCCTGTATTCAGATTTAACAAATAGAAAATAGAGGAAAGCCCAAGGGGGAAACAACTGATTTCGAACCATTTGAATGGCTGAAAATGTTAGTGTAGTTTTCTTCCGTTCCTTGCGGTAGAACGTTAACCGAGCGCCTTTGGGTCTTATTTTTAGTCCTTGACCCGGAAACAGGCAAACACTGAATGAATGGGAATAGATAGGAATGGATGCGAATGCCGAACAGTTTTTTCCCCCTTGGGAAAACCGCTATTCGCCTACATTTCAGTTCACCGATTTAACACTATTTTCTCTGGTATAGATAGCATCAACGTATTTCTTAATATTCATTACGAATCCCTTTTGTAATCTGCTCACACTACGTGTAATCGAGAATAGATAATGTGTCTTAATGATGTTAATGCCACTCATTGAACTGTCAACTGGAAAATTATGAATCTATTTTTTTGACCTTTTTTCTATTAGTGAGATATTCAAGATCTGGTTATTATGATACGAGAAATTTAGATTAAGTTGCCAAAAAATCATGTGTATCGAGCAGTTTTTGTGAACTGTTTTCCGTGACAGAGGGAAATAGAAATTATTGGTGAAATTGAAAAAAAATGTATGAAGTCAAACAGAATGTTTTTATGAGAATTTTATGCTTGAAAATCATATCCAAAATTTGATGAAGAAACTACTGCAACAAGCTGCATCTTTCTTTTCCGAAAATAATGTATTACTGCAAAAATATTTGTTTAAATCTAGTGCGCTTTTCTCAATTATGAAAAAGCTATATATTTTCCACCACAACTTGAACAATAATTGCTATTCAGCAAGGAGTAAGTGTAGTATTTATGGGTCGTTTTCTCCTGTCTTATAACTATGAAATGTAGACCGTCCGAACGATAGAAAATCGTTGGTTGTACGACTTATTTTTAAAGAAATGAGAATAGAACTACTGAAATATTTTGGATATTATTCATACCAGAAAAACTGTCCCAAGCTCGATGAACTTGAAATGTAAGGGGACAAAAGTTTTCTGTTCAATTTTCTATCTTGAATAAAAGCAAACAGAATTTTAATATATGATACAATTGAACTTCGAAAGTTTCTGTAGAACAAATCCAGTAGTAGCCGTTCAAGTCAATTTTTTTTATCGCTGGATCATGTCAACGTTGGCCTCGATTAATTAGGGTTCAACATGAAATTCCCGAAAACTAAAGTTATCTGAGCAGCTACTTGAGTTAAACGAAACTATATTTAATCGAACAGAAAAAATTCCATTCAAGCTTTTTGTGGTTAGCTATCCTTTGCCTAAATCCTGCTTCGTCTTTATTCTTGATTATTCTCGTCTGGAATAAGATTTATCATGAGGCTACTTCCGCCATGTTTCACAAGAGTCAAAACAATAGCGATTTGATTTTGACAATTTAAGATGAAAATGTAAAAGAAATTTCAAATGGTATCTAGCTCTTAGCGTTGTTTACTAGTGAAAAGCGGTTGAAGCAAGCATTTGTTTCATTATTGAAATCAAAATATTGGAAAAAAGATAGTCAAATTCTGTCTATCTTCTTGAAATTTTGTCGAAAACTATATAGTATTGCTCAATGAAAATATAAAGCAAAAACATTTATTTCATCTTTCAATTATATGCCCTTGAATACAAAAAATAAATATAAACTCTTCCGGTTCACCGACGTCAAGGTCTTTTATTCTCATAGAAATTGTCACTCTTCTAAATTATATCTATAGCCTAGTATAAGCTTAATATATGAATGATTAAAAAAACAAATATGATAATATTTAGAAGAAATTTATAAATTAAGTATTATTGACTGCATTTATTAAGGACACACGAAGTTAATGTGAAAAATATGTAACATGTAAAAAGAAATACTATTTCAATGAACAACAACTTGATGACTCATATTTGGAAGCATTAATAGGAAAAATTTTCATGTAAAAAAAAGTAATACTTACAAACTATATGCTTTGAAAGTATATCGTTTTATTTTCTAAGCTACCTCTCAGTGTAACATTCGACTATTTACTCACATTCAAGTTGCAATCAATGCTATAGCATATAATACACGCGTCAAAAAAAAAATAGATAAGAATGCTTGCATATCATTTTTTTAATATTACTTGAGCTTTGAAAAAAAGACGGTAAAAAATGCAAACGTTACTGTACCTTATTAACTAGATTTACGTAGTGAAAGAAAATGATTTCATGACGAATTTTAATTGCGCATGCCTTGTCAAAAGGAGAACGAACCATCCAGTATATACCAATAAACCTCACGTTGCACAAGTACGCACATTAGTAATCCTCTATGTATGTCACAGTATACGATGCCACTTCCTTTAACGAGTATATATATTGCGTAAAAGCATTAGCTGTTGGCAGCTAGGTTTCGTTAGTTATTTTTTTCTATTATTCGTTTATCAGTATGATAAATATGAATATGTCGGGATACCGTTAATCTTAAAATGTTTGTTGGAAGATATTTCAGGAATAATACATCTACTTAAAATGTACATAATGACATCGGAAGAAAATGAATGTAATGTTTAGACTTCTGACAATTAAACATATATGCAGGATACTTAAATATAAATAGATTTCGCGATATTCCCAATGAATTGTAACAATTCATTTGAAAAGAAACCTATTATGCCTAGTACATCCAATGAAATGATTTAATCATACTATTGATATTTATTTTCATAATACGTAAATTAACTATTTATAACAATGTGCGCACACAAAAATTATTTTTCTTTTATTAAACCTGATTTAACATCAGATCTATAACAAGGTCTTTGAATAGAAAAACTATCATCTGTGTCATACATTTTTACGCCGGGTCACTTTGATTCAAAACAAAATTCATTTATATTGTTAAAATAGTTCACTGAGTATAAATATATAAATTTTTTGAAATACCTAAATTTACTAGCTAACTGATGAAATGAAAGAGTTCAACATATCAGAATATCAAGGGGGAACAAACTGATTTCTTGATTTCCATGATTTCTTATGATTTCCAGTGATTTCTATGGCTGGAAATCAGTTTTTATATGATCATTGCAAACCAGTAGAAATCATTGGAAACGTTCAGACATGTTGCAAAATGATGAGAAATCAACAGTGGTCACTGAAAGCATTGCACATTCTGAAAAAACAAAGGAAATTAGTAAAAATCATCAGTAATCAATAGAAATCAATATTTTTTTTCACTATATAGTTCGAGAATTTCTGTGATTTAAATTTATTTACATTTGTTTCTTGTAATTTCTAACAACTGAGTCGTTGTTCACATCTTTAATGTATGATGATCTCTAGTGATTTCCGATGATTTCTATGCCTGGAAATCAGTTTGTTCCCCCTTGAGAATATATAGGTCAATTGTGAAAGCCTAACGATGACATATTCCTTACACTCAATAGAACTATAGGCAAAATATTTAATCCTATATAGATAAGCACGTATGTAATAAATGATTGTCACGTTGATTGTAGCGTGTTTGTCTCTCATGGGGACTCTAGTGAACATTTTTAATAACAACAATAATTTGCTATTACGCACAATACTCGTTAATAGGAGAATCGTGATTGTAGCAATATAAAATAGAAGTCTAAAACCAAATCTTATATAATATAAGAATAATCATTATAGAACATAATCGTATTTAGAATAAGACTTTGCACAAAAATAAGTACAAACAAAATAGAAGAAATAAGCATTGATCTAATGAAGAACTCAACTAGCAAAAATTACAGTTCGATGTCTCAAGTTAGACAGAATTTTCCAGCTTATTTCTAGTCTCAATGACGCGTCCTCCGAAGAATTCTTACAATTTCTTCTGCATATGAATGAGTAATACCTATGGAGAAATTTTGCTCTAGCAAAATATTGACATTCACGTTTTCCTATAATTTCAGTAAATCTATGGAAAAAATTTCACATGACTACATTAAAACTTGTTTTTTTCAACACATCAATCAATTATTAAAACAAAAACTGCCTGAAAAAAGGTTTGTTCTTGAAAATCAAAATTCTATAAGAAGATTTATTCAAATCTAATACAAATAAAATAATTGAACTCTAACACCTAAAACGATTTTGAAAAACTATTTTCTAAAGCTCTTGCATTTTTCTAAAAATTCAGGTGCACCTTCTTATACTGAAAAGTTGACATGGATGTTTTTTGAAAATAACAAGATTTTCAAAGCAAACAACTAATTTCAGTATGCAAACTATTAGAGAAAAAATATTTTTTCAGTTTGTAATATTCGTTATAGTATCTTGGTCAATCATTATCAAAAGTCACGAAAGAAGTAAAACTATATAGATAACAACGAGGTCATTGGCGAAGACCAGTCGAAAAATAGCATAACATGAACTCGCTTTAAATAGACTTTACGCAAACGAATAGGATCTAATTCAAAATCGATACCAACAGTCCCAATAAAAGGTAACTACTGTTTTTCAATAGTAGGTAAATTGACATTAGGGTGTGTCCGAATGCCTATCTTCTTCTTTCTTGATTGCCATTGAGCTGTGAATTAAAATAATAGTGTCGATTTTTTTACTTAAATAAATATTATTTAAATAATCAACGTATTATCGTAACTCTTTTACCAAGCTTTCTCACGCACATAATATGCGTATCTTAGATAGACGAAAGCAAATAACCTTGCTTTTTAAACCGACTGCAATAGCAAGAGTAAATTGTTTTTCTTACATATCCAAATAAAACTAGCAGCAATTTCTCAAATGTATTTTAAAATTTAATTTATATGATTCAAAAAATTCGAACTCAATAAAGCAGCATGTTTGTTTTTATTTTCGGAAAATGTATTGACCTACTTCTGTAGATTTTGTTGACTGCTAGTAAGACTCGATTGAAATAGTCGATGGAACGAGATTAAACTATAACTGACCTGATGAAAGTAAGATATTAGCTCAGTCTAGCGGTTTTCGAAAATGATCGGATATCAATAGGATCTTCATTGTAAAATTCCTTTGGTTTCATCAAATATTCAAGTGATATGATTGTTGTTGATTTTAAACGACAACCTTCTCATGTGTTCGCGTATTTCGCAATTTAAACACTGTTAGAATTTTCTTTTGATAGAAAATTGTTTATTCAAATGACTATTAGTTTATTCGTATCTCGTCATTCAAGTAATTAATATAAAAGAAAATTTGCGAAAGGTAAAGCGTACTCTTGATTGTTCACCTACTTTTCTTCTTTAATCTTCCTCATAATTTAAGGTCATTAAAGCTAGCAAAATCCGTTATTTTTGTTTTCTTCATACGATGACTATTTTTAATCTCCCTCCTTGGCTCGTTGTCATAATGTTATATTTCAATCATATCATTAATCTTAATTAGAAATAATAGCGATTCATAAAAGTAATTTATAGTTTATGCGCAGTTCAAGATACATATCAATACAAGAATAATAATGATATTCATTTTGATGTCTAGCTCAAACTTGCTTAATTTATCATAGAATTAGAAATGGATTAAAATCCGTATTACTAAACAGAAAACAAACATCGATTCAAATTTGAACGAGAATTTAAATGCTATGAAGTAGCGTTTCTATGAATAAAATTTTACTAAACCAAAAGAAGATCACTCGTCATAATAAAAACTGTAATTAACACTCTACTTTTACTGATCATAATATGAAGTACATTTTTTGCCATATTTCTTATATAAAATTGTTTCGATTCTTTACATTCTCTAGCGACCGGTTTTATCTATTGGCAGAACTGAGAAAGTTTATTTCGAATCAACCACAATGATCATTCATTGTTATACATACAAGAAACAGTATACTATGCTTTTATGACACTTTAGTTAATGAGATAATTTATACAGAAAAATAAATTAAAAAAAAACATATCTTGATAATTATTCAGATATTGTTTTTGTTAAGTTCTCTTGAAATGTAAATTATCAACGACTTGAAGTCTTAGTTGATTATTATTGTTATAAATCATTCTGTTTAATCGATTGTAGATGTCCTTAATCAAACAACATAATTCATGTCGATAAAAAGGAGTACCAAGTGTATAAATATAAAAGCTTGTTGAAAAATTTATATTGAATAATAGAATAAATAGACGAAATAAAAGAATTACTGTAGCCGAAGGTGTTGGTATTTGATAGACAGCAATAACTAATACAATACTAAATGGAATTGTACATATCAAGTGGCATGCTACATAAAGAAAGAGCATCTTTAATAATTGATTATCACGCTGACGTAAACGTGCTTGATTGATAGGCATTATTTGACGTCGTCGTTGACGTAAAAGGACAAATGCAATAGAGCATAGAACTATCATTAGACAAGGAGGCATAAATCCTAAGAATATAACGAGAAATACGGCATATATTCGAATGTAAGTAAAATTGACGACGGTACAAACTGAACCTGTTGGATACGAAACTAATAAATACCAAATAGGAATATGAAAATAAGCAGCGAAAACCAATACAGTCATACAAGGTATTAGATAAGATGCGATACGAATGGTTGCAACTTTTCGTATTCTACTATTTGATGAACTTACACATAAACGATCAAAACAGGCCAAAACAACAAAATATGGTGATAAAGTATAGAGACCGGTTTCTACATATGTTTTTGTTTTACAATACCAATTGTATTTTGATGTTGGATCGTATCCATATTGATCAGCAATCCATTGCATAAGTACATAAATATATAGAACAAGAAAATCATTAAATGAATGTGCTCGAAAATATAATGAACATGATGTAGCTCGTAATGATTTTCGAGAAAAGAACAATATTTGATTAAATATAACACCAATTGTTCCCAAAATAATCAATAGTGGTTGAGTATATAGACTCAATTGATAATAGATTGAATCAGCCATATTTGTAGAATAATATTCAAACGATATTAATTTAATAGTCTATATGCAATTTGAGTCTTCTCTATTTATATAGATATTCAGATCTATGGAACTTATTTATAGATGAACTCATTAGAGATAAAATAATCATCTCATGTATGCGTGTGAGTGTCAAGAAATAATCTGAGCCATGATCTATTTCTAAACTTTAATAAACAATAAAAACTGACATTTCCTGTTAAATTTGTTTCATGGAGTGCAAACACTAAATGAGTTAAATCGAACGATCCGAAAAATAAATAGTAGTATTTATGAGGAAATAGTATGGCACATTTATTACCATTGATTTTTATCAAATCACTTTATTTCACAAGCACCAATAGCTGAGTTTTCTAATTAACATCACTAGAATTTTCTTTCGTTATTGTGCGACACACGTATATATTGATGAAATTTATTATCAAAAAAAAAAAAAAATTCACTCAAGTGATAGAAAAAATATAATGAAGTTATCGCTCTATGGATGAAACTTTATTGTAGTAATTATTTATTTGATAAAAATATGCGTTTCTTTGAAACAAGCAAATAAAATTGACCAGAAAAAACATCGACAAATCATTATCTTAATGTTGAACTTCTTAATTGAGTCACCGGTGTTGTTTGTGAAATACATAAACCAAGAGCGTAGTGTTCGAGCATTTTTTTATTCAACTATGAATATGGTAACACAGTTCAAAAATGAAGCACAAAATCACAGCTTACACTATCTATTGGTATATTTAATCAATACTAAATTGTTTATCAGTGATGTATTGAAGCCACCGTCCCTTTTGACAATTCCTTAATGCGTTATGTAGTATTCTACGCCGTTTCTTTTGTTGTTGAACATATAATGGTGAATGACGCATAATTTATTACAATGACGATTGTATTGTTGTGAAAAAATCGCTTTTCTCTCGTCTCAATAACATAGTATAGAGGTCAATCATTTTACTATCATTTTCAAGTAAGAAGAAAATATCGTAAGTCACCATGCGATGAGTGCAATGTCATTCATAAATATAATAAGACACGCGATTACGACATGTCGAGTGAAAATATGCGACGTTCTACTTCTTTTTGTGGATCGTGTATCTTACTTTCAGAATAGATCTAAATCGGCTGACAAATTGCTTGTTATCAGAGGTGTTTTCATACACTTCATCAAACGATGAAATCTAGTTTTACCTGTGTATATCCTATAGTCAAACTAGGCTGCTAATGAGAACTATCGAGATATTTTCTGATGTACGCATATTATTGTACTCAGCTACAACGCCGAAAATTTTATTTCTAAATTAAAACGTCATGATAGTACTTTCACATGGTTAATGATATGTGCCGACTCGCTGTTTACTTTTAGTTGATTTTGCAACAGTCTATGACTACTGCGATCGAGATGCGCGAGATGTCGCTTTTGTCAGACTTCCGTGTATGATTTTATTTTATTTGTTTTGTATTTTCTAAATTCTAATATCATTTTACTTTCTCTCAATATTCTAAATTTTCAATAAATAAATAACATTTAATTCTAATGAGTTCCTATCGTTTTTGCAATTGGCTGTTTCATCTCCGTTCTCTCTTGCTGAATCAACATGGCCGATCAGTTAAGTTCATTCATTCACCAATTATTTTGAGATTCGTAAGATTTTTTCATATCTATAATTGCAGAAAACTAACAATCGACAATGACTAGTACAACTGCAAATGTATCTTCTAACGATTTACAACGAGCTCGCGAAGAATTATGGGCAAATTTACAAGATATCGATGCGCGTCTAAAAGAGACTTTTGTTCCGCCGCATTTTCGTATAACAACATCCTCAACTAACAATCAACGTACATTTTCAACTAATGGTCATCAAACAACACCATCAATTGTAAAACGTACTCGAGTCTCATCGTCATCATATGATGAAGTAAATGCACCTTTACCAGAAAATAACTTTGATGAATCATTATCATCGTCAAAATCTCTACATTCATCCATTGTACCAACAAATAAAATAATAAAAACTAAAGACGATCTCATATCACTGGTTAATCGAGATCAACAATCAACTGGACGTAATCGTCGTATGTTTGGAGTTTTATTAGGTACATTAAATAAATTTAAAGCTGAAGCCAATGCTTACAATGAGCAAACAGTTGGTATGAAACGACATCAAATTGAAAGACGTTTAGAAGAAAAACAAGCCAAAGAACGTGAAGATAAACAACATGAACGTACTGAATTGTTAGCAACAAAAAAGTCTTGTCAACAAAAATTAAAATTAGTTAATATTAAACTAGAAGTCACGCAACGTATGGCGACACATGAAAAACTTCATTCACCATTAAGAAATTTTATTCGTACGAAAACTAAACCTTATATTTTTTATTTACCTAAAGGTTCCATGGATGAGATACTTGATAAAAAACTTCAAGAAAGTCAAATTGAAATCGATAAAGAACTCGAAGAATTTAAACGAGATTGCCAACGCGAATTGGATTTACTGGATGATAATACAACAAATCTAAATGATGATGATAATGAAACTATAAATAGTAGAAAACGAAAATTTAGTGAACATGATGTTGTTGATGATGATGATGATGCATTAGCTGATTTACCTGATGAAATAACTTTATCGGCACCAGAAGTAAAAAGTGAAGTTGTTAATACAACAATAAATTCTAATCTTGAACAAACAAGTAAACATAATAATAATCATAATCATACACCAGTCCCAACAAAATCAACACGCACGGTTATCTACGATGAAATAAAACCGTCGGATCAACAGGATGATCAATCAATCAATGATTGATAAATAATACGAGCATGATCAAGAGAAACGAAAACGATTCTCTCTTTTGTTTTGTTTATGTTGTTCTACTTCTTTCATTGTTTTTTTCATTTCACTGTGCTCGTCTTACTATTTGTATGTATACGTTACGTTGTTTGTGTGTGTGTATGTATAAGAGACTAGGAGAGGTAAAAATTGTATATGATTATCATTTTCTTATTGAGGCATATAAGTACTCGTATAACAATATCAGTCGGGAACGGAAAAGTAACAACAGATGGACTATCATGAATCGTAGTTACTGTAAATCCAGATTTCTTTTCACATTTACGAAAAAAATTTATACATTCATATATACGAAACTTAAGACAATTTCAACCGTAAAGAAATTCACTTTTAAAAAGAATATCATGTCTCTGAATGATAATGCAAACGCGAAAGTTTTTATTTAGATGTTTCAAAAATACAGAGTTCTATTCGTCACAAGGTAATTTCACCAGTAAATTGTAGTGCGATATGTTTTCACTCAACGTAGTCCAAACTCTAGCATTAATGTTGTTTTTCTCATGTATAGTGTTCTGAGATTTTACACGAAGATATCGTTCGAAGTATTCTGTTCACAACATGTGTCTTTAAATCTCCTTGAATTCATCAATAGTCACATGACATCTTACTACAGTGTGTTGGTTGTTCGGAAGTCAAAGAGCATTCATTGTGTAAGTGAACGACACAGTTTCGTTAAATTAAACACTTAATTATATGGTAAAATAAGCAATGGAATAATTGCATCTAAAAATATTTCTGTTTATAATGACCTATTCATCCGGTTGTAGTTCTAGTAAGAGCCCTAGTCTAGCAAATAGTTAATTTTACAAGTTTTTCATAATCACGCACTCACTAGAAGCGGAGATGTATGTCGTAGGAGTATGAAAATGATTGGATGGTAGTCGTAAGCAAAGGGCTGCTGTGACCTAAGTAAGTTCATTACATCTACAGCGATACTGATGTTCAAACAAATTGATTTTTGTTGATGAATGACTAACAACAGATGCATTCAATTATAGCTGTTAATTGAAATGCTCTTATTCCACTATAATTCTTAAGCTCATTTTAGACTATGTTCAACGATTAAAACTTTGCAGTTTTACACAAGGTAGTATCATAATCTTTGTTTCATTTTCCTATTTTTGTCGTCAATTCTATAAAAAGAAACATGACGAATGAAAAATTTAATATTAATCGATGATTATTTTTGATTTAATTAAAAACTACTTCACTGTTCGAAAAGTATTTATTATTATGAATTGAGTGCAAGTACTAGCACTGAGGTAACATATAGCATATCTCTCTCTCTCTGTTAGTTAATTTTGAAAATAAAATTTCATCATGCGAACCTACCCGAACAAGATTAGTTATTATTTAGACAGAAAAAGCCATTTTTCTTGTTTTATCGAAGATAAATTTTGAGATGGGCCTCATTTGTTTGAATGAACTCTAACGAGATTCGACGTTCTCCGTGAAAATTTCAGAACGTCAAACATCTTCTAATCACAACATATTAATATAATGATGAAGTTAGTTTTTCTGTTGAGGAGTAAAAAAGTATCTTCAATAGTTGAATGTGATGGTTTCTTAATGATAAGCTCTAATTCAATAGTTGAAAATGGTTCGAAAGAAGCCAGACTCTTTGACTGAAAAATGTGTCAAACCGATTAAGCAAGCATGGCGTAATTGTCTGCGATTATCATTTAGTTTGAGATTTCTTGCCCGATTCAAATGATGTTTAATATCGTTCCTCTCGGCAGTTAAATACTTTTCCATTTATTAATACTTCCAACACGTTTATGGGTTTCACAGTTTTCTTGCTTATGAAAATAAAACATTCATTACACTGTCAAAACTGTAGCAGAAAATATTGAACAGATGATTGCTAGATAATCTTCATTTAAACTCTCAGGAAAAAATGAGTATTGGCAATATGGAATCGGACATACGTTCTATAAAGCAATTAAAAGTCGTATTGTTAAAGTAAAAGTATTGATATTATTACTACTTCCAGTCTTGTGCAACTACTCTGCCTCCGTCTAGTTATAGCCCAGAGAGAAATATTTATAAATACGGATCCTTCTAGGCTCAATATAGTAATATTCATATTAAGGGAGATTTTTCACCTAAGGTTTTCTTTTACGAACACACCCTCATTATAACTCAGTCAGATAGTTATATAAGATGAGAAGTAGCCATGGGGTTGTTATCAATCTCTCATTGGTGAAACGAAATTCAATTAAAAACGTTGGTTACAATTCCGAGTTGAATTTAATTCAGAAGCATAAAAAATATACAATATTTAGAACAAAAATATTTTTTAAATTATTTATTTTATAAAATTCTGGGTAAAATTATTTAATTCATCGTAACTTTAGTATTGAATTTTGTAGATTGACTGTTTTGCGGAGGTTTCACTTGCATGCAATAATCAAAGCAATGACTGAACAGACTTTCGAAGTCTTTTCGAAATCTACTAGAAATAATTGAATAAAGATAAAACGAAGCTCCATTATTAACTATTATAAGAAATGCTAGTGAAAAATGAGAAATAAACGATTCGATCTGGATTCTTTGGGCACTTTTCACATGATCATATGTAAGTGTTGAATATGTGACATTCACTGAATAAAGAATATTGGTTGAAACATAAAGAATAATTTCACATACGCTCAATAACATTAATTGTTGATCCCGTTTGTGAATACTTTCATTATTTGCCTTTATTGCAAAACTGTCAGTATGAATATAATGGAGATGCCTTGAGTGTACTCGTTCTCTTGACTAAAAACATTCAGCATTATATAATTATTTAGTAAGAAATTTACTTTTTCATACCCTTTTTAGATTTCGATAAGCAATTGCACCGCATACCGCCATGACCAGCGGCGGTATCCATCCAGAAATGAAAATAGAATATATACTAAAAATTTTTGCATATATACCAGATTGAGGAACACATCGATCGAATTCTATTCGGAAATAGACAGCCAAATGAAGCGGTATTAAAAGGCAAACACATGTTATGGTTAGAACAGTTCGACAAGCAACGCGAGCTTGACTAAACGAACGTACCCGTACATGACGACTAGACATCGCAGCACAATCAACAAAAGAAGCTATTCTGTACCAACGATAAAGCATGATTAAAGCATCAAAAACATAGCTGTGAATTTTACACCAAACAAGTGAATTATGCTCTGGATTAGGATTATTAGCTGAATAAATAACTAATACTAGCATAAATTGTATAATAATCAAATTAACTATTGTAATTGAGAGTAGATACAGTGAACATGAATTAATCGGATGTTTTCGTCGAACAAGAACACAAATTAAAAGAATATTACCAACGATGCCGAAAACAAGAGATGTTGAAAGACCATAGGAAGACAATATTTGTTGAGTTTTAACAAGTGATATTAACATTGTATTTCATCAATGCAATTATGTTTGCTACTTTTATATATCTATTAAAAGATTAAAAAAACACGAAAAATGTAACTGAGATCTATTAATAAAAAATAGCTCTGTTTCTAAATGTGCATTAAGTGCTTAACAAAAATTTATTTTCTCTTGTAATATCTATTTTACTAATTATACGCATATGATATCCTGATACAAGAAGCTGATATTTTGCATGACTACAATCGATTCTAGTCTTAGACAATTTTCTGTTTGATAATCAAATTGTAATTCTAATCATCATTGCGGAAACGAATCCTTTCTTCAAGAATACAATGTAGTAATCTGATGGAGAGTAAAAATATCTTTTAAATAGGAACATCGACGGAATCTCTCTATGTGGGAACTCGGCAAAACGACTGATCGACTCTGCTGAAAGTGAGCTTCTCTAAGAAGGACGTTGTCTTTCAGGCCGTACCATCTAGCTAAATCTCCCTTGCATGAACCTGGATAGTGAATGTTCTGATTAACATACTGTTCTTTATCTTCTCGTCGCTTTTTGTTGTTCTGAGAATAGAAGAGAGAAAAGTTAGTCCGAAATAACAAAGAGTTTTAATTGCTCCATCTGCAAGTAAAAAGAAAGTATGAGAAGTCGTGCTATTTGAGATTACTCTTGAAAAATAACGTCGCATTACATCCTACAGATGGTGATGTACACCTGTCGATCAGTGAATTTGAGAGACTTGATGAAGAAATCTCACTGTTGAATGAATGCGACAATAATGCAGAGAATCCATTGAAAATCAAAGATGTGCAATACGATCGAGATGATGAGGCGATCCGCGAGCAGCTGCCATCAGTTGCTTATGTTCTTCAAACGATTCGAAAGCCTCGTCAACTAGATCTTCACCAACTTGTCACTGGTTTCGAATCGAAACGGAATGATCCAAAAACTAGCGAAACAATTTTGAATTATGGATCTTTTTTCGAGAATCTTGATTATAAATACGAAAATAAACTTCGATCAAGAAAAGGCATACAATGATTACAGTAAAATATTGAGTATAGTCAACGATCTAAAGACATATTTATAATATATCAGTATGGAGGCTCTTTATGATGTAGCTAGACGAAAACATATTTGTGATCGGCGTTTGTAAGAAATTCTATAGTATAGGCACCTTCATCAAATGAAGGCTTTATTAAATCTTAAATTCAGACAATTAAAATAAACAAAATTATATCGAAGAATATTTTATTTATATAATCTATTTCGAGTCGAGTACATAATATTTGTGTCTCAAAATTATAAATGGCAGCTTTATGTAGAACACGGGACGCTAAAAATATGAATAAAAAATGAATAGCTGTAATCTTCATCGTGGATCTACTCAGTTTTTAAGTACTTTTAACGAAAACTCGCTGCAGTTCCATGCCGGAGAGAACATAGCATACATGTTCTACACGCTTTCGCATATGAATGACTAGTTCTCATTAAGTTACCTAGAAAACATCATTGAATTTATATGTTTTTACTATTTCTGTTGGCTCGACCTTCCTATACTGATCTTACTAATTCTAATTTCTGAAACACTATAATTGAATCATCAATTCTTATCGATTTCTGTGAAAGGACGAATTTTATATCTTAATTAGAAATTTTCTATGTAAAACGTACGATTAAAAATCTCTAACTTAGCAACGTGCAGAAATATGAAGTCTATTGTTTTACTCGTTGAAAATGTAGAGGCTAAACTGTTGTTTACCTTGTTTTATTCGTATGATGGTGTTTAATTTTGACGATGATGATAAGGTCTTAAAAAATATCATATTACTTTTTTTTATTAATATACAAAAACTATCTAGTTTTGATAAAACAAGTTTTTTCTAATGTGAGACAGCATATTGTCGAATAGCATTAGAATCGTTGAATCTTAATCTGGTATAGATGAGATTTTTTCAAGAGTGTCATTTAGAATATGAAGCAGATTGTTGAGTCGCTTACGATTCAACAATTCGACATAATAGAACTCAACGGATTATGTTCATACAGAGCAATTATAAATAATTAATTGGAGTGGAAGAGTAAAGAATATTTCTTTTTTGTATTGTGCCTAACTATAATCTGAAAAGTAAATTTCTTTGGAAAGCTTGCCATTTTGATGAAGAAAATTATTTTTAGAGTTTTAAATAGATGTTTTATTCAAAAATAAAAAAATATTCATTCATCTTTTTCTAATGAAAATCTAACTGAGCAAAGCGTATAACAATATATATACAGTAAAACCTCTGTTAGTGAACACCTCTAATCTGACGCATGCTTTGGTCTCCCCAAGCAAATGTTGCTGCGAGTGAACCTCTATAAAGTGAACACCTCCTTATTCTGAGCATTGAACTCTTTTTTTGGTCCCATTACTAGAGAAAACCTCTACATAGTGAACATATAAGCTATCAAATATGCACTTTCGCCAGAATTAAAAGAGAGAGAAACAAAAGACGATGCTCATGTTGAACGATTATATGAAAATGAATGTTCGTCCATGCAGCACGAACGAATGTGTGGCACGAAAAGAACAGAAAAATAAAATTGAATAGAGAGAACTGTTCGCTTTCTTGTACATTATTGTGAGATGACGGCACCAAACGCGTTGACTTTATTTGAAAAAATACAATTAATTCATGAAAATGAAAACAACGTTTCATATCGCGCACTTGTCGAAAAATACAAAATCTCTATCGGAAGTGTATCAAAAATCATCAAACGCAAGACCAAATATATAGAAGATTTTGAAAACAACGAGAATTCAAACAAACAGCGACATCTAAGAGATGAAATCAGTCAACAAGACTATGAATGACTTGTGGAGCAACGTAGCAAGAATATCCCTGTTTCTGGGCTATTTCTTCAAGAATAGTTAACAGTAAATAAATTGTACAGTAGATGAAAGAGCGAATTAATCAATGCATACTTACTTCAGTTATTATACATAACATACGCGTATTCATAAATCAAGTATCTGAAAAATGTGTTTTCTGCATATATAAGGTCAGTCAATACAAAACCTCCCTATAATGAACACCTCCCTTAGCGAACACATTTTAGACGGTCCGCATGGTGTTCACTCAAGAGAGGTTTTACTGTATATAAATATGTGATAGAGGAGAACTTCTTACTAGATAGATAATGAAAGTGTACAAAGGTATATTTTGATTAGTAGAAGAAATCTCTACTAATTCGTATGCAGATAGTAATTATTTTACATATAACGATTGCCATTGGACAACAGATAAATATTCGATAGTAGCGGAATTATGAATTATAATCGCAAATAATGGTTTCATATGAGTCATATTTTCATGGCGTAGTTTTAGATTCTCGAAAACGATTGCATTACCGATTCATCAGAAGCGGTTTCCAACAGAATTACAGCGATATTCATTTTTTCAGGTTCTATAAAATTCTCCAAGAAATTTCAATATTACATAATCATGAGCAGTAAATTTTCTCTACACTATTCATAAATATTTCATCCTATTGTATTACAAATATAGGAAAATATTTAACTTTAATTGATGTTCATTTTCGGAAAGTATACGCCGATAATAGCTATCGAATTTACTAGTTTCTTGATTGAGCTTCTATAATTATACTAACTTTTAACTTCAACAACCTGCATCAACTTTTTCATGTCCAATTATTAATAAAATAACTGAGATAATTAGGCTACACTAATCGACTAATAAAACATAAACGTATTCAAATGCGGTCCTCTGTTGTGGCTGTACAGCTTGCATTGTTTGTTTCAATGAAGTTACATCAGGTTATTTTCTCTCAGCTAAAAGGACATTATCGTCATTCAAAGAAAACATGATTGCTTAAATTTGAGATTGAATTCAACGAACGTTGCTAGAGATAAATCATAATGCTCTTTTCGTGACAAAGCGAGCTCTTGGAGGCATTGTTATGTTGCATATAAAAACCTTCGATCACAAACAAAAAGAGCAATAAATACTCGATTATGCATAAAATATTTCTTGTGTCTGTATTACGAAAATGGAACGAAAAAAAATTAAAAAATAGTTTATAACAGTGTAAATATAGTTGTTTATAGTGAATGATATATTTTAAGTATTGATGATACCAACTAGAGAATGTTTCGGTCGGTATACTTTGAAATAATATACCGAACTACCAATTATGACAAGACATATTGGAAGTGCCAGGCCAAGAGTGAGACCAAGGATTAAGGCTAAATTCCTTTCGGCTATAAATCAATAAATGTTAAAATATACATAAACCAACGCTAAGAAACTTACATGTTGGTAGTGATTGCATAGTAGTTTGATGGTCGTCCGATGTAACATTTGAATTTATCGTTGTTGCCTAAGTTAGTTAAATTAAATTTTTTACGCACAATTCTAAAGCATCTATTACCATATCGATTGAAGTATTTTGGGTTATTTCTGCAGTCCCATAAGTGTCTATCGTAGTTGTAATACTAGCAATAGTGCCCACTCCAACGGATGTTATGTTAGGAGTTGTTAGACTTGACTAATTGAATGAACTTTATTTTTATTTTAATGTATCAAATGATTATCTTACTTCTACATCCATAGGCGAACTTGTTTCTTTTGATTGAGTTTCATATGATGAACTAGCGGTTCCGCTGAAACAAAAATAAAATTCGATTGATGTGCAAAATAATTATGGATAAAATCGATGTAGGTAAAATATTGAAATTTATATCAATAGTTACATATTCACAAACAAAAATATCATGGTTAATGAAAATCAATCTTACTCAGTTACTGTCGGATCGATAGTAGTTAACGATGATGGAAATATTGATGAATGTGTATCGAACTTTTTAATTTAAAATCATTGTAAATTTTTAATAATATTCTTACTCGATACTTTACCAAATTTGTCGAACCAATACGAAGATCTAAAGATTGTAAATCATCGATGTATGAAGAAAAAAAAAGATGATTAAATTACCTGCTTTACTCTTTCGAATATTTGATGAAAGACCATTCAATTTAGAGGAAATTTCATTTTGAGCTAATAGAGAATCAATTTGATAACGATTTAATAAAAGTTTTATAATAATGCAGTCACCATAATTGATTTTTGTTGACCATATCAAAGTATGGTGTAATTGAACAATAATCAAAACAACTAAATTCATTCAAATCATTTATCATACAAGAAAAGGAATTTTCAAATATTTCACTATTACCAACGATATTCGGTATAATAGACATGTTATTTTTTGTACTCAAAATATTCTAAAACAGAAAATTAGTACAACTATCTGGTTTTATAAATCGTTTGGTGTAATATTACCCAAATGTCTACCAGATTTATATGTGTATTGATAGTGAAATGCATTCTAACTGATAGTCTCGATAGCAACAGATGATGCCTAACAAAACATAGTGGTAATGTGATAAATATAATGAAACATTTTTACATATATTATCTCACTGTGTTTTTTTTTAGTTATAATTTATGCAATCAAACGATGGATAGAAAAACCTTATCTGTATTTCGAAATATCGAATTCGTATGTATTTGTTATTATCTTCTGCTTGTGAAAGATCAGTCGTCTTTTTGAAGGATCTAAGATCATTCTTCATGTAATTAGTATTTTCTTATGAGATACAGTTACAGTATCCAGTAGTTTGTAAATCATTCGTGTGATTTGTACAAAGATATTTTTAAGCCTAGTCTAATGGTGACTTTGACATAGTTTATCATTAGTAGCTCCAATGAATTTTCTCCGAGATGTGTAACTATTTACAATATTTATTCAGAATGACTAACTTTTCAATAAGCAGAAGACTATCACGGTATGTATTGCTGTCAGAAGGTCAGGGACGGGGGNCCCCCCCCCCCCCCCCCCCCCCCCCCCCCCCCCCCCCCCCCCCCCCCCCCCCCCCCCCCCCCCCCCCCCCCCCCCCTCCCCCCCCAACTTTGGAAATTTTTGTTTCAATTTTACTCCGATTTTTGAAAAAAACTTCCCGTTTTCAAGTAACCCCCCTATATTTTTGTTGCTTCGCGCCGTCTCTGCAGAAGGTAATTCCTCCTCCCTCCCCCGCACCCCTAGAATTAATAAATTTGAATCAAAGCTGATCCTTCAAAAAAGAAATTTTTACAGTAAAAAGAAACTGCAAACGTCGATTGATTCTCAAGATAAACACTTCAAACTATTCAGTTACATTTTTATCTTAAATTTAGTTATTCTGAAGAAATTCGATGGCTATGAAAATGAAAGCGATAGGGTTCAACGTAATATTTGCTCGCTTGTTGGATCACAAACAGAAGAATTTTTACGGGAAATTCTTTTCAATAAATTGTACTTGTAATGTTAACGGATGTCCGTCAAATAAGTAAACATTACTTTTAAAGGATTAATTTATTTTCTTGAAAAATGAATTTCTTGTTATATAAAAATCTCTGGTTAAAAGAATACAATCGAACGAACCGAAAAGTTTATTTTTTGAAATTAGTCTGATTTCATTTGATAGGTTGAAGTATTGAAAGTAGATTTTGGCTTCAAGTCTCTTGTTCATAAGCTCTTATTTGATGGATTATGGCACTTTAAATGAATTTTTTGAAATATTATAATGTTTCACTCGGAGTCATATTTATAATTTATCTGCGAGGACAAATTTTGCCGAAAAGGAACTCTCAATACAATTAGTTCGTTGTGAGCGTCAGTTTTTTCAAATTTCCTTGAGTGAATTTCGCTATTTTGATGAATATCAAGCTAACAGGAACAATACTATACAATAATGCGCCTCAAACGATGATAAAACTCGTTCAATTCAATTATTAGTTACGCATGCAAAATTGTTCTTTTGAAAAAGTGCTCTGTCATCGAATTGAGGATTACAGTGAAAAGTATCAGCCAATGCCTTTAGAAGAATTCTGATTTGAGGGTGTAAATCTATTTTCTATCATTTTTAAGTGCTGCTAGATCTAACATCCAGTACTATAATAATAAAAACTGTAATATCTGTTAGAGTTTCGAAATAGCGAACTCGTCAAAATGATTGATTATATATTGCATATCGTAATCAACTGAGACCTGTCCTATCATATGTAGGAAATGTGGTTTCTTTTAATTTTAACTTTTAAAGTAAAAAATATAAGAAGAGTCTATGAATAGAAAACTTTCTAGCTGTAGACGACTACAATTTGTATGATCGAACATTCCTACCAAGTGATAAGAGTATTTTCTTGCTTACTTTTTTTTAATCTAGTATCAGAGTATTATGGCAGAAGTAAAGAGTTTTCAATCGGACACATAATTTATTCAAGATTGAATGAAATATTTTGATCGAGTTTTTTTAAAGTTTGATGAAGCCTGAAAATTTCCACAAAAAAGTATAGAATATCAGAGCTTTTATATTGTTCAATACAACTGTAACTACTACAGACGTTCCAATAGCACAAAAATAGTTAGAAGTTAGACTTTGACAGATCTAATTATATCCTGTTATTGAGTTTAGAAATTGTCCCAAGAAAACGATTCAGTTAGATCTAAAAGATGTTCATCATTTTGTCTTAACAGAAGCTGTCCAAGTTTTTTAAATTATGACTTAAGTTGACGTTTGTTTTGAACTTTGCGTCCTGGTTATGATTTCGAGGTAGCAGCCGCAAAGCATTGACATCATTTAGAAAGCAGCCATTTGGAGAAGTTAAAGAACTTCTTCCGTGTGCTTGACAACAGCTCGTTTATTGTATAGAATTGCTGAAGAGATGTGCTGATAAGAGAAACTCTTTTGCATAGATTTGAATGTAAAGAAACTCATGTGAACTAAAATTATCAAAATAAAATCAATCTCTGCTTTTGTAATAATCTTTCACTATAAAATTACAATATTATCGTAATCTTCATAAATAATTTCATTAGTCAGACGTATAAATGCATCGGAATTGAAAAAGTAATAAAAGAAATCATTTCATGGTACTCAAATCTACAATAAACAAATCAATCGTATAGTTAACAAAGAATTGAGCTTCTACATGATTAATCTATGAATGGTAGATACAAAACTAGTGATGAAATCATACAGTAACTGCAAGAAGAACCCAAACTGTCTCTCGAATGGATACTTATTTCATTTCAATATTTTTTGTTCATACCAATGTACGTATTCTATTCATAAACAAAGCACTTAGTGATATTTCAAATGTTTGAAAAAAGTTAATTTTTCCTTTTCCTTTTCATTTCCACTGCTATAAATCTGACACAAGAAAGAAAAGAAATCTGATGTTTCCAATATCGTATTTTATTTGAATAATTTTTGTTTCAAAGATTTATATTTCATTATACTTAAATACACAAATGGTGCTACAATAATAGATATTTTAGCAATAAAAGCGCTTATTGTTATTAAAACAGAATGTTGAAAAATAAATTTGACATCTAATAATTGTAAAACTGCAATAATTGAATAGGGTGTCCATGCTATTAAATAACTGCTGACAAGAAAAATAGCACCTCTTAGAAATCGATAATCTGCTCGAAGATATTTTCTATATGAAGCTTTTTTTGCACAATATTTATAAAGATAAGCTTTCTCAAAGCCATTCGATTGTTGACTATTCTTCATTGAATCTTGCTGATATGAAAACTGTTGAACTGACGAATTTGAATAATGTTTTGAATAAATATGTCGAACAATTAAATTAGCTCGTAGATTGACAAAAAGAAGCATCAATAACGAGAAAAAATACATGGCAATAAATGATGACAGTATGTATACACGGCCTACAGTTGATTTATCTTGCCAATTGATACTACAATGAAAACCAAGTCCTTCAGGTACATACGAATTAAAATAATTTAATGTTAAAGGAAATGTAAATGCAATACTTAAAAACCAACAACCAAATGTTAAACATCGATAAGATGATAGACGATCGTATGAACATAAGGATAAATACCGATGTATTGATAGTGTCAGAAATACTAACATGCACAAACAACCAGAAAAATACGAGACAAAACCGTCGATACGACAATAAAGTTTGAAACAATGACGATGGCATGTAAATAATTGGACAAGAACACCTGGTACACTTGTAGTGCTCACCAATATTGATGCTAAGAATAATGAAACAACAAGGCTATTTTGACATCGTTCAGAATATAAAAATCGTATATTCATTTTTAAACAAAAGATTGATATAGCTAAAATAACCACACCACCTATACGAGATACGATACATGGCAGATTCCATGTAATACAATGCATGGAATGAATGCATGACCATAGAGATACATTTGTTGCATTTGACTCCATTAACGTTTTGCGAAGCACGATCTGAAAGGAGCGTTGAAGTATATAAGGTAGAAATTTGGACCCCCACCCCGCAGACCGTTACAGAGAAATTAATTAATCAGTTAATTGGTTAATTAATTAATTAATTAATAATTGTTAAATTTCTCTGTAACGCTCTGTGATGCTTTCTGAATTCTCTGTAACGGCCCCGGTCGAACAGACACGATCGTATACGGAGAAATACGGTGAAATACGACCATATACGAAGACAAAAACGATCTTCTACGATTCCTGTACATTGCACCCGTATATGATCTCCGTATTGCTCCGTACTTTACTGTATATGGTCGTATTTCTCCGTATACGACACGGTGATATACGATCGTAATACTGAGCCATGTATTACGATCAAATACGATTGTATATGGACTCCGTAAACCTCGACCTGGGGGGTCTGTGATGGTTTCTAGAGACTCCGTACGTCATAATACAGACCGTAACAGAGAAGCTCCACAGACCATCAGTGACCATGATAGACGAATTCCAGAAAAGAAGCGTCATCGTGTTTCACATTTTAATCCCACAAGGATTACGCTAACAGCTTGTTTTAAATAATGTTAAAAATGTAAATGAGATAGCTAGATTTTTATATAATGTAAAGATGTGGCCATTTCTCTTTGTGTTTCTATAATTGTGTTCATTTCTCAAAGATCCATCAGGCATAAAATGTATACTTAACAAATTTCTATAGATATAGTATGTTTAGCAGCGTCCATACTGCATCACGGCGCACTAGAGACTAATAGATTCTTCCTTAGCTTCGTCTTAATAAACAAATTATTGAGAAGTCATTGAAGCACATAAGTTGTCTCTTATAGGTTAATAATTAAGAGAAAATGATTTTTTTTATGCAACAGAGCAATCTACGCAGTTATTCCTAATGAAACTTCCGACCATAATTTTCCCTCGATTTTGATTCACCCTTTTCATGAACTATTTTTGTCTTTAATTGGATTTTTACACTTGAGACATAATAGAATGCTAGAAACAATTTAAATGAAAGACCAATGAAAACTCATCATCAATCGCGACGAAACAAAATAGGCATAAAAAGATATTTTATGGTTTATGCAGGTCGAGTTTATCATGAAAATTTAGCTAATTTTCCAAAAAAATCATGATATAAATAACGTATTATTACTGATGAACTTAATTTGGGAAAGTCTGTGGTTAGCCATCTTAAATAAAAAAATTTTGCATGAAACATAGACATAAAAATGAGTATATATCATAATGGTATTATTTGCAATTATTTGAACTATATTTCCATATGATCTAAATAGAAATATAGCTGAATCAAAGTCCGCCCATTTTAAAACACAGCAAAACATTTTGCGCCTCTGATTTCAGACTTTAGTGCATGAGCCTCCATTGATTCAGTGAGCTATATATATATGTTGTAGGCAAAATTATAATTTCAATTTTGACTAGGCAAAATTCAAATATCTTTTTTATAGCTAAAAGAACGCGAAGAAAAAGAAATAATCTAAGTGTGAATAGGTTTTTTTTTATTTTACAGTACTTTTTAACAAACATTATTTAGTTCTAATTTTTTTTAATCCATGTTTAAGCATCCACCTCTCTTTGAATGACATTTGGTAGAGCAGAAAACATTTTATTTTTTACATGGACATGTTTTCATCGCACAATTGCCTCGACAATTACAAGTACGTCCTGTTGTTGAACCACGAGAGTAAAGTTTTGAATTCTTTCTCTTTACTTCGTCTTTTGTCTTACTGGATTAGTCATTCATCGTACATAACAGCTGTTCTTAGTTCTGACCTACTTTTCTTAGCTGTGAGAATAACTATAGTTAAGAGAAGAAGAATAGAAAGAGAAATCGATCAACACGCAAACATTTTACTTCTTTTAACTATAAAAAAGATATTTGAATTTTGCTAGTCAAATTTCAAATTTGACTGGATTTTAATTTTGCCTACAACATATATACCTGTTATAAACGAGGTTTGAAAAAAAAAGAGAAAATAATTGGATATTAAAAGTAAATATGATAATTGTGTGATGATTCAAGTAGTTTTGTTGTTTTATACAAATTTTGTTAATTGTTTTACAGACAAATGTGTCACGATAGCAGGGCATTGGTTATGCAATCATGCGATGTAACGTTTTGATATCTATTAATAAATGTCGAACTTAAGAATTACACTTAATTAATCGACCACAATAAGCTCGTATAAAGCAGAGATTTTTTTAAAATTTTGCCAAAGAATGACACTTCACGAAAATTGTTTTTAAGCGATGTTATTATGATAAACAAAAAATGACTGTGCATGGATTCAATCATTATGAGCTTTAAATTGTTAAAATGAAACATTCAAAAACAATTTCGAGAAAGTTTACTAAGAACAATGGACAATTAGAACAGAAATGACTTTTTTTTTTATCGCTGCCAGGGTGTAGTAGAAGAATCATGACTACAGTGTTGTTCTCTCTTCTGTCAATTGAGAAAATGTAATTTATGTCAAGGACACTTATGAACGGCATTGCATTTTATGTTCATCTAAACAAAACAAAAACGCAATTTAGTTCTTAAAGTTTTTTTTGCGGTACACGCTGATGCTGTGCTTATTCTAAAGATAGAATAAAATCAATATGTATTATCTAGCGTGTTTCAAAGTTTAATCTCAGTCACACAAAAAGAATTGATTAATTTAACTAGTTTATGTATTGTCTTTGACAGTAATCTAAATTAAAAAAATAGAATTAATTTTATAAATTGATATTGACTGTGCCACTATTCGAAAAATCATCACGATTAATCGTCAAAACAGAAGCGACCTTGATCACATGTCAATTTGACTGATGTATTCAACGTAAATCAGCTTTTCTTGCATCAATGGCATTCTTGAGTATTTTTTTTCTATTATTAGACAAGCATAAAATAAGTTCAAGAAAAACTTTGCCGTACAATGAATTGATCTCTTTCTTTTTATATACAGCGAAGCTCATCTCATCGAAGTATTAAGATACAGTGGTTGATTTGTTGCGATGAAGCATAATCCAATGAAAGTGAAAATGTATTTCATTGATTTCATATATAAACAGACTCGTATCATTGAGCCACTTTCTCTAATTGGGAATTATAATAAAAGCTGTTAGCGCAATCCCTGTGGGATTAAAATGTGAAACACGACGAAACTTCTTCTTATCCTAAAGATCAAATAAATTCGTATTATAAATAGTGGATTGGCACATAAGTTCTGATCATTTTTTCCTGGTTCCAGTAACAGCTTTATTTTTCAACAAAGATATGGAATATCGATCAGCAATTATTGTTGATTGATGTTTCATATCTTTTTTGAAAAATAAAGTTGTTGTTGAGCAAGAAAAAGAACGCTCAGAACTTAAGTGCCAATACAATATATTTAAAATAGATATAAATAATTTTTTTCTCATAATGGAAATTTAAAATAAAAACTTGTAACAATTTTTATCTATTGTGATACTTCATTACTTGAATAAACAGCCCTCGCACCCACACTGTATTGTGCATGTAAATCGCACCAATCAGTGTATACATGCGATTAGCGTGAGAAAGAACCATTTAAAATTTATTCATTTCATGATATTAAATAAAAGAGGGCCCTGTAAATTCTGCATTGGATATTGATTGGGTTCAGTATGTATGTCTTTATTTATTCTGCCGACGAAGAGGAATACAATTATATATATATATATATAGTAGTTTTCATATGTAGAATCAAAATATATATTTCTCACTAATCGATAAACATTCTTCTTTAAAACAAAATTAAGAGACATTCAGACATGACACATACTCGACCTATGAAAAACTATTTTTTGGCCATTGACCACGTAAAAACGGAACTAATCGAAACAAATAATATGCAACCGTTTCAAAATAAACAAAATTTATCGTTAAAAACTACGGTACCTAGTGAAAACGATAAAATTCGAGTAAAAATTTAAATTTTAAATGGTAGAAAATAATTAGAGTTCATTTATGTTTTAGTTATTGAGTGATTTATTTGATCGTGTCACAAATGTGATGGACTTCATGGAATATCACAAAAATAGATGTTTCACGTATTACGAAGCAAATCAATACAAAGGTTAGTCGAAATCATATAAATCTGTTCTAAACTCGTACTATTATTTTAGATAGTTTACGTGATATTGAAGTATTAGACCAATATGGATATCTCGATGAATCGTTATTGCTGATAAAATAGTATGTTATTTTATTGTGTTACCCAGGTCGAGCAATCCGGCAGTATGCACCTATCGGAACCCATCCGATTTGACTGGAATCCAACAGAATTTTATCGGATCCTCAGTGTCGGATTCCTATGAATTCCAAGGAAAAACCGTTGTATCTCATCGGAAGTTCATAGGATTCGGACACTGAGAATCCGACATCGATTCCTCGACCCGGAATTCAATAGAATTGTATCGGATTGTAGGATATTTCCAGGTTCCTATCGGATCCGATATCGGATCAGTCGACCTGGGTTATTTATGCATGTTTATTTGATGTACTTTTTCACAGGATATGCACCATACATTCCCAGATCGATCAACTTGTGTCGTATACGGCCGTTTTGTATCGTGCCATAAACGATCGTATACAGTCGGATACAGAAATATCCTACCACACTACGGTCTTTAGTAACCGTTTACGACAAGATTAATTGCAGCCGTAATACGGTGCATACCAAAACGTCAAGTTATGGCCATTTACGGTGAGAAACGGCAGTATACGTTAACGTTTCTGGTAGCTGTAGTGCTCGACCTTGGTTGTCATATTGGAGAAGTTCGCAGTACTATTTTGAATTCTCTCAATGTTGAAAGTAAGTCACCATATCCATCATGATAGATACACTTAACAGTATTTGTTTTAGTGGTAAACAACCGTGATGCAGCTATTAATATATTAACTTGTATAAGTGAAGAAAAAGTGAACAAGTTGATTCAGCGTAAGTTTCAACATATGTCCTATAATGATTATTTAAAGAAATTTCTATTTTTTAGGTACTTCTAATAATCGTCTAACGAAGAAAATTAAACGTTTAAATTAAGAAGAGAAATAAGTTGTCGCCGATGTATGTTGCTCGTAAACATTTGATAATTTTTTTTGTTATTCTTGGCTTCTATTTTTTCTCTTATTGTTATATAATTTAATGCTTGTTTATTGTGATTGTATAGAACTAATGTATGAATGTATTGTTATCAAGGCTTGGTACGTATATAATAGTTTAACGTCAAAAGAATCATTATCGTTGTAATAAAAATCATTTGATATTCATAAATTTATCATAGAAAACATTGAAATTAATGAAGAGATATAAAACCTTGATATTATATTCAACATGACATTTTCGTTTTCGGTTAGCCACTACACTTCAAATCGAAAAAGTGAAGAAGATTTCTTTTTAGTTTGGACAAACAATGAATGGGAATTTTTCACCTTCATCCTTATTTATAATTCATAATGTATCATATGATAATCGATGTGTTCATTTGTTTCAATAGATTGATGATGCAGCACGAGTTGTTTTTTATTTAATATAGAATAATTTAATTAAATAAAAATTTTAAATAAATAAAATAAAATATTTTTATTTAAATTCTAAATGTTTTTGTTCTTTCATTTATCGATATTTCGTCCTTGTTAATACGGACATTTACGAGATTGTTGTTGTTGTTGTTTAGGTTATGTTGATGTTTATATTAAATAAAAAAACAACTCGCGCTGCATCATCAATCTATTGAAACAAATAAACATATCGATTATCATATGATACATTATGAATTACATGAACAAGCAGCAAACAATTATATAAAATCGAAGAAAAACAACAGCAACAAACAATTCAACTTGAGAAATATCTGGTTATGAATTTATGTCAAACATCAGGAAATGGTCGTGGAACTGATAGGAAAACATCAGGTTGTGGATAAGAAACATAAAAATAGATCAAAACAACAACATCCATATAACCAAAACTACAACAACAATTTCGTAAATGTCCGTATAAATAAGGACGAAATATCGATACCTGAAAGAACAAAAACATTTAGAATTTAAATAAAAATATTTTATTTTATTTATTTAATTAAATTATTTTATATTAAATAAAAAAGCTATTAGCGTAATCCCTGTGGGATTAAAATGTGAAACACGATGAAGCTTCTTTTCTGGAATTCGTCTATCACGATCACTGATGGTCTGTGGAGCTTCTCTGTTACGGTCTGTATTATGATGTATGGAGTCTCTAGAAACCATCACAGACCATTACAGAGAATTCAGAAAGCATCACAGACTGTTACAGAGAAATTTAACAATTATTAATTAATTGTTAAATAATTAATTAACCAATTAGCCGATCAATTAATTTCTCTGTAACAGCCTGTGGGGGGGGGGTCCAAATTTCTACCCTATATACTTCAACACTCCTTTCAGATCGTGTTTCACAAAACATTCTGTGATGAATACTTTCGGGTAGACATACGCATCGATAGAGGCACGAAATGATGCGATATTCTTCTTGTTTTTCTTTGTTCTGAACTAATCAATGATTCAATGTACAAGGAAAGCGACTTCTTTAATATTTGCACCAATTTTTTTTTATAAAAATGCTCCTATTTAGATAATCATTTCTTTAGATTATTCATCAGTACAAAAAGATTTTAAAATGCAATAAAACTATCAATAGTCATAATTACTTTGAGAACTTAAGGCAGAATGAATAGAAATAGTAAAGGAAAATATATGAAGAAATCCTACAATAACTTTAGCTATTAACTTATTATTTGCTGTAATTAAATGTTTTACATTCTACTGATTATCTATATTTATCTCTGCTGTTTTTTTTTCTAAGAATTTTTGAAAAATTGAACTTTTCAACATAACTGAATAATCAACTTGAGATTGTATTTTAACTTCAATTTTCAATAGAAGTAGTTTATTATGAGAGGTTCAACTAAAGGAAGAAAATGTATCTTTTTCTACTTTCATTCTATGATAGAAACACTGAAGCACTCAGAAACTTCTGAAATAAACTAGCTGCACCGATAACCTAATTTATGGAAATTTCCAAGTCAAAACCCCTACAATAGCTTTCATCATGAGCTGAGAACCACTAAAGGGTTTTATTTTTCAAAAATTCGATACTGTTAATTTTTCAACATTTACCGGCAGTTATCAAATAAATTTAACCTCAAAACAGAACCGGTTTAATACAAAAAGATATTGCCCTAACAATCTATCAGAATTTCGAAAATCGACTACTGTCCATCAATGATGTACGCAACAAAAAAAAATCGCTTATTTCAGTTTAACTTTTAAAAATATAATAAATTATCTATTTTAAATCAATACATTGTATTAGCATAAAATCCTGTTATTATTTTGATTTTCGTAACTTGAGAAAATATAATGACCATTAGAAGTACTTCGATTATAGAGAAAAAAACAGCAAGGAAAGTGAAGACAATTTGGTATAAAATTTATATTAATTTCTCTTTCATTTTATTAAATATACTAATGATGCACACAATGAACAATCACTTTTTTTTGACATCGATGTATATGTATAGATATAGATATATACAAATTTAAAAAAAACACGAGCTCTAAGATGGTTACACATAATGATCGAATAATATCGATCATATGCGAACAAAAATAGTTAATTGTATTTCTGTCTGTCTCTCTCTCTCTCTATTACATATTATAAATTTGGCGTTATTATATCAGTTAAACCATACGGTTTAATTGTTTTAGCAAAGGCTGTTCTTTCAAGATTCGAACGAAGCAATGGAGTTGTTTGTTGATTTTTCATATTTTCAACAAATGAAACAAGTGCAGAATTATGTTTAACTGATCTTGTTGGTGAATCAAGTAACATAATTGATGTTGCTTGTGTTACTGAACTCATACGTGGTTCAACAGTTTGATGATGATAACAGGTTAGAAAATTTTCATCTTGTTCATCATTAAACATACTGGAATTTTGACGTAGTCGTTGTTTTTGATTTGTTAATGGAATTTCTGATAACGAATAAGCACTGCAAATACTTTGACGATAAGTACAAGTTTGTGATAAATTTATCGATGGTCTTGGCGCAACTATTACTCTTGTATAACGTTTACCATTCGAATAGAAATGTTCATGTAGACCCTGTGATGGACTATGACGTAGCATTAATTTTTTTGCACGTTTGCTTAAACGTTGTGATGATGATGTTGATGTTGATGACGATGAAAATAGTAAGAAATAATGGCAACTAAATAAACGACGAAGTTCGTGACGAAAAACTCTCCCAGTAAATGCATACAGGAAAAAGTTTGAAGCTAAACAGAAAAAAAAAGATTTAATTCGTTGACTTTTAGCTTATTTCTAAATGTGACGTACAATGATTTAAATATTGAGATATTTCAGCTATAATTTTTCCAATGGCTATTCCAGCGTTTAATGTTGTCGATCGGTGATTAATATCACTGTAAATAGCATCGATTAATTGCATTATTGATATTGGCATTGAACAGATACAAAACGCAAATGATACAGCTAGCAGCATCGTTGTTAAACGACGATTAACTCGTCGATATGCTAATGCTTTTGTTGATGTATGTTTTTCTTGTTGATATAAATGAAGTGAACGTAAAGGATTGCATTTAGATTTCTTATTGGATTTCTTTATACTAGCATTTGTTGTTGATGTTGACGAAAATGACGTTGAATTAGATTTTGTATTGTAATTAGCATGACTATCATTTGTTGTTTCTTGTTGTAAATATTTATTTGTGTTACGTGCATTTAATAAACTTTTTATTATTAATATATTAAGTGTTATTAGAAGTGTAAACGGGCAAAATGAATATTTAAATGAATCAATCCACGTAAAATATCTTATAAATAATGATTGATCATTCAATGGCATACAATGCGATAGTGTTGATGATAAATGAAATGTCCATAGGAAATGTGAATTTATCAAGAAAAATACTGTAAATACAAGTAATAACATATAACGTGCACGTTTTATTGTACAAACTTGACTAGCACGTAGAGGCTGAGAAACAGCTATGTATCGTTCGAATGTCATTGCAACTGTAATCCAAACACTAGAAAATAGATGCGGCTTTTTTTTTTACTGGCAATCCTTTTCAAACGGATCAATTTCTTAAAAATAGACCGAGTATTTAAAACAAAAATAATAAGACTTGATCAACTTCAAACTGAAAAAACTTTGCTAAAGAATTCGCTCAATTTTTTATTTGCCCTTGAACTTTCAGTGCAGTTGAAAAATTAAATAGCCATTATTTCGATCAATAGTTCTATATATGTCCATAGATAATGTGTAATGGACTTGAGAGTATCCGGAAAGATTCAAATGAAACAAATGTTTATTTGCGGAAATAATGACCTTTCAACACACATAGCTACTTGACACAGATATGTCACTTTGATCGCATGTGCTTAACAGTTTTATATTTCAAAAAAGAAAAGACTATTTCTGTTTGAATATTATATTAGGATATTTTAAGAGATATTCAACTTATCTTCGTAAACAATCACGAATAGCATGCGCATGACTTGATCTTCTAGGCATACTTAAAAGTGAATCGAGCATTCTTTAAGAAGATCACAAATTAATTCTAGAGACTCGTTCATATGACTCCGATTCAGCTATTTTTAGTCTTACTCAAATATATAGTCGTGTCGTCAAATCGTACGTTACAATGTTCGTAGTTCGTGTGCTAGTATCAGTTGATTAATTTGTCTCGAGGCAAACAGAAACTCGTTTGCATCATGATTATAATCTGTTACGTAGTTTTATTGATACAAAAGAAAACAATTTGAAAGTCAGAGTGCCTATAATACTTATCTGATTTATCTATTAAAGATACTTGAGAGAGAAAGAAGAAAAAAAGAATCAAACTTTGTCTTGCTTACCTACAATCAGCAAAAAAGAAAAATCCAAATGTGCCTAATTTACAGCACATATTACAAGCTAAAATTGGTCTTTGTTTGTCTAACAATTCTAACCATCGATTGAGACAACCGATCCAAAGAACAAATGTATCAGCAATAGCCAATGCAGCCATGTAGAAACATGATGATGAATGTCGCATACGACCTCGTCTCATAACAACAAATGTTAAGGTATTACAGGTAGTACCAATTAATAATAAACATGGCAATATAAATTCTTCACTACGTGAAGCTATTTGAACATAACGATTATCAGACATAAAATCTGAAGTATTTGTTAATATTGTTGTACTGTTCATATTTGTATCGTAATAATTTTACAAAAAGATAATAGTTACATCTTAAAACTAAAATATAAATGAAGAAGAAGAACAAAAAAAAGGAAAGAAGGAAGAAAGTTACGATGGTAAATCGTGATATGGTAGTTGACGTTAAAATGATCACCATCATATGATCGTTATCTTTCACGTTCGAAACGCATTGTTCGCTAGAGGCTTGTCATTAATGAAGGTCTACTAGCGTGCACATACTTACGCCAAGTCGAGGGCAGCGTTTTTGCCATGCCTTCATCAGAGAGGTTAGAGGTTATAATAAGCATATCAGATTTTAGATTTCTGCTTAATATCTGTTGTCAAAATATCTCATGGAGAAATTCTATTCTTTCTGGGAAGCATAAAAATGTGCATGGACAGAGAGAAAAAAAAATGCATCTATAGTTAAAAATAAAAGATTATACAATTATCTATTTTTCACTCTTCAATAGATCATTATACGATGAAATATATTTTCTTTATGTCTTCATCTTAATGCATACATATGTCTATGATAAGGATAAATTCTCACGCAATTCTACTTATTTCTTTTTCCAATTAAATTAAAGCTTACAGATATTAATGATGATATGGTACATAACTCATCTCAGTCTTAATCAATAATCATCTGATGTTTTTCTTCACGCGCCGAAGTAGTCTACGTCATTATCTATTCAGATTTCGATCACGATATAAATACAATATCAACGTTGTTTTTTTTTCAGAAATTGTTTTTCATAAAAGCAAAGGTTGAATTTTTCTCTCGTGATGGTTTATATTATATTTTAGTAATAATATATTTTAATAGCTTTGCATAAATATATATACTAACTAAAAATAGTCTGACGTGCAACAATAGAATAATATCCTTTACTCGCTTGTACGATTCTACTTCGGAGTCAGGTATTGTTAAACTCGGACGCAAATTATCTCACATGACTTGTCATCAATATAAAACAATTAAACACATTAGGAAAAATATGATCCATTCTCATAGAACGACTCTGTCTGAATTGTTTTCTATAATGAGGGCAAAAGATACTGAAAAATAAAAATAAAAATAGAAAAGCGCGAGCATATCTACTTACATCTAATAAAAATATATAGATCTCTAGAATCAATGGGAAAGAAAATTTTAATTCTCAAATAATTTTAATCCTCGAAAAATTCGCCCGATGACAAGATTAAACATCATAGTGAATTCTGAGCTTCGGAATGAAGAAAATGACTTGATTTTTTTTCTTGAGCATAGAATAAGAAAGAGGATACATAGTCTTAGCAATAAACCAAACCACAAGTCAAAATCAAATTATGATTTGATGGTCGTTCCGCGTACGTACATACACACATAGATATATAAAGAGAGTCGAATTACTCTTATTCATTCATTCATTTTTTGCCTCAACGACGTATCTACTCAGCCGAACTGTATGTAGTCGGAAAATAGTTTCACTACCCCGATTACGCAACTCGCAAGCGTTTCTTCTCTATACGTCTCTGTCTCTCTCTCTCTCTCTCTCTCTCTATCATTCGCTCAACCCATTACAATTCCTGCTTTCTCGTTCGTCTCAAATATACATGCTTACATCTCCTTTCTTTTGTCGGATGAATGGGCGTCTCTCATTTGTCTTTATAATATGAAATAAGTCGACGCACTTCTCATCATCATTCGAAAGAATAAATGACAATGGAAAGATCAATAATGTATTTTGAATTTTCTCAAGATTATACGTGTGATTGTATAAGAGTTCATCATTGTCTCGTAGTTAACTGAATAAACAAACAAGTGAACAAACATTATAACGTAGTCATTTATTAGTCATCACCTTTCTCGTTTACTTAGAAAGTTGACTTTTAACGATCAATGCCAGACATATCAATTATTTTATTTTATGTAGACAAATTTTCATATAAATAGTTCTAGTTCATGATGTCTAGCACATCTAGAGACGTATTTTGGATAACTGTTCAAGGTCAATTTGATTAAGATAAAGAAGAGAAGTATCAGTCATGTTGATAAGTGCCTACGGGCTAGCAGACATGACATGTATAAATAACGACGAGCATGAATAGAAAAAGGGCAATATTAAATAATTGATTATACACTGTTGATGATTATTGATTTATATTTACCATCTTATATATTCAAATGACACAAACCGAATGAGTACATCATATTTTTCTCTAGATAACGCCACAGAACGTGAAAAGGATTTACCTTATTTCTTTAGAATTGATGAATAGGAAAAAAACTAAAATAAATCTCATTTCTATCAAATGCTGATGCTACAGTTTGTTTTGTTGTTGATGTAGCCAATCAAACAAGCATGTATTAACTTCTTATTTCATCAGAACAGTTAAGTCTACTCTAGAAAATTAAAATAGAAAGAATTAAATTAACAGTTGACGTAAATCAGTGACGTACATGTTCATCTTTTTCATAGTTTTCTCTTTCGAATAGTATTGGGGCAAAAAAAAATCTTCATTTCAAATATTTCGTCGTCAACACTTTTTTGTTGATGTGTAGCAGCCGACGTCAAAAATTCTTCAACGAATATCTAAAGGAAGTGATTGATACACGTATATATATATAAATACATATTCATGACAGACGTCAAGGACTAAATGGTCATTCACAAACTTCAATTTAGATAAATGAGCGAACTGTTGATGACGGCATAGAGGAAACGAACGATGATATTGAACAGAGTACAATGCTTGGAGCAAACATATGTCCGGACATCGAGTTCTATTGGATTGCATCACCATTATGAATAGTGTGTACAATATAGTTGCTACCGTTCACTCGCTGAACAATGTTTTATGGATACATTCAATTATAGAAATGCCATACATTAAGAATAGTCGACATTGCATTGCGGAAATTCTTTTGTCTAATAGATTTAGACAATCGAATATAGATTATTTCGGAAACAAAAAGAAAACAGAAATTATATTGTTTAGAAAATAAATTGTTATCATTCGAATGGTATTTTTCTTTTTAATAAACATAAATATCTGTTTGTGAATTTTTGATTTCTGCTAATTGATAATACTACATGAAATCCGGTATCTTGATAATCAATAATCTCTATGCAAATAAAAGAAAAAGAAAAGAAGAAGAGACCTCTATATTGTATTATGATTTAATGGCCTTGAACGTAATAAAAAGAATACAGAAAAACTGAGTAAAGAAGTTGATCATTTAAATATGTATGATAATATAATATAATAAATGGAATTCGTTAATAGCATTCTATCGGACAACTTAGAGACATATTTTTTCTATTTAATGCATATTTTCAAAACACAAAAGACCTTGATCGCTTGACTACTTCAATATCTCTCGCAGATTAAATGGTCTTGTCAACATAATGAATGGATTGGCTTCTTCTTTTTTTTTTCTTGAATAGAAAATTAATTTATTATAATTATTTTCATGGTCAGCATCATATCAATTTCAGCAAGATAGTTAGGCAAACATTGACATGGTCAAATTATCATGTCTAAAATACTAGATACTATCTTTTCATACGTGTGTAATATCTATTTAGTAATAGACAAACTAGAAAATGCTTTATGCCAGTAAATAAATCTGAATTTATCGGAGAAGAAAATTAAAGAGAAATATGTATCATGTCAGTCGTGTCCTATTTGCGGCAACATCCAAGGTTTCTATGAATTCGAATTGAATCGAGATGAAATACAGGGCTTTGATTGAGTAACTAGATTTAATTTTATGCACATCATTCGAAGAAAGAAGACGATGATTCAATTAATAATCCCTGTAAGATGATACTAATTTTCTTTTTCTTCTCGAATAGTTCAATGATAGTTTCATTACTTTAAGAATAAAATAATACTGCCTTTTTTGTTTCTATTTCTCAATCTGCCACAAAATCATCTATCCAGGTCGAACAATCATATTGTGAGATCTAATAAGATCTTGTATATGATCTTGTACGATCATTCGAAAATCTGACAAAAAAATCGTAGTTCCTGAGATCTTAAATCAAGTCGCACAATCAGATTTTTGAAAGATGTTACACATTAATAAGATCTTTCAAAAATCTGATTGTGCGACTTGATTTAAGATCTCAGGGACTACGAGTTTTTGTCAGATTCTTGTAAGATTTCATCCATATTCGAAGAGCTTGTATGCGTTTCATAAGATCTTGTGTCAGATTTTTCGACCTGGCTATTGTTAAATGATAACATATTTGCAGAACTTGTTCTTATTAAGTGGCATAAGTATTCGTCTTAAATTGTTATAACTTTCAAGAACAATATTTTATTTTTAAATTACTATTTTGCACGCACGGAATCTTAGGAGTGTCTGCTCTTAAATTCTAACTAACACACGACATGCATGTGTTCGTGGTATTTATTCTAGTTTGATATTATTGAATATAAATTATTAAGTAGTAAATATTCTCGATGAATTACTGATGAATTAATAGACGATAAGCGAAAAAAACAAGAATAATTTTGAAAATCATTTCGTTGCATGCACGAGCAATAGACATTGAATTTTCAATAATTCAAAAGAAAATCACATTAAAATTACTAGACTATACAGGTTTTATTTTACTCCTACTCATTTAAGCGAAGTAAAATGTACGCAAAGGAAAATATGAAATCCTCAGTGAAGTCAACATCTGGACAATGATTGCACTTAAAATGTCAAAACAATTAAGTAACTCATTTTTGTTCTGTTATGCTAAGAAGAATCATTTCAAATATCTAGACAAAAGAAAGCCTGTCACTTCATAGCCTATGACAAGTCTAATGCCTTATATTCGAAGAAAAAAAGTCTTAGTTAGTAACTGAAAAACTTCGGCAATTCCTTATGACAATACTTAGAAGACCTTTTCTTATATTTAGACCATCTGTTCCGTAGTAAAAATCAACTATGCAGCGCAATGATTAAATCCTACTGTTAGTATTTGTCTGTCGATATAATTAGTGTTTTGCCATTCTGTTTCATTGATAACAAACTTCCGTCAAGCTATCGGTAGTGTAAGTCCATCTTGAATCAATCGAAAATTCCTGTATACACGAAAAAACTCAGCAAGGACTTCATCGTGTCATCTTAATCGATTTATTCAGCAAGTATCTAGAATGAATACGTTTCTGTTGGAAAGTTCATTTATTATAGAATTGCTTTGTGGCATGGAATTAATTGATGATATTAATAAAAAAAAATAAAATAGAGAAGTTTATTTCAAGTACTTTGCCGATATTTAGGTGCAGTGAGACCAGAGTAGGTTTTTTGTTTTGAATTTTCTTGTTATCGTTTATTTTTATTCTTGTGAGTAAATGATTAAATATTTCTATTCTGTTTTGTGTTTTCTTTTCTTTCAAAAGCACAGTTGTTCGTTTATTTTTTTAAAGATAACACACAAATATATTTGTGGGAGTTATTTGATAATGAGAACCAAGAGTAAATTGATATATTTATATATGTATGTATGCATGTGTGGAAAAGTAATATAATATCTTTTTTGTTTTCATTCATTTACAGTTACAAGAGGAGTCAAAGCTGAGACTAGTTGTCGATATTAATAAAATGTTAATGATGAAATTTTTCAAGCATAGAAAATCTCCTGGGAATATTCTAAAATCGATGTGTATGAAAAGAATTGATTGACATTCATATATATATATATATATATTTCAGTTTTTCGTCTCATATGTCTTTTAGGTAAGTCTATTGAAATTTTTATTTGATTAATAGTTACAATTAAATTATTGAAAAAACCCCAAAAGTTTCTCTTTCAGTTAATATTAATCCTTCTCTTCCCCGAAAAGCAATGCGTTTTAATCTAAGTATTAGTTTTTCTATGAAAACATTCTTTATTCATATTCTTGCTAGTATTCATAGTTTCTAGCATGGCATATTGAGATATTTCTATCATCGTTCATATTAAGAAATGTCAGATAAACTAAATAGTATGACACAAAAAATAGAGATGTCTGCTCATGTACGCATTTGTTTTTCAATACTCTTCAGTCTAATTATTTCAATCATAAACGTAATTATTACTAGTGGTTCTTTTCGATTATATATATGCATCTTAGACATCTTTATTTTCTTATCGATGCTTCATATTGTTTGCTTGTTACAATAATTCATTTTGAATAATTGATGACGGTAATGATTGGTTATGTTCTTGAGCATAAGGTTTTATTGGCGTCTGTCAGTGATGACATGCAGAAGAGAAAAGACAAACACCATCCAATTTACTGTCGCATATAGATTTTAATGGTTTTTGATGAGTAGTTCTTATCAGTAGAAATAGTTTCTATCAGCCTTTGTTTAGTTTGTTTTAGATATATATATATATACTATTAGATATTGAAATCCTTCGTTTATACTTATTTATGAAAAGACAGAAAGATAAAATAAAAGGCTTTAGTCCATATTTGGAAATGAGAACTGAACAAGATAGAGCTAGAATAAGCCCGAAATTATATTTGCTCAATCTTACAGTTCATGCTTCTTGCCATTTTATTTTAGAATATGATGATTTTCTTTTTTTCCGTAGATTCATGAGAAAAATAAGAGAAGTTGCTTCGATTGTTCGATGAGGCAAAGCACGGAAAGTCTCTATAAAAGCTACTGCATGTATGCTCTATATAATTACAGATCAATCTAAGACGGTAACGTGATTTTGGATATGTATTTACGTGACAGGAAATAAATGCATCATTATTCATCTAGCGCGTGTTCTTCACAGAATTCGTTTCCGACAGATTGCACTTTTTTACGTATATTTTGTACTGTAGAACGTGCCCTTGAAGTTAAGACTTCTTGTTGTTCATGATTTACTTTTCTTCCTATTACACTTCGGTATTGGAGGATAGGTTGTTTCTATAATGAATATAATATCTATGGTTTCTATAGAAAAAAAAAAGAAGAAGAAAGAAACTTGTGAAAAAAGCGAAATGATTAAAGATGCCAGAACGACTTTTACTTCTAGAAAATCAGCAACAACAAGATATAATCATTAAATTAAAAATCACAGATAGCCCGAGTTCATCACATCTTATCTGTTATCTAATTAGTTTCTTATTAATATTATCTCGGTTTCTTTTCTCTAATAGGTTTTTCATTGGTAATTGCAGCGATTTGTTTTCTCTTCATATTTTTTTGTTTTTCTCCAAAGGTTATTAATTCCTAGACACAACCTATTTAACAAAAAAAGGAAAAAATAGATCTCTTCAATAGATTTGTAAGTATTGCGCTATTATCTATATAAGCCAATAATTCTTGTTGTTAGAATAAAAGAAAAGAATTGCCATTCAAATAAACGACAATAATCATTGGATATTACTTCAATGAAAAAACAGCCTTCGCTTAGCAATGCTACATTCAAAACAAAGTCTCTAGAATAGAAAGCACCAAAGAACATCGACGAATAAGATTTGGTTTGTCGTATTTTTTTTGGATTGAATTTTACAAAAGAAAATTCTCGATTGAAGCTAAAATGATTGTTGATATCTTGCTAGTATAATGTAACTTATGACAGGTTCCCATCAAAAGCATATATTAGCAACACATTAAGGCACTTTCTCGTTGTTTTTCTATCGAAATACTTAGAAACAATCTCATTTTCTTTTTGCTACTTATTATTTTATCGGCAGACGAGTTATCAGTTGGTTAACTTGAGATTTTTTGCGTATAGATAATGACGTGATTATTATTCACTGGAAAATGAGAGGACAAGCTATGATCTATTGAGGAAGAAAAAAGAAAGATAAGACATCTTTAGACAAGGTGAAACTCACATTTCCTATTAAGAAATCAGATATTCTTTTGTTTTACAGGACTTCCTATGATTTAAATTTTTCTGTAGACTCGCATAACCTGTCAGAATTATGAAGAAAACATGCTATGTTTTTTTTGTTTTAAAAGAGCAAAGAATAAAGAAGTTTCATAATTATGCTCAATTCATACAAGAAAAAGTTACATCCTGCCTATTGGTGGGGGAAAAGTAGTTTGGTTATGTTCTTTTAGTTTCCAAAGATACAATAGTAGGAGAGATTTACTATTTTGTTATTTTTTCCTAAAGAAAAAAACCTATGTGTGCTAAGATCGTGATGAACGCGGTACATTTAGTTCAATTGTAAAATTTTCTTGGAATTCCTTACATTTATTTTGTGTGTGAGAGAATTGTTAAGAAAAGAGAAAAAAGTGCTTCAGTTTTTAGAATATATTCATCTTGTAGTAACATCATCCGGTAGTTATTTTGCTCGAATAATCATATTGTTCTCTTAGAATATACGGAACAATTTCTCTTTACAAGGATTATTTGCATTTTTTATATTCTGATGTTTTTACCTCAGACACTTATGTTGATCCAGAGAAGAAGGGTAAAAATTTCTCAAGTATATATGTTTTATCCTCAAAATGAAAATTGGAAAAACAAATTATTTGTTTTCAATTCATCATTTCACATTCTTTTCCTTCTTCTTCTTCTTTTTCTTTTTATATAAATAATAAAACATGCTGTCGTGATATATCTTCTTTCATATTTGTGTTTTATAGTCATTGTAGATGATATAGAAAACGAATAAAACTCCAATCAAATGAATAATACTACCAATGATCAGCCCTTATTGGCGTTTGTATTTCGTTTTGAAGTAGTAGCATTACCGATATTAATTGTATTCGGTAGTATATGCAATATAATGACATTTATTGTAATGCGACGAAAACGTATGCGTGTATCATCAACGTGCTTTTATATGGCTGTACTTGCTGTTACCGATACACTTGTTCTATGGACTGGCTGTCTTAATCAATGGTTTTATTTAATGCACGTACCGACTGTTGTTGCTAAATCAAATTTTACATGTAAACTACTGCCATTCCTATTTGTTTTCTTTGCTGATGCAAGGTAGAAAAAAATTGAATTTAAAATCTATTTGTCTAGTCTTATTTTACGGCTTTATATAGTGTATGGATTATTGTATGTATGTCATTCGAACGTTTTTTTGCTGTTTCACGTCCATTACTTGCTTCACAAATGTGTACAACAAAACGCGCAAAATGGGTAAAAATAACTATTTCTAACATTAAGATATCGAATATTTTCTCGTCTCCAACTATTTATAGACGATAATTTTACTTCATAAAAAGTTGATGCTGTTTAGAATTGAAAGATACGCCAAAAAATATCTTATTTTTTCTATTAAGCTATCGTTAGTATGTTTTTGACAATGAGATAATCATTTTATATTTTCTAAGCTATCGGTAAAATTTGAGATTTCAATATTTTTTTTAATCTTACACAGTACGTGAAGAAATGAAGTATTGATATTCCAGAGTTTGGGTTCATATTCTTTCAATATCTATTTAAATTCATTAAATCCATGACACTGCGTAGGCACATTTTGCTCTTGGATCCTAACATTATATTATAAGAAAAAAAAGGCGGCCATGCTAAATCCTTATATTCATGAGAGCTTATTTCAGTAGGTAAACATATAGATAGAATAAAATAAGTTTCAACGAGAAGATTCTTCGAGAATCAAAATACAAAAATAATAGAATCGATTGTCTGTGAAATTTCTTGTATCATTCCAAATGACAGAAGTGACACAGTTGTTTTTTTGAATCGGTTCTTTAAACACAGACTATTTTATTGATGAATAATACTAATTATCTTTATATATAATTACAGTGCTATCTGTGTTACTAGAAACCTAATGAAACAAGGTACAAAGAAATTCGCATACTTTGACTTAATATATTCCAAAGAGCATATTATGATGGAAAATTAAATCTATTATTCGTCAACAATTTCTTTTCTCCCTGAATTGAACTGTGATGAAATTGTATGCCGAATAAATATTTAAAAGTAAAACCGAAAGAAATAATTCCAATACTCTTTAATATAAAGCAGCTTATTCTCTGGTAAGGAATATTTAGTTAGATACATTTTTCATTGAATCTGGCATTTAAAGAAGTCAACTGGAAATCGGTAAAATGAAAACGTATATTTGTATAGCGGCTTTCTTCTGAAGATGAAGTTCATGTATCCTCTCGATCAGTTTGTTTATTTGACAGCATCTCATTCATAAAACATGTACTCCAATCAATCAAGAAATTGTGCTGAATTCAGAACAATTCAGATATAACGATTGCTACGTATAATCAAAAAGAAGCGGTAGTTGTTTCGGTATTGTTAGCTTTTAAGTTAGCTGTAGAAAATCGGTTTCACTAAGGAAGACAGACAAATTGACAAATGACATAAGCTGATTGATATAGACATGGCCAATTATTTTTACTTCAAATACACTAAAAAAAAAGGATGCACTTCATTAAACAACATCTTACTATGTGTAACAACGCCAGACAACATAGCAAAGAGCCTTAAAATCATTTTCTCTTATGCCGCTAGTTACATCATCATACAGAAATGGAATATTTCAGAAATAGAGTTTTAGATAGACCAAATATATCGATATTGTACTTTTATATAATGAATTATATTTTTTAAATGTCTAAACGAAGGAAGTTCATAGATCTCTATTGATAAATCGTCAATATTTTGACATTTTGTGTTACCCAATGAAACGTAGGGCTTGTCTTTTTTTATTTCGGATGTCTTTGTTATTGACCATTTATGTAAGATGTGTTTTACCATAGTTAAATTCTAGACATTTCGGTTGCTTCAAAATTGTCTCTATCAGAACACTCAAAGGACGCTATAATATCTTGGAGAAAGTCGAGAGATTAATAAAAGCTGTAAGCTCAAAAAAGATATTATTTTGAAAAATAAACGGCATTTAGGGACATTTTGATTCTGATGAGGCTACAGTAGTTTTAAAATATATTACTAGAGAGGATCACTCTTTTTATCTTTATTTTAGCATTCAGACTTTATAAAACAACGCCAGTCACTGTCAACATTATCCAGATTAAGATAAATGCATAAGAGGATAGTCAGAAGCCTAAAATTTTCCAAATTGCATAATTTATTATTAAAAATTAAATTTTTGGGTGAATTTTTTCATAATTTACGTCATCATCAACTTAACAAGAGGATTTTCTTACAGAAAAAAAAAGAAGATATTTTTCAGGTTTTTTTTCTCAGATGATACATTTTTCACTCGTTCATTTCAGAACTGTAGAAAGCAGTTAGTTGTAGGCGCTCGTAGTTCTTTCTTGTTTGAAAAATATCATGTCAATCTGCATAGCATGATAATACAGCTTTCTTTGATGTACGCATTCGAGCTAATTATTAATCAAAAAGTTTATTTTTATCATGGCAATGCCATTATTTGTATGATTTTCGTTAAATTTAACTTATTATCTCCCATCTATGCTTAATTGTAGTAAATAAAACATGATTGGGTCATGCCATGCATACTAACATACGCCTTCAAATAAACAGCAACCGAGCACTTGGCACGAAGGTTCACAGAAAACATTAGACTGCTCACACAGCTAATTTACCTGTTGGTTGTTTCTAAAACACATTTGGTATTAACTGTTAAAAGATACATGGATATAAATAGCATGTAATAGCTAGTGGAGCCAATGTAGAGCTTAATACGGAGAAAATTTGGATTTAATTAAGCTGTGTCGAGTACATATGTTTTTTAAGTTGAATAACGAGCTTTGCTTCATATGATAAGCAACAGAATACTAGAAGAGATATAAACAATACTAATAGAACTTATTTTACATAGATTAATAATGTTCTATCAGATCAATTGTCATATAGTCTAGAATGTTTATGAATCTTGTTTATTTGTAACAATAAAGAATATTTTTAAAAGCAAAAGTCTTGTCAAGTTTATGAACTTTATAAAATCTATTAAAAATGTAAAACATCTAGTTTTGTACTTTCCACTGGTTTATCGTGTAGACTTATTACGTGACACAGCTGATGTTCAATTATTGATTCAATTTTTTCTTTTGAATCTACTCATGGCTGCACAAAGAATATCATGCAACTGTTAAAAATTGATCATTTATTAATGCTCCTTAACGATGTATAACTGATCAGCGATCTATTTTTCTTGGATGCTATAAGGTACTCGCACACAATAGTAAATTCATGTTGTCACATCGAAACATGATGGGACCACAAGACAAAATAGAGGAAAATAATACGTCCGTTAGCTGCTGAATGAACATTTTTGATTGGTAGATATATAAATTTTTTACAATGAAGGCTTAAATTTTCTATAGACGTGCACTTCTGGCCTACTGCTACGTAGTGCCTATGTATTAGATCTGTGCAGTAATATGACGTGAATTCTTCTCTTGTTTTGTACTACTTTCACGTATTTCTTTTAACTAATTACGTGTTATATTATGATTTGAACTAAAAATTAATTTGATTTCAATAATTATTTTTTCTTGTTTTTATTCTACGTAGGTTTTGTTCGTTACATTTATTGTGCTTGCATTAATTGATGGCCATTTTTTATTGACATTACAATTAGAAATAATCGGCGGTCGTCACCGCGTATGTCACCCGAAAAAATGGGCACGGCTTTTTGTTGGAAAAATTTTTGTGTTTATCGACGCATTAAAATATTCAGCAATACCGTTTTGTATTTTACTTATTTTAAGTATACTTATAATACAACGAGTTTTTCATGCCGAAGATATAAGTGCTCAATTACAAAATCTTCGTCCATTAAATAACTACCGACAATACTCCTTGACATCAAGTCCAAGTTGCACAACACATTCGTCAACATTAGCTGTTACTACAGCACATACAAGTTTACTAACAAGTAATACAAGAGTTGGTCGTCGTGTTACATTTATGCTTTTATCTGTTAGTATTGCATTTTGCGTCTTTTCGGCGCCGATGTCACTCATGCAAATAGTACAGAGCATAGTGAAACCTGACTATCATGAAGTACCATTAGCTATTGGCAAAGCTATAGCTGAATTATGTCAATATGTTAATCATTCGTGTAACTTTTTTTTATACGCACTAACGGGACGAATATTTCGTCGAGAATTGGTTCGACTGTTCTTTCCAGCACGTTTTGGCGGTAGAAGAAGTATTCCTGTTGGTGTTGGCATGAATGGATATGCTATTGGTGCACGTCCGGGTTTCATTCCACAGCCAGTTGCTTCGTCAAGTCGTCATGGGTCACTTTATTCAGTTGAAAATAATCGCTTTAATAGATGTTCACAACAATCATCTAGACGTTTGACAAACTTGTATCCAATGCAATATATAAATGAAAGAAATCAACTGTTGAATCTATCATCTCCACGAGGCTCGCTATTTCTATCGACTAATGATAGTCCAATATTGGCAAATAGATTTAATTATGTCAACGATGACAAATACTCGATGAATACATTAAGAAACAATGATAATAATAATAATAATAATAATAATAATAATAACAACAACAACAACACTACATTGATTCACTTTTGGAATATATTTGGAAGAAAACGACAACTGAAGACAACTCGAGAGGGCTCAATGATATTTTTCAATAGAGCAAAATTAAAACATCGTGTACCATCGACAGTATGATATGATTTATTGAAAAAGAATCAATCGGTTTTTATTTTGTACATCAAAATTTGTTTTCTTTTTTTCCGTGAATTTATTATAGAAAATACTTTTATGTCTTGTACTTAAACCGTAACAGAAAACAGAAATAAAATTGAAGATATTATTCATGAACACTTTCGTTTTCTTCTACATGTTGTTTAATATGATTATTTTTTTCGCAATATCTGGCAAACATTACTTCCAGTTGGCTCTCTTCTGACTTCTTTCTCACGGCTATGGAATAATGGAAGTATTTATCGACTGTCTTATGTTAGTTCTTTGGATATTCCATTAAATATTTTATAAGAAAACTTGTCGTTTTCCATGCGAAAGACGTCTCTTTAAATCTCATCCCTAAAGTTCTCTGATACCATTATTATCCATGACGACTGGCAAGAGTTTTGTTTGTTTGTTCTATCTTGAACATTCATTTGATGCAAACTTTATACAATGAATTATTTGAGAATATAAAGGAATTTTCCGCTATTACATTTTATAATTTAAGAAAGTTTAGTCGATTGTTTCGGTATCAATAAGGAAACTGTAGAGAATTCTTTCACACGATGCTAAAACTAAGAATTCCCAAGTAGTATCTTTTAAAGCTAAGATCTAAAACAAAATTGAACAAAACATTGAAATAGATTATCGAAAATTTCTTGCGATCTCTGTGAAAATTTTCCTTCAACGCCCCCTGATTTTTGCAGACACTAATTTACACATGCATCATTTTGAAATATACTCATTTTATTTCCGGCAAACTACAGGTAGTATGTCGACATTGTAAAATTAGTTATATATATATATATAAATATATATGCTAATTGGTGTAATTAACGCCTACTTATAGCATCCGGGTGAGAAACTGAGTTTCAAATATAAAAAGAACAAATACCCATTAAACAATGGTTAAAAAAATCTCAATAGATTACTGTTTTGTTCAATTTTCTGAGAGTACCAATAAAAACAACAGGTACATGAAGCATATCTAATGACTTTCTGAACAACTACAGAGAATATTAAACTTGTATGTTTGAACTGAAAAACGAATTGAAGTGTTCAATTGTGAAATGCAATCTGATTCTGTTTATTTTGATGACTGTTAAAAACAGTTCGAATAATACATACCAATTTCAACATATAAATTGTACTTTTCTATTAATGAGACGAGAAGGAAAATGTAAGTCATCAGTTGCGTAACTGACGAAAAGCGCATGTGTGAATAGAATGAACGATGAAATCATAGACCGTTGTTCATCTACAGAATGGTCTCATGAATTTTGAGATATCCTATGAGTTCTACAATTAATTTCTAAAGAATCTTCACTTGAATAGGTGTTTTAATTGCCTGACGACTTTTTCAACTATTCCTAAGATTCTTTTGAAGAACAACATTGATGAAAGAAGCAAAATTCGAGTTCAAAGTTTAGCTTCAGAGAAATCAAAATAACGATCATGATGCCATTTGAATAGAAATATTATTGATAAATAATCAACTTACGTGATCCAATGGCTAGTTTTATGTTAGTTGTAATTAAAATATATATATATTATTTTCGTTTTCTTAACAAAGTCATCTACTAAAAGCAAGACATGAAAGGTTAATAATTCGAAGAAATCAAATCTTTCTGAGAAATATATTTAGCTCACAAACAAACTGTACCTTCGGTAAGTTTTGCGTGATATGTGTCAATGAAAATATTTACTACTAGATCTCATATGCCTTTCACAAGTTGGTCAATATTTCAGCTGATAAGACATATTAAGTCTTCGCCAAAAGACTGACATAGCTATTTTCAGATAAAAGAAAAACATGAAATATGAGTCGACTAAAGTATTCATCATCGATAGAATATCTTGATTAACTTTCTGTCTGATTCGTCAAAACGAGGCTTTCGCAAAAACTGATCACTAAAGTACAGGTTTTGTTAAACACAAATAAGTGAGGAAACATCGGATTCGCATCCGATTGTTGTGTGTACTGCAAAAACTGAGTCGATTTATATATGTTTTGAAGAATTCTGAGAAAAAAAAAATTTTGAAAAACATTCTGTGGGGGGGGGGGGGGGGGGGGGGGGGGGGGGGGGGGGGGGGGGGGGGGGGGGGGGGGGGGGGGGGGNNNNAATTTTTTCGATAACTCAGCCATTTCTTGACGGATCCTTCTCGTCTTCGAACTCGACTGAGATATTGATGAGATCATTCTGTGTACAAAATTTCAAGACAATTGGATGAGGCTTTCAAGAGTTATCGTGTTAACGACCGGACACACTGACCGAATCTAAAGTGTACTCACTTTTTTTGAGTACACAAAAAGAATATTCAGTTTTTTCAATCCAAAATATTATTCCACAAAGTGAAATTACAAGTTCTTATATCATTCTGTTCTAATCTATATTCACGTGATCACTAGACTAATCAAACTATTTAAAATAAACTTGCATACAAGTGATAGTTTTTGACCGCTGCGTCATCTTCATCATCATCAAATAAATATTCTTTTTGAACAGTTAATTTATCAGTGTCTTCTCTAGATTCACTATTGGTTAGTAGATAATTAAAGAAAGAGTCCTTTTCGTTTCATTAGATCTCGTCGGACTCGTATCAAAGTTTCTATTTAAATAAGAATGTTATTTTTACAAGCTAAAATATCAAAACTCGATATCGAACGGTTTTATCTTGTTTTGACAGCGCACTAGTCATTTAGCAGCTGGAAAAAATCCGAGAATAAGAAAGAATTACAAAAGTTCTTTTAGTCGTCTGAATAAAAACCAAATCTCTAAACTAGTGTATGAAAGGGTGCATAATCATATGTAGGATCGTTTGCTGTTGACGATACTGATGGCCCAACGTTATAATATGTGCGTTCTAGAACAGAAACAAAAGCAAAATACCTTTTTATAATTAGTACTTAATAACGAAAATATATTAAGTACTTATTGATCGACTTCTTGGCAGCAGTGATAACTGATCGTTGTACTTCGTTCTTAATGGAACAGATTGTGAAACTTTTGGATCTATGAATATAGAAATATATTAAGAGAAAAGTGCTGAAATATTTTACTAAATATTTACATTCTATTCGTTGTGGCATATCTCCTTGTGCAATACCATCTTGCCATTGTAAAAAACATGCATTTGCATCCGCGCATGATTCAAAACGAAAACTTATCAGGCCTTGTATAGGTGCACGTGATCCTAATTCAACTTCAATATCACTATTCACAAAGCGTATACTACGAATAGTGGAACGTGGAAATATATGTCGTCTATCATGACGTTGTCCAACAACTAATTTATCTGTATCAATTATTAAATCGAATGAACCATTCGGTAATGAAAGAATTTCTTGAGTGGCTAAATCAGCACATTGAACTCGGTATCGTTTGGCTGAAAGAGAAATAGAAGAAGAAAGAATAATATTAACATTGCAGTATATAGATTTCACAATAGATGGAATTTCGAGCTTCTTATAAGCAAAGAAATGAAGTTTAAGAAACACGTTTCGTGACTGGAATTTTGCTTCTAATGTTTATATTATTATAAAGAAAAAACAATTATAGTAATTGAAACCTACAAATACTTTTATTGCATGACTAGTTACTTTTTAAACTTAAGCTGCAGTCGTATATTTAAAAAAAAATTTTTCCTACAAAAATAAAACACTGATCAATTCATGGACAATTATTTTAGTAGACTATTGATCCAAATAAAAACGAAATCGGGCATCTTCTATTTTTCCATTGTATCAATATTTAAAACTGAATCGAAATATATTTCTCTTCTATTTTATTGTTGTTGTTATTGCTTACCAGTCGTAGATTCATAATGCGTATTTACAATTTGATTTTCATTGCAACGATCTTTCTTCATTGTATCTAATTCAGAATTATAAACTCCGTCCAGCAGAGTTTTCCATTGATTAAATTCATATATATGATCAAAACCGAATCGATGTTTTTTCCCATTAATTTTAAGTATCATTATACTTTTAGGTTCATCTTTGTTTTTATCGCCATGCACAGAAGTTAGTGAGTGAAGTTGAGTCAGATCAATTACTTTACCGCTGGACTCTTCAAGATTATTGTTTGAATGTAATTCAAGTTTACTGTGTTGGTTCCGATCAGGATCAATATATGAAGCAAATATGCAATCGTATTCAGTCCATTTATTCTGGAATATTTTTGAAGATAGAAAATATTGAAAGATCTATTGAAAAAATAGAATACAGAAACTATTATTTACCCAATTAAATTTGCCATGTTTGGAATATTTCAATCGAAAACGTTGTCGAATATTATTGTGAATAGGTATCTGTCGACTCGCAAAATTACCGCTACTCATATTGGAAGATGTAAAGTAAGAGAATGAAAAACAAACACAAGTTATACCACCAGAGAAAGAGAAAAAGTCTGTATAAAAGCAAACGAAAGGTAAATATTATGACATGTTGTGCTCTACGGTATATTCAGACAATTTTCTTCTCTTTTTCTATTCTTCCGTATACAAGCAAAGCTAGATTGCTAAAATAAATAGTTGCTAGATAAATACGACTTTCTTGAAATGCAACGCTTAAATTACTCGTTTTCTTTTATTATTATTATTATTATTATTATTATTATTATTGACATACAACAAAAAATTTAATTCGGCTATTGTAAATGCATTATCTCAAGTTCTTTCAATTTCTCTTGATTGCATATTCTCAGCTTCTTTGATCTCCAAATAATATGCACACCTACTTGAATAGCTGATATAACCCTTTCATTCGATTATTTTAATTCAACTAAATAAATATGTTCAGATGAATAAATCGATAAGTGACCGTTGTCATTATCGTTAGGAACCATCGAAAGAAGAAAAACCTTGACAAGAACGCATAACAATATAATTTGTGTTTTATGGACATGCATCTTATTTTCTTACTGAATGAATTCTCTATAGTCGAATTCGAATTATTTAATCTTGCGCGGCTTTTTCTTTTTTTGTTCGTATACGTACATTTGTAAAAAAATAAAATAAAATCCCACAGCATAAATATTTGTATTTACTTTTTTCATTCATGAATCTCAATTGTATTTCTAAATATATATCGTTTGAACTCAAATTTAACTCGATATTATTATCTTAGTTGGAAAAAATACATATGCGAATTTCTATTTAATATGTTTTTATTACGATTAATATTAAATAAGTAATGTTTAATGTACCAAAGAATAATTAATCTTACATTTGAATATTTAGAAGTGCGAAACAAGCTTTAAATAATAATCTTATTATTCCATGAAAACATAAAATTTATTGTCGACTGAATTGAGATTTCCAAAAATTATTCAAAATCAATTTGTGAGAGGAGATTTTGTTTTTTGGAAATTATATTTATTCAAATCTCGGCATAATTTTGAATAAAAAATTCAACTACGAAATCACCATTCATAAACAATATTGAATTTCTTTGTCAACAACAAGTAGGCTACGCCAAAACTCGGTTGAGCTACAATTGAATAATTCTAATTCTAGTTGAATATTAGATTTAATAGAGAAGTAAGACCATCATCAAATATTGAATCTACATCAAAAACTCAAGTAATAATGAATACTATCGATCATGAAGAAACAGCGATGCTAGTGAGAAGAATTTTGATTATTTGACAATGAGATGCGATAGACCGTTTTATGAGTATGCTATTCATCAAATAAATATAGTTAATATGTTTTTTTCCTGCTACGACAAGATTATATAATTTTATTGAAAAGTTTTATAAATTTAAATTAAAAAGAAAGAAGAAGTCTATCGCATTACATTCTTCTACTAGAATTAATTAAAATTTAATAGCCATTATTCTGTCTATCTAATATAGTATGAATGAACGAATGAATGATTCTGTTGTTTTTACTGATCACATCTGTGAAAACATTAGCTTATCTTTCTCATTGGCAAATTCGATTAATAGTCATAAGTGAATAATCAGTACCATCGATAGACATCGTACAATGAGCAACACCTTCTACGTACGATAACCATCAGTTATCGTTCAACAACAGAAATTATCACATATATGAATAGATTTCTTCCATAGGCATAAATCACTAGCGTAAAAAAAAACGTTCCTAATGAATATTTAATAATTAGTGCAAATGCAAGAGTTATTCTATATTGTGTCATATGAGTTGAACGGTCATTATCTCCGCCTCTTTTCATAACTGATTCCAGATCCTATTATTAATGGCAAACAGACAGCAAACAGAATTTTTAATGAAAAAAACTCGATACATTTCACATATTCATCTCAACCCGATAGATTAACACCAGTATGAATTCGATTAAAAATTGTCTAATGCAAACAATCAATCTAATTTTTTATTCTTTCGATTTTTTATTCTTTCTTAAGATTGATTCTTCATTAAAAAAGAATTCCAACTCCATTGATATTAATGATTTATCGTCGTCATCAAATCATATACGTTCCTATCAAATTGGTAGTCTATTTACTTCAGCAAGCACATTTATTATGCATCAAAATGAAGTTATAGCTCAGACAACTGTTTCTGACCACTTTCTTTCAGACACTATTTTCATTATTTTAATTGCAACTCTCACAATAATTATTCTTCTCTTTTGTTTGGGCCTCTTTTGTCTGTGTCGTCGGACAAGTAAACGTAATATTTCACCATCGTTTGATGGCGCTAGTTATGTAGGATTAAATGGGCATTCATTAGAAATACCTATCGGTAATTATCAACAACAAACATCTAAATATGAAAATGATATTCCTTATATAAACGATGTTCTATCATCAGCTAACCAAAAGAAATCATCAATCAATCATCCAACAATCATAAATGATAGAATTTCTTTACAACAAACGATTGATTTACATAATACAAGGAAACAGAAAACCAAAACCAATAATAAAAAATTGAAAAAGAAACGAGTCGGTTGTTGTTGCTGTTGTTCTAGCGATTCAAAGAAAAACTCCGTCAAAAAATTTAATGAATGAAATCGAATAAAAAGAAATGAAATATGATAAAACGAAAGAAAAACAAACACGTCCCCACACACAATAGATGCTAAAAGTTTGCTTTTCACCCGTTGATTATTTTTGATTTAACTTTCATTTTCATTGCTCTCGGTTTTTTTGTGTTTTGTCACATATCAATCGTATTGATTGAGCACTCTGACATGTGTGACCGCTAAACTTCCGGTCGACCCCCGTTTATATGTATTAAGCGAAACAATCATGATGAACAAAAAAGACTCATACTTGAAGACAGACTTCCTTTTTCTCTTCTCTCTTGTCATCAAACAACAAAATGACCTTCTCTACTATCAAGTGATGGGTATATATATATATATGTATGTATGTATGTGTATGCAACAGCAGCAAGTACCACTTATTATTGTAAAGTAATCATTTTGTTTGCGTGAAGAAAAAAAGGAATTTTTTTGTTGCCATTGCTTGTCTGGTAATTTAAACAAATAAATAACCAAACATGGTTTGGTCATCGTATGGTACATTTACTTATTTTCTCCCTTGCTTTCTCTCTCTCTCACGCTCTGCCTTTTCCATTGAATTGATTGACAATGTGGGATAGAGTTGCGGATAGCGGCCATCTGTTTGCTTCTTCTTAGTTAGTTATTCGATTCTTTCTCTTTTTTTCTTTGGTGCAAAATGTCAATTGAGCGGTCACAAATATACAAGCTAATGTCAGTTGGATCCGGTCACAATCGATCATCGCTCAACACGCAACATATACTAAAATTGATGGTCACATACAAGATCAGGTGTCATTCTCTTGTTTCTAGTCGAGAGTACTTTGTAGGTCTTGAGGGAAATGATAGTGATGGAGACATTATCCTATATTCTATCGAACTCAAACACTTCATTTACTTATACATATGTACACACATGCTGCCTTTATCATTGTCATGCAAGCATCCAGCCTTGACCCTAAACAATCTTCGCGGCATGTACAATGATTTATGATGATTGTCCACCGGTCATCACCAGCAATCACTCTATGCTAATCGAACTTTTTTTTGTGTTTCATTTCGTCTATTATCACATCACCTGCCTATCTCTATAGACATATGTCGGTAAAATTCCTGCTGTGACATTGAATTCGATGATCACTAGGTATAGCTATTGAAAGATTCACTTCACACAAAGCGAGTAATGGTGCCGAGCCTATAGATGTATAACGAAATACATAGGTATATACATAATCGGTGAACATCAAAAACTATATAAAAAAAAAGAAAAGAGAAGAAGAGAATGGATGCTCGTATTCACTCATTTTTGCGCTTGTTCGCTCGTGCACAAGCGCGTTGCGTAATCATATCATCATCGAACACAACGCGTATCCTTGATAATGCAGGCACTCGCATAGGCTTCGTAAACGAAGTTACAAAGGCGGTCGGATGTGCACGTCGTATGGGATTATAAAGCAAATGCTTCCTAACCCACCGTCATACTAAATTCATTATTATTGCATCATAAAATCCATATATGTTACTTTAGCGGTAAACGTACATGTATCTCATCCGTTGCTTCTTTCATTTTTTTTAATTTCTTTCTCAGACTTTCCATCATTTCACTATCATATCATGAAATTGGCCCTCGACCGACTAGCAACGTCTCTTCGTCGTCTCGTGCCTATTTGGATGATGATGATGATGAAGATGCAGATGAGCGATGAAAGAGACGAAGAAGAAAAAAAAGAAGTGCTTAGTTGAGTGCTTATTTAGTTGTACAATTGAGAAGCCTATGTTCATAATGGAATTCGTTAAGCAGTAGACTAGTGAATGAATGAAATTAAACATACACAAATTTTATTTTCGTCGTTCTAGACTTTTAAATGAATTCAAATAATGAAGACAGAAAAAAAATACAAGGTTTCACAAACATGCACATGCAAAAAAATTGGCGTTATTTTATTGTCAATATGTTTTCATTAGTTTCATGATGAGAAATCAAATTATGTTCAAAGAAAAATATGTTCAATGACTTTTCTAATTTAATAGTAAACCATTTTGAAGTATGTTATTAAAGACAATTACTTTGGCTAGGCAGATGCCGAACTCAATCCTAGCAAAAGAATCACTAAAAATTCGATATATATATATATATATATATTCACATTTGAAATAAATAATATAATCAAATTTTTCACACTAGTTTAATCATTGAACAGGTGATAAATATGACACATGCAATGTATATCCCTAAGAGAAATGTGTGACTAACAACAGAATTATAATCTCACATCGTGTCGTTCATTCTTGTATTAAATAGATAGAGAATCGATAAGATTTTGTTGTTGCTAAATAGTTTTAACTATTTATTCAATAAATTTATGTATACTAGTCAATCAATAAGTGCTACTAATATGCGACTGTATTTGATATACAAAAAACATTAGTTGTTCTTGCATGCTTTTGTTGTATAGGTAAACAAAGTAATAGCAGACGCAGAACTTCTCATATTCAATGGCTGTCTGAACAATCGATATATATATATATATATATATACATGTATGCATATGCATGCACTAAAAGCGCGAAGAAATATGAAACTATGGCGTGCGACGCGACCAACATACCGATAAAGATGTCTCGTCCGGCCCTGTTCAAATGGATCAAGGTGACCCATCCGTGTAGAATGAAGGTAGCAATTTGTTTGACACGCGTCTTATTAGATAGTAGTGCATGCATCTTTTTTTTGCACATAGACTCTCACACACACACACGCAAGCGAGTAGTATAACAAGAGAGAGAAGAAAGATCGTCACGTCGTCCATCATCATCGCTATAATCATCATAGAGGTCTATTCCATGGCTGTTCTCAACAACTGTTGAACATTATATGTCTGAGAAAAAAAAGAAAATGCTCTTATAAGACATAAAGTAAAAGTCTTTCATGTTAAACGAAACTAGTATTGATACCCGCTTCTTTTATTTTTTTTTCGATTGAACTAGATATTTGACGATATGATTTGTACTTCTAATTAGCTCATTGACACATACCGCCAGCATTTTTTCCTCTTTCGCGTTAGTTGCTTCACATATTCCGAATGGCGAGAGCGCAAGAGATGAAGAAGAAAAAAAAGAAAACAAAAAGAAAGAATAGAAGTTGAACAAAACGGGCGACGTTAGCAAGACGGTCGTCGATGTATTTTTCTCTTCTCTTCTCTCTGTGTGTCTCTCTCTCTGTCTCTCTTTCTCTCCTGGTCTCTTTCTTACAAACGAACAATTGTCCAGTTCATCGCCAGTCTAGTATACACATCTTTTTTTTCTTTCTCATTGGAATAGATGAGTGTGTATATACATGTGTGTCATGAAAATTTGATAATGGAACTACATATTTCATTTTAGATTTTATATTTGTCTTAAAAGTTTTCAAAATCATTTTTTATCTTCCTTATGTATGTCTTCATTACACATCTCAATTCTTTTTACTTTATTGACAATTATAATTGCCGATAATAATAAGACATTTTATTTTACAAAGTCTAATTATGAATTATGGTGTCAAGAAAATATTCTATCAAATTCATTATTTCTATATCCGAATCGAATACCAATAGGCATTCTACGTACATCGAATATTAAATCCGTTACATATCATCTTCTTGATGACACCAATAATGGTTTATTTCAAATAAAAACAAAACGCCTAGCTGATTTCTATTTTCTTATTATTAATATAACACGTCCATTTGATATTAATAGAGAATATCAAGATGTTTATACACTTCATATAGAAGCACAAATTATTACGACACAAGAAAATCAAACCGAACAAACAGAAGTAAGAGTTTTATTTTTTATCAAAGCTATAAAATTTATAATCTCCATGTTCTGAATAGATTCGTCTTTATGTTGCTGATTCAAATGATAATGATGGAGTATTTGATATGGATGTCTATGAACAAAATTATACTCAGCCCATCGATACTGAACAATCACTTATACAGTTTCATGCTAGTGATGCTGATGAAATTCAACATGCTCAAATTTTCTATGAATTAGGATCATTATTAAATGAAACCTTTTCACTTCATCCGTATACAGGCGAATTATATCTGCTTACAAAAGAAAATCTAAAATCTAGCTATGAATTCGATATCTTTGCATATGATCGTCATCGTAAACGTCTTGTGGACAATAATATGAAAACTAAAACACATGTAAAACTAAATTTTCATCAACTAACTAATACAATAAATAAATATGAAACGTTTGAAACAATATTTAATCAAACATTTGACTATCACAAAGTTGTCTCATCGTATGAAATTAATATTATCGAAAGAAAATCCGTAAATTTATTAAATATTCATCAACCAATATTAACACTTGGAATAAAACCAAATGAAAAATCATTCGAACTATTTTTACTAAACAATTCATCATTGAATACAAAGAATTTATTTGTTTCTAAAAATAATATTTATTTAAATAAATATCTAATTGAAGAATATAACCTTCAATTATTTATTTGTTTCAATAATCGTACTCAATGTCAATATACAAAATATCGTTACATACCATTTATAGATTTTAATTTTTATCAATTTCGTTTTAAGTCAATAGAAAAAATTTATATCGATGAAAATCTACCTGTTGATTCATTTATAAAACATATTCAAATTGATTCCAGTCAATATTCGCAACAACAACAATCATTATTAGTTAATTATAAATTATTAAACGATGATAAAAATTATCAATTTTATATTAATCCGAAAACAGGAATTTTACGTCTTGCCGAACGTTTAGAATATCGAATTTATACATTAGATATTCAAGCTAATATTAATTTATTTAATCGACGTTATTCAACTGAAACAACAATCGAAATTCATGTTCGAGAAATAAATAAATATCGACCTGTATTTCGTAATAATACACCAACGGATTTATTTCAATTACCATATCAATTTGAAGCCTCTGATTACGATCAAAATAAAGAAACCAACGGACGTATTACATATCGTTTATGGAATTGTTTCGATGTTTGTCCATTTCAAATCGATCCAAATAATGGCACATTGAGCTTAATAAATAAAGATAATTTCGATAGAAATAGTATTTATGATTTACAAATTATTGCATTTGATTGGGGCCAGCCGATTAGTTTTCAAAATAGTATCGATATTCGAATCGATCTCGTATCGAAAATAAATAAAAGATCTTTACAACGAACACGAGCATATTCAAGACGCTGGAGAAAAAATTCAACAGCTATGTATTTTACAACAACAACAACAACAACAATGTTTACAGAGAAAAGGTTAGATTTTATTCTATTCAAAATATATGAGATCACTGAATGATTTTATTTAGTAGACTTAAGAACTAAAAGCTGTTAAGTAAACTCCCTATAGGAAATATAATGTAGATATTTGTTTGATTAAATCGTCTCGTACCGTCTGGACTGTCTGTCAAAAGAAAAGACATTAGAATTAGCTAAGGGAGATCTACAATCAGTCGAATAAATAATGCAAAACCCTTCGGGGTTCATAACAAAGAACCATCTCAACTATATACTTGAACCTTGAGGAATTCTTCGACATAAATGCTGGTCAAAATATCAATCTGATAGTGAATTCCATGACGAGCTATTTATCATAGATACTTCACAATACTCTAGTTTTTATATCGTATATATTGGAATAAATCTTTCGATCATATCTCTTTGAATGCATTCTAATTATACAAATAGTTTATCTAACAAAAAGAAAAGTTGAAGCGAGCAATTGACTTCCGATCATTATTTTCCTATTCACATAAGACAAAACTTCTGGCTTGTATTTTCTCTAAATGCAAGGCTGCCATTTTTCGTTCTAGTACATATGATACAACAGTGCCTTCGAATATTGATACTGTTTATTTAAATATCGGTTTTCATCAAAATCTAACAACCTATTACATATCCGAAGATACTGAAATAAATACAATAATTGATCGTTTAAAAATCGACTACGATGCATTTCCGTTAGACATCGACGATGAAAATGATAATATATTTTTCTATACAATGAATGATACGAGTGTACCATTTGTAATTGATCAAAATGAAAAATTCTTGAAATTAATTAATAAAATCGATCGTGAAAATCAATATAAATATGTATTCGAAATCGAACTTAAATTAAAATCTATTTATTCCATGAAATTACAAGAACAATATAATTGTCAAAAGAAAAATTCTCGTATTAATTTTCAATATTCAAATAAATTTTATCAAAAAATGTTAGTCACAATTTACATTAACGATATCAATGATAATATACCACAATGTGTTCATTTTCACACGAATATTGATTTAAATGAAAATGAAATTAAAAAGAATCTCTATCAAATTCAAGCATTCGATCCAGATCTAGGTGAAAATGGTACCATCACCTATTCATTACTTGATTACACGGATTATTTCTCTATCGATCCATTGACAGGTCAAATTGATTGTATAAAATCAATTGATTATGAAGAATATTCATTTATTGAATTACATACAATCGTATTGGACCAAGGCTTACAAATTCAATTTCAATCAATATGTACAACACTTCATATTACGATCAATGATATCAATGATAATACACCACAATTTTCATCGAATGATTACTTTTTTAATCTTTTTTCTGATATGCCACGTTACTCAACATTCGGCCAAATTAGTGCAATAGATATTGATAAAAATAATGAATTGACCTATTCAATCAATCCAAATCCATATGTAACCATAAATACATATACAGGTCATCTCCGTTTAAAATATAGTTTACATCGTTTAATTGATCAAATATTAAATGTTACTGTACAAGTATCCGACGGTTTGCATCAAAATCAAACAATAATTTTCATTTCAGTTAAGTCATTTCCTGATCCGCAACAACCAATACTTCTGTCGGAGCCTGCATACGGCTTAACAATAAATGAATCATTATCAATAGATTCGATTATAACAAATGCTTATCGCCGATTTCAAATTCTTTCGTCAACTATTGATTTTATTGAAATAATTCATGATGAAATTAAATCACCATTCTCAATTGATCAACAAGGTATGTGATGCCTTTTAATTTTATTTTTCAATTAAAAAAGGATTTTAAGTAATTTAATACACATTCAGATTCAGTTCAAAATTCTGATAGACTAATACGTGTCGCAGTTTTTTGTTTCGTTATATTGTGACCGTTGCATTAATTTAACACATATACGTATATATTCATTGCTGTCACAGATTATATGTTAACTTATTGTTCTAAGCTTGCATTGCATTAATTTTTATATATTTGTCGTCTCAGAATAATGAAACGACAATTATAATGTCTGCATGCATGTATGCATTCATGTGCGTGACCGTTGGTGAACATCATTATACAGTCAATTCCAATTTCCTTTCTTTAATCCCTTGTGGTTATGCGAATGGCAAGTAGAGTCGGCTACGTTAGTTTGATGCATGTCTGAATAGAGATTGCTTCTGTTGTTGTTTTACATGTCATCAATCGATCTGCTTTTGTGAGAAGAACAGCTGCTCCTGTTTCTCACTCATTTATTTTTGCTGTTGAGTTGTTCTTCAACGAACACTAATTACCCATCGAACTCATTTTCTAATCGATAGAAGATAAGCGCTAGTCATTATATATATATATACATGTGTGTGTGTGTGTGTGTGTGTGGTTTACACGAACACATGTTCGTCAAAACAAACTAAAAAGACAGAAACGAGGCATTTATCGAGACCATCTGTTCAATCAACGATACTTATAAAGGAAAAAAAATTAGTTCGAAAAACTTAAAATCAATTGATTGAATTTTCAAGAAAATATTTATTCTATTTGATTGAATCGATGAATGTCAAACGATTCAAATTACATGATCAATAAAAGATAATCTAGTCAGTAGACGAGTTTGATTAATATATGATCAGATGACGGACTGACTGGTAGAATGAATAAATTTTGTCAAACAAATAAGGTCATCTAAATGATTGAGGAGATCAGATGATTTTACAATTATAAGTGACCTTTTAAGAAATGCAGATAGATAACTATTTGATTTATTGTTTTTCCGGTTTAGTAGACGGGAAAAAAACAAAAAAATTTGAATATGCGTGTCAAAATTCCTTTTTTTGTAATGCCATTTTAGTAAATTAAGAGTGACACTCATTACTACTGTCAATTAAAATCAATGTCAAATTGTTAACTTGTAATTTGAACAATTTTTTTTTTAAACGGATATTTCTCATCAACCGACAACAATCTAAGAAGAGTAAAGATAAGAATCTATTGGGTACTGGTCAATATTAGAATAATACGAGCAGCGAAGTTATGGTGCATATAGATCATTATTTATGCTTTCGATCAGTCTGAAATGATCAGTTTTTCGAGATAACAATGCTCACGTATTATTACTTAGACGAATAAAAACAAAAACAGGCACTATACTGAATACGAGAAGATTACATCAATAAGAAATAAAGATAGATCATTATTTAGTATAGTAGATAGTTCACATAAAAGCAAAATAATACCCATGTTGTACTGCCGCTGATTTATCAGCAGTAGACTGTCGATCAGAGAAATAACTATCGATATCCTGCGGTTAGATGATCACCGATCGTTTAAGTATCGAACTATCATCAGCATAGAGTAGATCATATCAATGGTTCTCAATCGATTAGAATCATATAGAGATGTTCAAAGTCACATGAAAAAAAGAAACTTGATAAGAATTTGAAGTATTTTTGATAAAAAGAAAAACTTTTAACTTTCTCAATGTATTTCTTTTGCAAGGAAAAATCTTATGTTTGATATCTTTCTCAGGTTATATTCGTTTAACTCATTCATTAATTGGTTTATCACAATCATCCTATTGGCTTCCAATACGTTTGACACGTTATCATGCTCATCCGCCACATGCATATATTCATATACATATAACAATTCGACAAGAAAATTTCTATTTACCACAATGTGTTGACACATATCAAAATGTAAAAGCCTATGACTATTCAACTGACTATCCATTTGCTCGTATAGAAGCAACATCTCTAAATAAAAATTCTCTTATTCAATATTCAATTGTTGATAATGATAAAGATGAAAAATTATTTTCAATTGATAAACAAAAAGGTTCTTTACAATTATTGCCAGCAATACAAAATAATCGTCGATCAAAATCCGATTATTTTTTAACAATAAATGCTTTAGACAATCAACATAAACTTTCTGTTAATTGCTATTTAAAAATTCAACTCATACGACGAAATCAATTAGTACCAAAATTTATTTCTTCGCCTGTCTATAATATTGATCTACCAGAAATTCAATATCATAGTGGACGATTACGACAACGTCTCTTTCAAATAGTTGCTCTATTAGATCATCAAGTTTATGATAGAAAACTTGAAGTACGATATAGAATTGTTGATTCAAATCAACATTTTATTATTAATCGTCAAACTGGATACATCGCTGCAAAACAACCATTAAATCCTTATACTATTTATGAATTTCACGTAAGAAATTTTGTTTTTTACTCTGAAAGAGAAGATTCTATAATATCACTTGAGGGAAATAGAAAAAGACATACGGATAAAATAAATAAATTTTCAAGTATGTTTTCATGAGACTCTCCAATGTATTTGGCTGCTCTTTTGTAGGTTCAAGCATTTACTGTTGCTCATCAAGAGGATATCCTATCGGATGGAAATGGAAATGAAAATGACGATGATGAACATTCACAGCAAGGTAAATGGCGTGTAGTTTCAGCACGAAAACTCCTGCCAATCAAACTTCGAATCCTACCCACAATATCGCTTGATAAGTCATTACTATCACCGATTGATTCGACTATAAATATTGATCTATTAAAAACAACTGATGTGGGCTCAACCATATTGCATCTTGGAATAAATAATCGATTCAATAATACACAATGGTTTATTATGATTGGATATATTCGTCATACGAGATATTTTCATGTCGATTTTCAAACAGGTCATTTAATGCTTATACGTCCTATTGATGAATTAGTACAAGAAACAGATACAATTGAACTTCGTATTAATATAACTAGTGATTGGATTAACATGAACACAATTAAAGTATGAAAAAAAGCTTAAAATAATATCTGTTTTATCAAATATTTTCTTTTCAATATCTAGGTTATTGTTCGAATAATGAACAATAAAATACCATCAGTAAAATTTTCTCAAACTGATTATTACAGTTCAATATCGAAGAGTATTCCAATGGGCGCAGAAATCGCACGTTTAACAATTGAAAATTCTGCAGCTGACTGTACATATTCGATTGATTCAGTCGAACGAATAAAATCCTATGATTTATTTCGTATAAATGCATATTCAGGTTCGATAACTGTTAGTAATTCATTGGTGAATTCTCAAAGTCAAGCACATCTATTGAAAATTGTTTATCGTTGCCAACATAATTATCATATAGCACATACGAATTTGCATATTAATATATTGGATGAAAAGAATCCATTTAATCAAACGCAAAAATCTTTTCGATTTAGTCAAGATAATTATTTAATTATATTTGAAACTTCATTAATGAAAAATCGACCAAAACATTTAGTTGATTTCGAATTAATTAGTAACAATGACGATGGAATAAGAAGAAAACCTGATGCAAAAATTATTCGAGGTAAGTTCTCCTACGAATTTCTTCATGCAGCTTAGTTAATTATTGCTGTGCGATTCCTCTGGTGAATATCCGCTGGAGAAGTTTGATATCTTAAGAAAAAGACCTTCGTTCTATGCCGATTCCCGAATGAAAATTCAATATATCCTCGATTACGTACTCCGTGTTAATGAGAGGAAATAATATCTTATACATTTTATTTCCCATGAAAATTCTCACACGTTGATTAAGGATGCAGTTCTTACAAATTGAATGCATGACAATATTGTAACAACGTTGAATTGAATGTAATCATGTGTAGTAAAGCGGATGTAAGATTTTCGAACCTGTATGGAATTTGTTTTTCTTCAATCAATTAAATTTTAATCTTAAGCAGACCTTGATCTATCGAAATGAATAACATTTCTGATGTTGACCATAAGATTTTTCTCACGACTTCATAAGTTAAAAAAGTTTCGATATAGAATAATTCAATTTTTGCTTGTCTAGGCGATCCATTCGGTTTATTCACTATTGATTCTCTCAAGCAATCTCTCATCCTTGTTGATGAATCACTTTCTCGTTCATATATTTATCCAATAAATTTAACCATAATCGATACATCACAAGATGAATTCATCAATACAACAGTAACAATATTCATATCAAACATTGGCATACATTTTCCATGTCCAACGTATCTAAAATCTTCTCCATATATTTTTACATATGAATCGATAGAGTCAAGAAGTATCGATTTATCATCTCATAATGAATATAAATCATTAATTATTCGTGCATTTGATCCTTTCACACCAATCAATGGTGAAGCATCGAATCAAGCTGAATGTATAATTAATTCTGAAATTGAATATTCAAATGATCTAACAATCAAAAATCTTGATTTTATATTTGAAAATGAAATTTATCTTGGTTACATAAATGATACGTATGGTTTATCATCGTTCGTCTATAATCCTAATCAAGAACCAATAGAATTAAAAATAAAAAATTCATTTCCAAGAATAAATTCATTTGATATAACTTATTATTTATTGAATCAAACAAATAAAAATTTTTTTCAACTAGACGAATATGCGGGTTTAATTAAATATAATTTGTTAAATCAAATTTTAAACAAAAAATATTCGTTAATTGTCTATGCTAAATATGAAACATTAATTACATTTACACGTTTAAATTTATTTACTAATGAAAAAGATATTTTCTATGAAAAATCTTCATTTCAATCAATTTATGAATTTAAACTCTATACACCTTTTGTTAATAATTATACAATTGGATTTCTTAATAAAAAGAGTCAAAATTTTCTTATTTTAAATGAAAATATTCTACCACTGATATCAATCGATAAAACAGGACGATTATTTGTGAAAAATCGCACATTTTTATTAACAAATGGAAATTTTTATGATTTTTTGGTTCAAGATGAAAACTTGGAAATAATAAGAATACAAATTCTTATTCTCACACAACGTGAACAAATCAATGAATGCATATTAAATCGTTTAGAATATTCAAATGATAATAAACTCGTTGGCTTCATTGAAATATTAAATTCTAATCAAACAGAAATGATGTGTTATCAAACAATAAATAGATCTTATTATCTTTTGAATTATAATGATTTATTTCTATTGGATCGTCAACATGGTTTATTATATTATCGTAATCAAACTCAAATCAATCACGAGGATTTATTAATTTTAATACAAATTGATAATTCAAAATGTTTAATAACCATTGATAAAGTTTCAATGCAAACATCTTATGTAATGATAAGGAACGGAAGTCAATTATACTTCGAAATCAGCGAACAATATCGTATTGAAAAGGTAAAAACAATTATAAAAGCAAATTGAACTCGGCTTCTTACTTTGATCGATAATACTACTAGCCTTTATGTAATACCTTCATTGTGATGATGTTTATACTCATGTCTGAAAGAAAAGGAAAAAAAAGGAGGTGGGGGTCTCAATTATTTTCTCTATTAAAAAATGTTATATAACAATGAGTACAAGTGTTGTTAGCATAGATTAGAAATAAACGTGAGTGAGAATAGCGATGAATGTTTTTACTGACTTGTGATGAGAATTTTGAATATAAAGAGAGATTGTTTGAATTACATAGTTTTATGTAAGATAGCAATAAATGATCATAAATACAGTCCGTTTGATATAAGCACATGCTTCATATAATGTTATGTAAAATCAAAGAATGATAAAGACTATCGCAGTAAAATATATGAACCTTAAAATAATGAAATTTATATTGAAGAGATTATTGACGAATCTGCTTTTCAGAGCTGCGAAAACATCAAAGAATAAAAATTATAATAAGGACTTTCGAAAACATATAGACGAGCTTTTATGAATATTATCATAGAAGAGATGAGACATTGTTCTCTGTCGTCTCCAACGGATATTTCTAACTTCGTTTTCTCCCTTGTTGTTTTAGCCTTCTGGTCAAATAAAATTACAAAACAATACATTACTGAATTACGATATAGTTCCATCGTACTCACCAGTATTTTCGAATACTTTCTATGAATTTTCTTTAAATCTCTCCAATACAAACAATGAAAGAATATTCATTAGTCAATTGTTAGCACAACCGTATGATACAAATCATAGCCATATCGTCTACCGATTAGTCAATAGAAATAAATATTATCATATGAATCCTGATAATGGCATCATTGAATATATACCATCTAGAAATTACAATAAAACCATTGAACAATTTCAAATCGTAGCCTATGATTTAATCTATAATCAAAATACAACAATAAATATAACTATTCATATTAATAGAAAAGACACAAGACCAATAATCTATTACAAAACAATTTCCGAAATTCTTCCACCTGGTTCATTACTATTTCAAACAAACATTTCATCTCACGAAAATCTTGAATATACTCTCAAAGATTATAATAGTGATTTCTTTGAAATAAATTCAACGAATGGTGATGTTTTCCTACGAAACTATTTAATCGATAAATTTTATGCATTTAAAATTCATGTTTTACCAATCGATCAAATTCTCATCGTTAAATTATCAATCACAAATTACAATCAATATAAACCAAATTTTTACAATCTTCCATCGAATTTATCTTTCTCATTAACAAATAAATTTCTCACGAAATTTTCTGCTAATGATTATGATAGTGAAAATCTTCAATATTATATTCTCAATAAAGATCAAGAGAAAATCTTTTCACTCAATCAAACAACTGGAATATTATTATTAAATTCAACTGAATTCAATCAAACGACTATTCAATTATCGATTGGTGTCACAGACGGTTTACATCTAACGAAAGCTCATTTACAACTGAATTTTTTTAATTATACCAAACATTTACCGAAATTTTCATCGAATGAATATATATTTTACTACGAACCAACACAAGATACAATCGGTCAAATAGCTGCTTATGATTTAGATTTAAATGATGAAATTTACTATGAAATTTATTTACAACCAAATGAAATTTCTATTAGTAAATATTCAGGTGTTATAACTATTCAGAAGAGTTTTTCGTTTACAAAATCATTTATTGAATTTTATGCATCAGCTCGAGATTTAGCTAATCAAATTGTTTATACCAAAGTAAAAATATTCTATACGACTGAACCAAAATTTCGTTCTTATTTATATTATATTTCATTGAATTCATCAAATGCAAAACTTCCAATGAACATATTTCAAATGGAAATCGTCGATTTATTCAATCAACCATTAAATTTAGTTAAATATCAATTAAAAAATCCAACGAACTTTTTTGAGATCAATGAAAATAAATTAATGTTAAAAGAATATCTAAATAATAATTATCGTTTGACTATAAATGCTTATTGGAAAAATTTTATCATTCAAACATCAATCGAAGTACAAATTGTCAAAAATTTGATTAAATTAAATAAAAATTATTATGAATTTTCACTCGATAAAAGTTTCTTAAACGAAAATTTTCTTATTGAAACTTTTCCTATTAATAATTTAACATTAAAAATTGTATCTACACCATTAACAAGATTTAATTGTATTGAAAATTTTTATATCCGGCAAAATCAAATATTCTTCAAGAATTATCCAATCGTATCGGATTTATGCTTTTTTGAATTACAACTAACGGATAACGTCAGTATTCATTCAAGTCAAGTTAAAGTTTCCTTCATTGATAACTTTTTAAAACCAAAATTTTCATCAAGCATCTATTCTTTTCATGCAAACAATAGAGAAAATCTATTTCGAGTATTTGCTAGTAATGCAAATAAAGTTCAATATCAATTACAAAATAATTCATATGGTCTAATGATTAATCAAACATATGGTTCACTTACATTTAAATATGGCTTAGATTTTATTAAAGATATGAATCAAATAGAATTAGATGTTTACGCATATGATGAAAAAACATTATTGAACGATACAGCTGTAATCAAGATTTCATTGAATGATGAACAAAAATTTGTTGTACCAAATGATTATTCACAAATTTCATTATGTCCAAATGAGCCGGTTCTAGTTTCGGATCAAAGTTTACCAGGTAAGAAAATTTTTCATTAATCGATTGTACATTCTATGGAAAAGGTTAGACGTTCTAACAAGCTAATCTACGGAACGAAAAGTTTCAGTACATTTGTCTCGAATAAAACTTCTATCGAATTAGTTTTCTATTAATTCGCATGAGAAAACATTTTTTAAATATTATACTATCTTTTAGGCACGGTCATTCAAGACATCACTATTGGCAATAATAATATTTCTCCATATAATTATTATATTCTATCCGGAGATACACATGGCCTATTCTCTGTAAGCAATCTTGGCCAACTCTATTTAACATCACCTATGCTCAATAAAACATCCGAAGAATTTTTTGAATTAACTATTCTTATATCATCATCGTCATCATCATTATCCTATTGTCGTACGAATGTATCAATCATTCGAACACCTAAATGGTCGTATTTTATTTGTCCATCAGTAAGTAATCTGGGCTTTTTTTTTATAGTTTTTTAATATTGAATTCTATTTTCATAGGTAACAATTGAATGGACAGTGGAAGAAGAATCTCCAATAGGAACAATCGTTGGTACAGTGAAAGAAATTCTATTGTCAATAAATAATTCTTCAGAATTGATTGATAAAATCCATATGAAATTTAACAATACATACAACGATGCACAAGCATTTCTTCTTAATTCTCAAACAGGTTCGTTCATTTCGCATTGTTATATTATTCGAAATGACTTTCATAAACTTATCCTATCGTAGTAGAACTCTTAATTTTGATAAACGCAAGGAATACACCTAACCCTCTTTTCTTCTTGTCATTTAGGCATGATTACATCGAATTCACGTCTTGATTACGAACAAAAAACATCTTATTCATTGTCAATTGTACTTGAACCGGATGAATTTAATTGTTCAATACCAATTCTCATTGAATTAATCAATAAAAATGATAATCCAATACTGTTCGATGTAAATTCTTTAGTTTATAATATAACTGAAAATAATATTTTACCTTATTATATTGGTCGTATAAATTTGATTGATATTGATCAATTGTATTCTTATGATTATGAATATTATCTTAAAAACCCTACTAAACAAATATCAATTGATCCTATAACTGGTTCGATTATATTAAACGAACAGCTCGATAGAGAATATCATGGATTTGAACTACAATTTGATATAATCGCTATGGATAATAAAGAAGATAATTTAACAAGTAAATTAATATTTTATATTAATGATTTGAATGATCATGGACCTAAATTTGATCAAGAGTATCATTCAATTAATATCAGTAAGTCATTACGACCGGATACAATTATATTTCAAGTAAATGCAACAAGCGAAGATCCAATTGTGAATGGACTTTTAACCTATGAATTAATCAATGCATCGGATTATTTTTATATCAATCAACATACAGGAATAATTCGTTTGAAAACTTATCTTTCATCAATAATAATGAATTATACATTGACAGTAAAAGTATTCGAAGCGGATATTAATTTAACCGATTATACAAATATATTTATATCAATTGTCAATGATGATAACATGTATTTTAATTTAAATGAGAAAAATAATTGTTTTCTTGAAGAAAATAAAATTATTAATTCGGAAGTTTGCACTATTGGTTTCGATTCAAATGATTTTATTTATGAATTAATTGATCCTGTGAAATATTTTCAAATAATTGGAAGTAACGGTACAATTATTAATAAAAAAGTATTTGATTATGAGACTGATCAACATGAATATACTGTAACAATTATTGCCAAGGATCGGGAAAATCAGGTAGGAATAATTTTCTAGATCTATCTTCTTGAAAACCACTATAATCCGGTATAAATCCACTTTTGATTAACTATCTGAAGTTTCTAGAGACTTTTTAAGAGGCTCAGTATACTTACCTTGTCAATTGACGCAAAAGTAACAGAATTATAATATCAATCAATCATCTCATCCTTTTGAAAAGAACTATCCTACGATCAATAATCAGACCATTTTCTAAGAATAAGAATTTCTTCTCACATGAAATGAAAATCTATCCCAAGCTCGATAGATAGGAAAATATTTTCTTCAAAAAATTATGATCTCATCTGAGAAAATTCCAATACTCACTCCATAGAACTATTTGATAAAGTTTCTTAAACTCAGATTACTGATCTAATCACACTCTTCATCAAAAGGATTTCAATGAATAACATCATTTTTTTTTCATTCTAGCCTATCATACTATCTTCACTTAATTTTACAATTCAAATTCAAAATATCAATGATAATTATCCAGAATTTATCACTAAAAACTTCACAACAATTGTCTACTTATTTCATCCATCAATAAATACAGTTGTTCATATAATTGAAGCTATGGATAAAGATCAATCGAATTTAACATTCGAACTTCTTAACGATACATATTCGTCCTATAAACTTCAAACATCAATAAATCAAACTGAACTTAGTTTAATTGAACCTATTCTTATCGATCGTGATGATAATTTTATCATTCGTCTTTGGGATAATATTACAAATCTATCATCGTATTACATTGATTTACATATTCGTTTAATATACATTCAACGTTCAATTGATATTGCAACAGTAATTCCTCAAGAAATAGATGCTTATATAAATATTGAAGAAAACTATTCAACACTTAATTTCGGCCCATTATTTATTCAAAATCAATCTGAATATAAATTTATTTATTATAATATAATTAAAGAAGAACATTTCTTTCTTAAACAAATATCTAATACGCAAGTTGAACTACATTTTAATTCTTTACAAGAATATTCTCAAGAACAAAATCACCGTTTATTACATTATCAAATTGATTTAACAGCTATAGCATTAAATCAACCAATACCAGAAATAAAATTTTCAAATAATACAATAATTCATCTTCCAAAACATATGAATTCTCAATTGAAATCTCATTTCATCGATATTAATCTATGGCCTATTGATCGTGAAATGTTAGAACGTTCGTTATCAGTTATCATTAATTTAAATTCTCAATCAACGTATGAACAATTTATTATCAATAGTCTACGACCAATACGTGAATATTTAGCGGAAGTTATCGGTGTTAATATTAATCATGTTCATATTTATACATTTGATTTAAAAGCTCAACATCAAATTGAACTACTTATTGCTATAATACGTTATCCATCACGTTTACGACCACCACGTTATATACATAAAAAATTACTGTATAATGCATTAAAAAATTCAACACATCTATTTGTAAAAATTATACATATTAAATCGATTGAGAAAATTTTAATCAATCAATGTGATTTAAAATCGTGTGAAAATAATGGACGATGTACAAGTCAGATTAAATTATTAAATAATCAATATGAATATTTTTATCACGAAAGATATCAACGTTTATTACCAAAATATCAATGGAATGTAAAATGTTTATGTTTAAATCATTATTATGGTCAACGTTGTCAACATAAACAACATTATGAATCGCCATGTACATCGAATCCTTGTTCGCCATTGGAGAGATGTATCGAAGAAAGTGCAACTCTATATACATGTCAATGTATTGATGAACCATGCAATTACAATGAAGTTCCATTAGAAAATACATTGGATTGTATTAACATTAATTCGCCGACGTGTCGAGGTATGTGTTTTATTAAAATCAGATTTAGTTTCGATTTGAAGTATTTCTGATCAAGCTCGTATATTGACATCGTTAAACAAGTTGTATTCTACTGAAATAGGAGTAGAAATGTACCGAGTATATCTCGGTTTGGTTCCAATTTTTGTTTTCTTGGGAATACTCTGATTGTATGTTCTATGGTAGGATTTCTTTCAATATGGATGCTTGTAGAACAAACATTTGTCTGCAAAATGAAACATCAGTGAAGTTTGTACGATCTATGATTCAACTTCTATTACAGTTTGACGAAAAGTCGGCACCGTCTCAGTCCTGTTAGTGCCTCTAGTAGAACTATAAATAAAAACTGAAAGACACTTTCCACAGAGTTTTCTAACATTTCATTTTCTTGAAAAATGTTTGCTCTATATCATCAATTACTAAAAGAACTTTGAAAGTCGTTTGCTTTCACGATCAACCATTTCACTAAATAGGAGCCTCTCAGGTTTGGCATGGATCATAGTTGTAAGTCATTTCCGTTGATTTTCCTTTGTTATGAAGTCAGTAATCAAGTGCCAAGCATGAATATTAACATCTATGAAGAAATAATATGTTTTTTCTTCATATTCACTCGCAACGAAAAGTAATTGACACAGAATGAATAAGTACTAAATGTCGGCCGTTATTTATGATAACTTTTTTTTATCATCAAAAAAATGATGAAATGATTGAAGATCGAAAGTATTCGTGCCTTCGAATATAACTTAAAAGTATATTCTGTTTTATTTAGATTCATCGAATACTTTAACATTCGATGGTTATAGTTTTGTTCGTATGAATTCGACGATGAACTTCACTCAACATGTAAATCTAACATTCACATTTCGTACTCAAGTTGGACAAGGAAAGTTAATAAAATTAATCGCTTACGATACAAGAAAACAACAACATTTATTAATTATTCAAATAAAAGATGGACATATTAATTTTCAATTAAATAAAAAAACTCTTTTTCAATTTAACGAAATATTAATCAATGACAGTCTATGGCATCATATTTATTTTTCAATTGATTATGCATTAAATAATAATTATTATTATCATGTACGACTTGATCATGTATTTAGTCATAAAATTCATTTAACACAACATATATTAATAAATCAATTAAAAGAATTTTTCATTGGTAATGATTTTCATGGTTGTTTAGGCAATTTAACAATAAATAATCAAACAATTCACCTTCAAAAACAAGAAAATAATAATTTTATTGAACATATTGGAACAAATAATGGTTGTCAATTGGCTGAAATGGAAACCCGTACATTAAGACATTATAACGTGAAAGATGATCTTTGTTCAGTGCATCATCCATGTTATCATGGTGGCATATGTTCAAACCATAATACAAAGCATGGCTTAAGTTTTGTATGTAACTGTTTAAAACCTCGATTTGCAGGTCGACAATGTCAATTTGATTTGCAGCCTTGTTTAAGTCAACCATGTCTATTTAATGAACAATGTGTTTCAGCCAATCAATCGTATTCATGTATATCGTCATTAATGGATTTGCCAATATCAACGAAAAATTCTTTATACCTTGGTTTAGCTTTTATTTGTTGTACATTTATATTAATTGTATTACTTTTTATATCGTTCATTATTTACTGCCAACAACGAAGAAAGGATAGAAAACGTCGTGATACTTTAAATACAGATAAACCATTGGTATCAGCGCCACTACTGACTCAAAAGTCATCACCGACCGCAAATACAATTGAAAATCCAATGCAAACATTACTTAAATTGAATCATAATGGAAAACAAACTGTCGAAGCTATGCCACTTGGCGATCAGAATCATGTACAATCAACATTGAATAATTTTAATGATAAAGTAAATCATTTTTGAAATCATGAAATTTTCATTTGAAACTTGAGCAGAGCAGGAAAAAGTTTCTCTGGCCGAGATATACACTAATCCGAGTCCGATTGACTCTTGAGTATATATATATATATGTAATTGTGACTCTGCCGTTTCAGTAGACTATTCAGTGAAGAATTATAGGAGATAGGTGTTGATTGAATGATCGCTTATAATCATAATGTATATCTATATATCTAATCCTTATTTTTTTAGGCAATGATTAATCCATTGAGTAAATCGCCTCCAACCGTTGATGAATCTGAATATCAAGGTCATGAATCATTAAATCGTCGTCATGTATGTTCCATACGAAAAAAAGAGACAGCGAATGCTAAAAACATAAAATCTATATATTATTTAGAGTGATCCCAAACATTATTCAACTATTGGAAGAATGAATATTCCACCAGATAATTTTCTTGCTCATTATAACAGTATTGATTATGGTTTGTAATTTTTGAAATTTTCTTTTTTTTTATTGGACTAATAGTTTTCGTTATTTTATAGAATCTCCACACACGCCACTTGTTAATCCGCGAGCAACAGATTTATTTGATTGTGAGTAGTTTTTGCCTAAATTTGTTCACTTGAAAATGACATTATTTCTTTCTCTTCTTCTAGTCCCATCTTCGTCGACAAGTAAGTTTTATTGTGCACATTTCATTTTTCATAGTATCTAAATGTTTTCTAATAGAATATTTCAATGGACATAAAGATGAAAACATCGCTAATTATCAAATTGGTATAAAAACTTTATCGAATTTAACTGAAAAATTAGCCGAACAAAACGACATGGAAATAACTCACTCATCGAATGATTCATCAAATAATGAGCAAACATTATTAACATCACCAATATCACATAGTGAACGCAAACGTTCATTGTTTAATGGTGGTAGTACGCATAGTATACTTGCGTCAAACTCGTCGCTACAAAAAGCACCTGTCTATGCCAAAATTATTAAAAGTAAGTTTTGAAAAGTTCATCCGTATGTTTGACTACTTTTCCATTTAATGGTAACAGCTCAGAGCCAAGAGTAGGAGAAATTGGATCTTATCAGGAGATCAATTTATCTAACAGCATCAAGTGGAAGATCTTAAAGAAGAATTAAACGTCTACAAAGGATCTTCTCTCTCGATTCACGACTCTCGTAAATTATTTTAAATTTTCAATGAAAATAGAAGCCATAAAAATTGTTTACATAAGTCTTTTCTCTTAACTTTCTTCTAACTTTTACTGCTTAAGTATAAAATTAAAATTAATCTTTTTCTAAAACTGGTTGACGAAATCTTATTTCAAATTATTAAATTATTCTCTCTTTTTAGCACCATCGAAACCTCCTAACAGTAGTGGTATGAGTACAATAGAACGTCTTCGTTTGAGTGGTTCACCACTTCGTCTTCTTTCATCATCTCCAACTTATGCACGTACAACATCATTTTTGAAATCTAATCTAAATCATGATAATAATCAAATGTCTCAATCATCATCATCATCAATTAAACATAGTAAAATAAATCCAACATCATGGAAAATAAATCCAAGAAAACTAGATAGCCTAAAAGCAAGACGTAATAGTCGACATACAGATGATGATGATGATGACAATCATGTGAATAATACTGAAACAAGTCAATTAACAACGACAGCAACAACAATAAATCGCTATAGACATGCGAGTGATTCCGATTTAACAAAAGAACATACTAATGGAAAAAAAGCAACTAAGTTATCATCATTTTTTCAAACTGAAGTATAGTCTTTGTATAAAATTTCCAAAAAAATCAAACAGTATGTGCCTTATAATTATTGTTGTTGTTGTTGTTTTGTATTTGTAAATCCTAAATTTTGTAGCCCGGTGTTGCTTTTCTGTTTTTCTCTCTGTCTCTTTTCTTGCTATTCTATATCAAATATAAAATAAATAAATGTGCACAAATTTTCATTTATCTGTACAATATTTTCGTGATTGTTTTTTAAATGAATATTAAAAAAAAGACTATATAGTGTAGAAATGAGTTTTCTGTGCTTCAATGGTAAATTCTCAACATCGGTAAAAGATTTGAATTGCATGATGTTGTTTAAAACTTTGTTTTTACACAGAGGAGTCCTACAATTGTATTTAATGTGTAGGTGATGCTTGGCATGAACTGATATAAATTGCGGTTAATAATAACAAGAAAACTTGTTTATACACTTAATTTTTCACCTCATCACTGATGTGTATCTTTTGTTAAGTTTAAACTAAACATTTTCTCTAGAAAATGCACAGACAAAGTAGAATTTGTAACAAATATGCTTTCCATTGTTTCATTCTGGACTGAATAAAGTTAATATCAACGAATCATTTTATTTGAATACTTGAATTCGGTTTAACAGATAGTTTTGTTATTACTATTGTAAAAGGTATCATAAAATATTTCGTTGAATTTTTAGTTGTTTAATGAAAGTTGATTTTCTAGATCGAGTTGATAATGTTGTTGAAACTCAACTAATAGTTGATATCAATCAGACTCTGACAATTGAAAACATTTTCTATAACTCTAAAAATGGCATTTAATGTTCTGATAATTATGAATACGGCATAAAAAGAAATGCATTGTTGATGGATTCCAAACGGAGAAAATATTAGTATAGATAAATAAAATAGCTTTATCTCATATTAAGCAGAGGAACAAAATGATTAGGTGACCACATTTGTTTCGCTTGCAACCGACCAGCAAAGGGTCTGTTCGCATGGGAAAAAAGTAATCTAACTTCTTTGTATGTCGGCGGTATTTCTGATTTTTTCGCTTGATTTTGGCTATCATTCCCTTCGTTCAATGGTGGAAACATTGACTCATTTAACAACTGAACATTTAAATCCTCATTCCCATTGACTTTTGGATAAGCAGCAATTAAATGAATATTTAAAACAGATGGTATGCTGAGTAGATCCCAAATGCCAACATAATTCGTATCATGAACCATTTCTTTTCTTGCGTATTCTTCAAAATTGTCAAGAATGGACAAGAGACGATCATATTGAGATTTATAATCATCTATATTTAGAACAAGTTCGACAACATTTCTGGCTCGAAGTTCAATTGACGTCAAAGGAGACCCATCCGTCGTTGAACCTACTCCTCCTAATTGAACAAAAGAATTGTAAAAACAATTTCCATCGCCAGCAATTGAAATCGGAATAAAGTTACGAAATAATGTACTACAATATTGATGTATGTAATGTTCAGCAACCTGATCACGCATATGAGCAACTTGATCAAATACTTGAACTGGAGTATAGGTGAGTGGATATAGAGTTAAAACTGTTTGTAATAATTGGCATTCTTTCACAAGATCATTATAGGAATTTTCACTAGCCGTACGTAAGTTTGATAAAAACATTTTAAATACTTGTGCACGTGCCAATTGTGAACAAGCAAGACATAAAATCGTTCGACCAGTAGGCAACATGTTTTGTTTACAGAGTACACAAAAGCGAGTTGTTGGTTTAGGTGGCACAGGTGGTTTACTGGCGGACGTTTTAGGTGACTCACTTATGACATCAGTAATGTGGTCACCAATATTTGCCTCTTTATTTACTTGTTGCGCATAATCGGTCCATTCTCGAATGAAAATATCGAATGTCGAACGATCATACAAAACAAATCGAACTTCTTTTACATTGAATGAAAATCGTCTTATAGAATCGATAGCTACACGGGCGGCTTCGTGTACAGGAAAATGATTGGCTCCACAAGATATTGCAGGATAAGCTATGGAAGCTAGTTGATAAATATTAGCAAGTGCTAACGATGTATAATAACATGATTGTAGTAGAAAAGCGGCACGTTCTTTCTCTGATTCTTGATAAACTGGACCTACAGTACTAATGACGAAGCGTGGTTCATGTTCTGCACAATTAAATTTTGCAATAAAAATCCGCGATTGTCCAACTGGACACGATTGATTGTTCATTTCTTTATGAATTGCAACGACTTGATCTGTAAAAAATTGGCCCATCTGTTGATGTATAAGAGCATCTAATCCTCCATCGGGCACCATGGATTCATTTGTAGGATTGACAACAGCATCGCATGGCTCTCGACTTAAATCACCATTATGTATGAGTACCTTCAATGAGCCATTAGTAAATGAAAAATGAACAGTATCTTGGTCAATTTCTTCAATAATGCTAAATAGATTATAAAAAAAGATAGCCAATAGTGGTTAAATCACAACAAGTCAACACCTACATGCCAGACATATTTTATAAAATCTTACGATAGAAATAAAAACTGAATAATTTCTTGTGCCACAACAATATCTATAGGTTTCACTGAAATTTTCCAACTTGTTAATCGCGGCACAAGTAAACGCCGCCGTCGTCGTTCGTACGTCTTTTTTCTACCGACGCATGCATAGGTTTTGGATTTTGTTTCTCTGTTCTGTTTAAATAAAAAACAAGTACGCACGTGTTTCAATGCATACCTATGATCAGGGAGAAATGAAAAGAGGAAAAAAAAGAAAGTTCGTATCTGCAATCGAGTTTTTCTTGAAAGAACACCAAAAAAAAATGAATGAGCATCGCTACTTATGCAAATTATAAAACAAAACAAAAAAGGAATGTCTAGTGGATATCAAAGAAAAAAAACAGCACAGTAAAGATTGATTTATTTTAACAGAGTGTTGCCACTGACTCATGCCGATAACGACGAAATTCAAACTCGACATCAATACGATAAACTGCTGTAACAATACAACTAATAAATACACAGCATGTACCGGCTACGAATGACCAAAATGAGACACCATACGCTGTTAGAGTTTGAAGACCGTTAATGCCAAGAAATAATGCCAATGTTATCAGAGCCAATACGACTTTAAAAAACAAAATAATTGTTATTGAACTACAAGAAAACGAAGAATACTAGGAGAAAAAACAACTGCATACCTGTAAGAATATCAAAGACTAGTAAGCATTCGACCATACGTTTCGAGCATTTAAAATTGTGAAAAGAAGCATTTGTATTGATTAATTGTGTTAGAAGTAAAGCAATGATGGCAAGGCACACAGAGCCAATTGATAAACCAATTAATACTTTGTGATTATCTGTTCAGATATTGTTTTTGTTTTCAAAAAAGAAACAAAGAACACAATCAGATATATGTAAAACTGACTTCAGTTAATCTCTGGGATTAGCGAATTTTTCAATTGAGCTCTTTTTTTTTGACTGAACGCTATTCAAGAACATCGTCTGCGCTAATTCAGACGAACTATTACGTAAATTTATTGATTCCAGAATAGATTTTCGAACTTCAGTGCAAAAAACATTTGTTTTCTTCAAAAGCAAACAAACATACGCCACAGATCCTATTCCAACTGTGTCACACGTCTCGAGACGACCATATCCTTTTCGTATTTGTCGTGTCTCATCGGATGGATGACTGTAGACGACATATTTTTTACATTTGTATGCACTTTTCTTTTATGAATGTTGTGAATTCGTCTATGATAAATATAAAATAGCTTTCATTATCGTCTTATCTTTCTCACATTGTTCAATATTTACAAATACATAGAGTATGCAATCAAATATCGATTAAAAGCAATCGATTAGAAATGGTATGAATAATTTCATATTTCTATTGTTTAGTCACCATGTAATCGATATCGAGTCCTACTCTGGGTGCAATTTGAACTTCATAAATTAGAGTTTATTACATTTTTATTTCTCTCTATAATGACCAATGGACTATTGTCGTGCGAGCTTCGAATATAATAAAAGCATAGCTACGCATTTCATAATCTCAACAGGACTAATCAATACATTCGAGTAGATAAAATCTTTGTTCTTTTCAGCGGATTAATTACATTTTAGAATGATTAGATAAAAAGTGCAACATACGTCTTGTTGTTTCTCTGAATGATTATTTAATTCATAGTAGAATAACCTTACCGTCTAATTTAGGTCCAACTATCGTTGAATTATGCCATTTGAGTAGTCGATTGAAACATACATAAGCGTCATCGTATAGATAATTAGTATGGATGATATTTGTTACATTGCCTACAGTTAAATATTTCTCTGTATTACCATCACGATAAAGCCGTTGACAAGACGATATAATACCATCTGCGCGTTCGGTATTTATATGATTTGAATTATTATCAACAGTAATAAGCCATCGTGACGTTGTTATGCCCAATATGAGTAGTGTAATGGCAAAAAGTAATAGAGCAAAGTTAAAGAATAATAAACAGCCCATGATTTAAAATGATTAATGTCTTCTTGTTATTTTTTGATTCCACAATCGACTTTTTCCTTCTTCTCTTTTTTATGTGTCTACTTCGCCGCCAGTTGGACTCTGACAAGAAATATGAATAACTGTGATAAGAACGGGCAAAGAGTTTATATGTATATGCAAACAAATGTTGATGAACGTTGTATATAGTTGAAGTATGTGTAATTCAAAACTTTCTTCTCCTGCTTCTCTCTTGTGCAGATAAAGGCACAAACATGCAATACAAGCAAAGAAAAAATTCTCTCCTTCTCTCTCTCTCTCTCTCTCGTATTTTCTTTGACTGAGTATTGCAAATGTGTGATGTGTTGAGAAGCAAGTATGAAGAATAAGAAAATGATATACATATATACATATATAAGCAGCGATTCAAAGTTTTACCTGTTATTGACGAAGACTTACATAATAATCGTGTCTGGTGGAATTTGAAGAATAACTACATCAGATCATTTATTATGTTTTCATTCAGCTGATTGTTCATTTCATTCACTTAGCGCACGGCGCACTTGCGTATTTAGATCAAAGCAAAAGAAGAATACACGCGCACATGCTCAAGTTGCGTACTGTCTGAAGTGCACGAGAATGAATGAATGAATGAATGAATAATTACATGTCATCATCTTTGTGTGGTAATGTACAATGGAAAAGAAAGCACAATAGCTTACAAGTAATCTTCTGAAACCTACATAATTTTATATCATTATTGGTTGTATTATGATCATTCAATTATGAAATAATGCTGTCTGAAGAAAATAAAGTGTCCAAATCGAAACGCCTCTTCTTTTTGTCTCCTAAATATTATGGCAAGTGAAGGATTAAAGTTAATACTTCTATCTAATAGCTTAATTATCATATTCATACATTAAAATATATAATGATGTTTTCTTGCTGTTGAACAGATGAAAGAGAAAAAATTCGTTACGCATAATGACAGACTTAGTGAACTGAAAATAATGAACGCAATTAAACTTATTTTTGGCATAATCATCAGTTATAGCATAATTGTCATTTTTGTATGTCGGTGTCGTAATCAATGTTATTCTAGGAATATGTTAAATAAAGTGATTCCTTTAAGTAGGATAGAGTATGTTTTATTCTGTTAGGTAAATATCGTAAAGTGAACATAACGTTTTTCAATGGATTTCTTTTAATCGCCATGATTATACACGCACATACATATATATATATACATTAAAAACACAAACAACTAGTCAACCTTGTTATCGTTTTAAATTGAGAAGATTATCTGTCAAACTGCTGCTAGCTGTTGGTGTTGCGATAATTGGTGTTCTAGGTGAATGTTTGATAATTCCTATATTTAATGGTGTTTTAGGTGTTCGATCGCCGGCAGCTCCTTCACGTACAATAGGTGATGGTGTTAATGCATGTTGTCTTTGTGAATTTGTTGATTGTGTTCGTTGTATACCAAGGCGATTTGTTAGTAAACGTTGTGCAGCTGGACTCATAGTCGACAGAAGTAATTCTTTCGATTGTTTTGCACTATTTGTCGATGAAAAATTTTTATTAATTGTTTTCATTGCTTCAATTTTCTTTTTACGATGTTGTGCAGCATTTTTCTCCACTAATTCTAATGCTAATTGTTCACGAAATGGTGTTTCAATGATTTTAAATTGTGGTCCACCACCGGCTGCATTTGGCGTTTCATTACCAGCATCCAAACAGAATGGTGTACCTTCAATTTGACCCCATGTCATCATAGGTGATTCATCACCATGTGCACCGGGCATAGGCGATGGTGTAACAACGAAACCATAACCACCGACTTGTGGTGTTGTTACACGTTTTATTTCTCGCCCATCAATATCAATCTGTGGTCGAATTAATGCATTTGGTCGAGCTGGTGTTGTAGTACGACTTGCTGAATTTGTTGCTGTTGTTATGGTAAATGGATCTGTTTCAAAACGAGTATTGGTATGATGTATAGAACGAACATGTTTGGCCTGTTCGATTTTTTCAGCTGCAGTTAATTTTGCACCTAATGAAAGAAGAAACAATCAAGTTTAATCGCGAGACCATCGATTATTCTTACCTTCAGGAAAATACATGACAGCATTTTTAACTGTATAAGGCCAAAATTCAGATGAATCTGGATTATTCATTTTTACTTGATCTTCAATGGATGGTACTGGTAATTGATGAACTATTTCATTATCTGTGCCCTATGAATTCATAAAAAAACAAAAATGTTTAGTTTTAGTTATTTTCGGATGATTTTATTTCAAAATAAAAAGAAATTTCTGATTGCTATATTCAACAGTTTAAAATATTTTAACTAAAACAAGGGATATATAGTTATAAATAGTTTTCATAGTCCTTGAATGTATGGTGTGAATTTCATCTAACCAAGGATGTCTGTGAATTGAATAATAGTGTCGGAGTTGACACTAATGAGATATGGATACTCTAGAAAGAATCTCAGTTCGCTCCTAATTGATGAATTTTGACGATAGTTTTATTAGCATGACGTAAAGTACCCATGATTTCACCGGTCGAGTTTTTCAACGATAGAAACGAGGAAAAAAGCGCCTAGTAGTTTTATATAAAACTCTATTACTGTTATGAATAGTTTGCATAGAAAAATAAAAAATGATAATGGAAAATTTTGGATTAATATTAGATGAAAACTTACAGTATGAGTCAACGCTTGTTGTGTATAAAGCCAAGCTTGATGAACTTTCGTACGATCTTTTTTTTGGGTTTCTTCCATAATTTGCTCGAATGAAATATTATCTTCGCTTGTACTAATTGATAAGTATTGATCAAGTCGAAGATCGCGTGCTTTTTCTATACAAAAACAAAACAAAACGGAAATTCGTTTTTTAACCAGGAACAAATGTCTTTAGACTAAATAAACACGAAATATTACTTACTACGTGTACTTGATTTCGATGATACGGATTCTTTATCTTCATCTTCATCGTCATCATCTACGTCTTTACGTTTTGATAATAATTCGTCATGTTCAATTTTATCGTCTTTCATTCTATTTGGGGTATCACGTCCACTATCAAGCGGCGTCTCAAATGAACTTGATGGCGTATCTAATGATAGAATAAATTAATAATAATAATAGATCATAATAGAAAGTAAATTTCTTACCTCGTTGACCCATCATCGCTGGCGATGGAGTTGGACCACGATGTATACTATATTTGGCATAGAGATCTCTTAATGTAACAACGTCATTTTTTTCCAATGCAGTTAAATATTTTTCTTTGGCTCGTAAAAGTTTAACATCGGGAAAAAAATCTCGTTCGATAATATGTCCTAAATCTTGAACAAATTTTTCTTCTTCAAGTATTTTACGTCTTTGACGACGAGACGATGGTGGTTGTTGTCCTAATGGTGCTGGTGGCAATGGTTTACGGAAAAGATCAACATCTCTGTTTGAATTTGATCTAGTAGGTGTGGGAGTTGAACTTGATACTAATGGAGGTATTTTTGATGTATCTTCAATCATGGTTATTTATCTGAAAAAGAAAATTATATGTAAATACTGAAATATCTTAAAATTAATATCTGTGAGATTTTTTATAAATTTAATGCCATCAAATATACGTATATCAAAATCTAACAATCACTTGCGTGTTTTAATAACACTACTGTGCAACCCATCTAAAACAATAAAATAAAATAACTTCATAAGAAAAAGCAAATCCAGGTAATTGTTACAAAATCCACTACCGGTCATACGTGAACCTAAAACGCTATTAATAGAACATATTAATTTTAAAAAGCTGATCTAATCCATTAAAGAATACTTAAAAACGATGCCTTAATGATGTCATACGTCAAACTCATTGTAATCATTATTTTCTACTGCTTGAACAGCAGTATGTGTCTATTGAATTTTCTGGTATGACATGAAATGCTTATCGATATATAAATGGTGACATTTTGTCACTTGGCTCTTCGAGTTTTTCCATATTTAGAACATCACGTGAATTTTTATGACCTGGGAAAAAGAAAATTTATCATTTAAATTTAATGGAAGCTTTTTTAGTATATATCCTAGTGATGAGAGGACGTGGCTTTTCATGTGAAGCCCTATTTAAAATACAAAATGAAATCAAACGATAGCTCTGTTTGACAAGATGGCGTAACACTTTGAAAATTGCATTTCAGGCGATGATATAGTGCAGCAGCAGCAGAACGACACCAATCTTATAATTAAAATATTTTATGTCAAGTCACCATTTAGATGCCTGAGTTGCATAGTGAACTTGAAAATATCCACTATGACGCTCTGTTGAACACTTAGTTTCACAAAAATGCATACCGATCAGTATTCACAGGATTTGAGTCTCTAGGAAACTTTTTCAATGAAGTATGGTATATATTCAGTTTTCCCTTTTGACTTATCATAGCCTAGCAACTTGATATGATGAGTTATAGTGAAAAATTTGAAATAAAAAAAAACCTGTTGACCCTACTGACGTCGAAAAAAATAAAAATGTTGAGATTCAAAGAGTTTCACTGCGTCCAGAGATAAAACCACTAGTCGCATTTCGAAAGATATTGTCTCATTCTACTTTCAAGTAAATCCTTCCTATTGATGCCTGAAAATAGAAATGGTCGTTGCTCTTTAACAACTGATAAAGATGGCGAGAAGTGAAAGAAAAAAGAACAGAAATAAAAGGTAATAGATGGCAACAGTAAATTTATTCAGCGTGATTTCTATTTCATCAAAATTGAAATACGTCTTGCTAATTTTCTCGAGTGACTTTCTGCTTCGTTTCTTCATAATTATTCACTATATTAATTGGAAATTTAAAGATGCAAACAGATGCTGTTCGACTATCATATTGTTATCATCCATTGGAGACTATTCGAGGATTTCAGATAAAATCAGTATCATAAGAAGTTAAAAATATAAAAGACTTAGTAAAGAATTTCATTGAAAAAGTTCCTTTTAAATAGAACTATTTCGAAATGTACTCATTCCTGAAAATTAATCTTATTCTTAGAAAGAGATACATAAGAACAACAAACATGGTTTTGACACACAAATCTATCGGTTTATAGAAAAAATCTTACCCCAAATTCGACAGTATATTGACAATGCTCGCCGCATTTTCCTGAAACTAGTGTATGTTTTACATTCGGATTTGCATACGTTTACTCAACTTTACTACAGCATGAGAGTTTTTTTCTACTTTTGATAAATTTAAATTCATCTTGCAAAATGAATTTAAGAAACGTACATATCGCTACTGCAATAGAGGACGACGACCCTAAATCAAGGGGGAAAAGGCGGATTTGGAATTGTCAAAACCCCCAAAACCCAAAACGTGAATGATGGAATTTTCATCCGAACTTTTCCCATAAGTAAGTCTCATGATCCTTAGAATATTCTAAAATTTTCAGCGGAAACAGATGCTTCCTTCTCAAGATAACGAATGCGCAAGAAATACTCATATCACGGCATGGTCAGAAAATCCATTTTTTTTGAAAATTCAATATTTTAAGAAGGAAACATTTGTTCGAGTTGAAACTTTTAGGATCTTTTATGGACCATGAAACCTATATATGGGAAGAATTTTAGGTCGAAACTACGTCATTCACAGAGGGGAAAATGCTTTTCAATTTATGGGATTTTCAAAACTCCAAAAATCCGCCTTTTCCCCCTTGCCCTAAATCCACCACCAATAGGTACTGATGCTGATTTTAATGTACGAAATGGGTTTTCTCTTTCATTTGGGTAAACACGTTCTAAAAGTAATCCAGATACACCAACAATATAATTTCATCGCTTAGTTGATTCTAATTTTGACATACTTTCCATTTGCCCGATTTGAAGTGGTTGTGCTTCTTTGAGATCCTCTTCAAAAACAAAACAGTAATTTTCTGATTGAAAAAATTCATCAATTATATTTACCAACTAATTTACAACAATAATAATTAATAGTTTTTGCTTTATCTAATGTTTTTACAATATTTGTCGTATGAACAGGTATAGTCATTGAAAAAACAAATATATTATTATAATCGAAATGTTCATCGATAGAAATTTAACTCGGCCAGAAATAAAGTTGGTTCATCATGTGAAAAATTCTGCATCAAAAGCATAGATGAGATTACCTTGTGATTGTTCCACTGTTATTAGTTTTTGACGATGACATGATTTACTTACAAAATAATAATGAAATAGCGTACAAAATATAAATGCTTGCAAATTGAAAGTAAGTACATTGCATACACAAATTTCCCATTGGGTATTTATAGACCAATAGGAAAACGTCATGTTTTTGTTGTATATAGTGATGCTTGATGAGTTTTTTTCTTGTTCTTTTGTTTTGATTAAAAGGGAAACAATCATAATGGCAACAGCAAACTCAACAGCTTCCCGCATACCGAAGAAAACAGTAAAAGATTTTAAATTTATCAAAGAAATCGGCAGTGGATCATATTCAACAGTAATATAGATAGCAAAATCTTTGATGAAAAATGAAGTTTATTTAATATTTTTATGTATTTAGGTGTTTCTTACTATTGAATCAGCTACTAATCGTGAATTTGCTAGTAGATATTCATTTTTTATTATATGTGATGATGTTATAATACGCATTTTTCTTTGTTTAGTCAAAGCCGTGAGAAAAGATTTAGTCACAAAAGAAAAAAAAACTTCACAAGTCGTTCGCGAAAAAGATATTTTAGCACGACTTACCAATTGTAATTATGTAGTAAACCTTTATTGTGCATTTCAAGATGATAAAACTCTTTGTAAGTATATCATACGTATCAATATAAATCGATCTAGATAGAAAATTTATGAGAATTTTTACTTTTAAATTGAATATTATAACGAGTTCATCTTCGATGTTGAGATGCATACAAAGGAGAAATCGAGATCTTATAAAATATGAATTTTATTTTAAATAAATTTTTCCACATGAAAATGGCTTCTATATTTCATTTTATTCTGACTGAAAACTATTTTAGCTTGTTTGTATGCTTGAATTATTTTTCATTAATTTGAACAGTCGCTTTTATAACACTGAGTTAACTGAGTGTAAAGGATTTGATTAAAAAAAAATGAAATTAAATATGGAAATGGATAGATTCATAAGAGTTTCCGTCAACCTTGATAGAAATAATTAAAATTGAAGATTAATCCAGAAAGTAAATAATAAATCTAGGACAACTTCGAGTGACTTGCATTAAAGGATTTTTGTAATTATCTTGTGGGCTAAATTCCGCGATGCTTTATAAGTTCAAAATCAGAACAGCCGTCAAATTTATGTGTAACTGAAGGATAATTCTCTACCGAATAAACCTCGTCAATGTTCGCATATTTGTAGTGATGTGTCCTCTACCATTTTCTCTTCTAAAGAGATTAGAATTTTTTATCTAAATGTTTTCTAATGCATGGACGAAATATCTCCTCATACACTCGAAATTTTTGTTGCCTATCAAAAACAAAACTAAGAAATCTTTTCTGTTTCTCTTCATTGATGATTATTTTAAGTGTACACTTAAAAAATTTTCAAGGACTTTTACTGTAGCTGATGGTTTTTACTTCATCAGCATTTCATGTTGAAATACACGTCAAAAAAAGACTCAATTTTTTTGATTGCGCCCAAGTATTATTTTACGTCTAGGTACTTTGTTATGAAAGTGCAATATTTTGAGTTTTGTGGAGTAATAAATTTTTCTTCTGGCCAATAGTAATAATTTATAGCAAAAGACTTTATTGAACCTTACATTTTGACATGTAATTGCCAACAAATTAAAGTTAAATTTATAGAATCATGACATACAAAGAGTATAATATCATCAAATCAGTTATTATCAATCGATGCCTGTTGAATATCTTTCGAAAAGCAATACGACACAGGACTGATCAATTCATCGTAACTTCTTCACTATCGCTGTAACAAAATTTTAAATTTTCTCATCCGATTTGAGTTCAGATCTGGTTTTATAGAAGGTAATTACTATGAATTTTTCAAGTTCCTTAAAAACAAGTTTCTTAAACGCAAGCTAAAGGATGAATCAAACTGTATACAAACAAAACTAATTCAAAACTAAGTTCACTTGTAAAAGAGAAAATGTTTTACTTTTCACAATACTTTTACTTTTATTGAGTAGCTAACCTACTTAATGATTTTTGTTTTTTTCTGAAGAAGTCGATTACAATGTAATCTGAATAATCCGTCGCTTAAGATAAGCTTGCAGTAAGCAATCTTACTATATCTATTTTTTTTTACTCGTTAAAACAGAAGTTCAAAGTCACATGTTTTTATCTCATTATAGTAGAGAATATCATTTAAAATTAGTACTGAAATCTCATGAATATCTCGTCTTTTGAAGTCTATGCAATCTAGTTAAATAGATTTCCATTCAAGTTTAAACCTCATTAAAGAAAACAAACGTCATGAGAAAACAAAATCAATATTTTCAATCTATTAAAAATTTCTTGTTTCTCCAGCTGTGCCAAATATATATTCTTCGTGTCATTGGAAACATCTGTAGTTTTCACTCGTAATAGAATAAGATTTCATCGGAAATTATACTTCAATCAAGTATCTGTATTGATAAGAAATACATGCGAACTAGATAAGCATGGGGAGAAAGTTTTTTTTATCTCTGTGCTACTCGATGTTCGAGAAAAAATTCCTGGAATATATTCTCATAGAAACCTGATAAGATTCTTCGGTACTTGTGCTTTCTTATAAATAATTTAATTTATGAAGAATCTTTTTCTTTTGCGTCGTCTATGTTAAATTGTATTATAAGATAGTTTGAGAGCAACGAATAGGCAATTTTGGTTTATAGTTTTTTTGCCCATGTGATTCTGGTTCTGGCCCTGTGCATGTGTAGCAAAATTAATGACTATTAAATCATTATGCAAGTTTTGCCAGCAGATTAATAGAAATGACCGCTTGATCAATGTTAGAAATATTTAAACAATTCAATGAAAACATTTTGTGTTATGTAAATGTTATCTTTCTTTCTAAGATTTCGGTCTTACATATTGTCCAAATGGTGATCTTCTTCAATATATAAACGATTCTGGTCATTTTACTGAAGAAATTGTACGATTTTATTCTGCAGAACTTGTTGAAGCACTTGAACAATTACAAAATCGACATATCATTCATCGTGATCTCAAAGTATGTTTAAATTTATTAAAATAAATTAAAAACATAAAAAGACTATGTTTTTATAGCCGGAAAATATACTTTTAAGTGATGATATGCATATTCAGTTAACTGATTTTGGTTCCGGAGTAATTTATGACAATAGTGAATGTTAGTAAAATTTTAGCGACATCAAGTTATGATAAAATTTCTCTACTGTTTAGCTCTCTTCCAAACAGATAATAGCAAAAGTGTAGATGGTGAAAGAAAATCAATAAAACGAACTAATTCATTTGTTGGTACTGCTCAATTTGTAGCGCCAGAAATTCTGAAACGTGGCGCTATTCATGTCGGGTTTGTAGAATAAATGACTTTTCTCTTGTGTAAAATATTATTTCATTCATTATTTATTTCTAGATCCGATTTATGGTCACTAGGCTGTATTATTTATCAAATGACTACCGGTAAACATTTATTTCGTGGCGGGTAAGTAGTATTCTTTGTCTTTTTTTTACACAGAAATCTATTTGAATTCGTTTAGTCATGAGTATGATATTATTAATTCTGTTGTACGTGCTTCTTACAAATTACCTGATGATTTTTCTCCAGTAATTCGTGATCTACTTCAAAAACTAATTGTATGTTATTTTAAAAAAAATCTATGATAATAATTATGCAAAGTTTGCTTGTTTTCCAACGTAGCGTCTCGAACCAAGTGAACGGCTTGGTACTCAAGAAACAGGTGGTATGAAAAAGCTCAAAGAGCATGCATTTTTTAGTGAATTTCCTCATGATACTAAATGGGGCCAATTACTAAATCAACGATCACCCCTTGAAGCAAAACATAAACTTAGTTCAAGGCCACAAATTAGTGATGATGAGGTAAATATTTAAATAAGAAAGTTCATTCAATATCTAAACATTTTATAAATCACAATCTTTTTCTATGAAGACTCATATTACTATCCTAACAATTACCTTTTATTGCAGACTACTAATAGTTAAAATCGAGATATTCACTAAGAAAAATATTTTGAAGAACAGTCACTTTAATTTATTAAAATGCTGTAGAATTTAAAAGTCAAATGTTTTCTAATGTTCGATGAGAATATGGTTCATAAATTCGTTAATAAAGCTAATTGATGATTTCTAACAAATGGAATCTTTCCGTTAAATACAAATATAGATATTATTGAGAGTCAAAGAATCTCATCGATAGATTGAGCGAAGAAAATTTTCCAAAAAACTAAACGTGGCAGTTCTCAAATTTGAAATGACTGAATCATACAAATTACATTTCAAGAATACTCTCGTGAATAACACAACATCGTGAAGAAAATGAAAATTTGACATATCATCTATGAGCTATTTTTAAAAAGTTAGAAGCATTGTGACAAACACGTTTTTTCTGTTTTTTTTTTTTTGAGTTTGTGTCGTTCAAATAACTTCTTGACAGAAGGTCGTAGAAAATGCGACCAATCTGATTTCATTCACAGTGATTCTTATACAAAGCCTACAAATGACTATATTTAATTTTTGAGAAAGTTTTGTCTATGGGATTTATTTAATAGACAGAACTACATTCAGGAGCGTAGATAGGGGGGGTGGGGCGTGGCGGGGGGGGGGGGGGGGGGGGGGGGGGGGGGGGGGGGGGGGGGGGGGGGGGGGGGGGGGGGGGGGGGGGGGGGGGGGGG